CGTGTCTGAAATCTCCGGGGTCCATGAAAGAATTTGCTTGACCGCAAACACTAATCGATTTTGTGCAACAGGAAGATCATCATTGTTGTACACAGATAATGTTGCGTTCAGAAGAACTAGTCGACCGAGAGTTTTTTCAGACTGAGCATCGGCACTAGCAACATCACTGATGATCCGGTTGCAAAGGTTGCTGACAAGCTGGCTAGTACTGAGGGTCTCGTGAAGCCCTGTCAAGATGGCAACAGCCCCTAGGATGTTCGATGTAGATGATTTGAAAATTTCAAGGCTGGAGATCCATTCTTCGCCTCCCACTTGCCATCCATGTTGTTCAACAAGTTTGGGTAGTAGATGGCTCAACACACGAGCCGAGTAGAACGACGTAGATGTATCACAGCAAGAAGCATTTATCAGCTTTGAAATAAGGATATGGACAACACCCGAAAATTCAAGGGGTGACTTCGACTCAAAACCATCTTGCCAAGCTTTCGAGTGTAGTACGATGAATGACCATGAATCTTGATATATCCGGTCCACAAAATCGCGCACGCCAGCAATAGCTTTTTCCGATGATAACACGAAAAGCTTGTTGTTCTCTAGTAGATCAAGCTGGTCATTGGCAAGTTCCACAGTCAAGCACATGAGATATATAATCTCGACAAGAGCATCCTTTGATAAGCGATCAGGATGGTCTCGAATTAAATGTGCCGAATACATTGCCATTCTGAGAGCTACAGAATAGCCATCTAGATCTCTGCCGGAGCGAATACAATTACTACCACTTTGTGCACGCGCCAAGAATACAGCTCCCGCAAATGGTCTCATCACTCCCAAAGTAGGATTTGGTGCCTGATCCAATAGAGGGGCTAAAGCTTCAGACCATTTAGTTGCACTTGGAAAGAGTTCGGGATGGTGCGAACTATCGTCTAAAGTGCTGATAACCGCTTCAGCCTGTTGGACAAGTGTATCGATACTAAAAATAAACATCAGTCATTGCTCCCCCAAATAATTACTAATTGCGGTTAATGATTTCAAGGATTATACTCACGTCAGTGATTGAGGACTTGCGTTTTCCAGATTTTCCTTGAGTATATGAACTACAGAAGAAGTAGTGACACCACTTTCATTGTCGACTACCGATCGTAGATTCATAGCCCGTTTACCAAGCTCAGAATCTGAGAGTTCTGTCAATGCCAAAAGCTTCGTGATTAAATCTACGTGCGCCTCTCCATCTCGAATAGCTTCAGGTCGTCTTTTGGATAGTAATTCGAGTGCCTGAAAGACAAGATTTACATTGGGGTTAGAAGCATTTAGTACAGAAATCAGGCTTTGGAGCAATAACTTTTCTGTGGGTTTGGAGAAGCCATTATATATTACTGCCGCTTCGAACAGTGCCCATTCCTCATTATTACCTTCAACCACATCACAGGAAGTCTCAAGAAGAACATCTTGGAGAGCTTGGTCATCACGAACCAAATCCGAAATTTCATTCAAAGATATCAGAGCTGTGATCGTTTTCTGTCGCTGTAAATTTCTGGGGGTCGATAGCAGAGCATCAATAGCCGTCTGCCAGATACTCTTGTAAGAGTCTTGCTGCCCAGGAATTAAACGAAATTGGTCTAAAGCTGAAGATAAGTATGAAGATGATGGCGACAAAAGAAATTTAGGAAGATGGGTTTCCATAAACGACTTAACGGCTTCCAAAACTGAGGGAGAAGCTTCCAATAGCTGCGGAGAGTATCTCAGTGTTGATTCTAATACTGCCCCAGCCGAGTACGGTTTCCCGTTCCTGTTGATAACTACTTGGAGAGTACAATCTATGATATTGCTCGACGGTTGAAGGAGTGGGTTTTGATCAGCTGTAAGATCCTTCAGTTTGAAGACTTCAGACAGAAGTGAAAACCACCGGTGGCCTTCAGCCATGACAGCATCTTGAGAAGACGAATAGTCTTTAGATTGCTCTGGCATTGATGTTTGAATTCTTATAATAAAATTTTGGGCGAGCTTCTGCCATTCTTCGGCAAGGGAATTTTGTAAGTTGGAGTTCTTCGCTAGGCTAGAGATAAAAGCAGATATAGTTGAAGATGGCGTATTGTTTCTGATGAGCCACTCGGAAGTTTCTGGGGATGGATGTAAATATTGCTCAAACATGGGATATGTAGATTTCTGGACAATTTCCGCTTGCTGAGAACTTGACAGGTTTACGATGCAGATGTTGGATGTTTCTCTGTAAGCAAGCCATGCTTCTGAAGAGTTGGCCCTACCCTCCTCCCTCTGGTTGATACTCTTGCGAAATACATCCAAAAACTCCAGGATAGAATTGGGGTTTTGAGGCAGAACATCTATTGGTAAAATTGCCACAAGAGCTCTCAATGTTTGCCAATAAGCAGGGGAAGAGCCTTGTGAGCCCTTTTGAACAAAAGAGATCAGATCGCCTGTAGCAGTAGATCGTTTAGCCTTATATGCAGAAGTCCATACTTGAGGAAATTTTTTGGTTAGTTGGTGCAAAGTCTCCAATAGTTGCAAAGCAGATGTTAATTGAGAAGATTTCAATGCCTCAGATACGAATGCACGACTGATAGTCTCAAGGTTGTTCTCGACCAGTTGAGTTTGCTTCTCTAGGCAAAGCACGAGTAATTTATCGGTACTTTTTCTTGCGGAAGCGTCTTCGCATGATGCCAGCGTCCATAGTTTTTTGTTGCCGAAAATTACCTTTTCATACCTGTCTTGATGCTTAAGCATATCATCATCACCTAGCTTGGCTAGCAGATTGGCGAGAAGGGATACACTGGCGCTATTCACACGGAAGTACTTTTCGTTTGCTTCTTCTGTCGGGACAGATCTTTCGTCACTCAAAGTATTAGGAGTCTCATTCAAGGCTTCTTCGGTGTAGTCGAGGATCTCATTCTGGCAACGCTTCCAAAATAGATTCATTTTAGCATCCGTATCGAGGAAAGATGTTAGACCATCCATCGCTGATCGTGCCACTGCCCGGTCTCTATCGTATGTTCCTGCCAGCCAACTTCCTACTACTCTGGGTATATATCTTTCCATTCTTTTCCGGGCTGATTTTAGAAGCTCATACTGTATGCTGTGAGATAGCTCGCGAACACGACGTGAATTATCTATGGAAATCCTAGGATAGACATCGACCTGTATTTTGTGTTAGCAGAAGCACTCTAAGATTCTGTCGGCGCATCCTACCCAAGCTTCTAAAATTGCTTCTTCAGTGCCTCCTTGCTCGTTTGGCTGATTCTGAACGAACGCTCGCAAATCCTCGAGAGCTTTCGACTTTGTTGTAGCGTCTTTCTTTGAAAGATTCTTGAATGACAGAATGACGTTTGCATTACTGATGGAAGAGAAGTCTGATGGTTCTGTAAGGTATGATAATCTGGTGGCTTTTGTGGTAAAGCCAAACCCGAAGCCGGCGCCAGCGGCAGTTGAAGCACGAGTGCTAGAAGCCTGCGATTTGAATTGTCGTTTGCCCATATTATGCAGACGTTTCAATGAAGAAAAGGTTACAAAATTAGTCTGTATGAAGTATGAGGATTATCTGCTCTTGTTTTTGTATGGAGGGGAGAGATATGTTTACAAGTCGGGTAGTGGAGAAATTTCAAAGGCGGAACAATCAATGACGGAATTGAAGTGGTGGTGGGGTGGTTGTTCAGATAGAAATTGACCAATAATCTGGTTGCAATGTGCTTAGTAATCTAGCTGTAATGGGATTAATGCAGCCCTAGAGCTTTTAGAGCCACAAGATAAATAATTCTGCCTATTTAGAACTAGTCAGGCGGTCAGACGACGGTTTTCGGCTGCACGAGAATCGACGTGATGATGTATGATGCCAATCAGTTGTGGTCAAGATACGAAACGCAAGCTTCAGTATATTTGTGAGTTCACTGATACAACGTCGGAAGGATAATATTCTTATAAAAGTTCAACAAGAAGTTTGAGATTACCTTGCACTCATCGGTGAAGTTCATTATCCTTCATAAATGAATATCTCGGCACTTTTGCGGATACCTTACCTCTTCAAAGGTTACATCATATATTGGCGAAAATGGCACCTTTATCCAGATCCCACTGGAAAAATGTGAGATAATACTGCTTCATGAGACGAGGTAGTATCAAAATATGAGAAGAGATTGATTGCGGAGAGCTTGGATGATACCAACGTGGTGTTGGGTTACGGGAAGGGTTGCTTCGTTGAGTGTCTTGGCCATGCCGATGCTCGAAATTCTAGGTAATCGATTGCTCTTGTAAGAAGTATGTATTATGGATTGTCCGGCTGAAAGTATTATGCATCGTCCGACTGATTCGGAAGTTGTAGTTGCATGTTAGTGGCATGATATATGTATGGATGGGTTTCAACAACTTTGAGATCTAGAAATGGCATGATGGGGAGGAACATAAATTTTATTCCAAGACAAAGGAAGAACATCAGTCTATGATTTTCTCCCACGATTGTTTTCACAAATATGATATTCATTGGCACAAGGCCACATGGTATCAATTATTCTTTGGAGGGTATGAAGGGGCTTGTTATGGTTTCGTAGTTGCCAATTATGGCCGTGAAGCATTTGTTAATGGGCGTGGTTGCTCAAGGGATATAACTCAGTAGTGATAAGTGAGCCTTCTAATTCGAGCGAGTGCAATCAAAGGTTCCATACATATTTTCCCATTCTCTATTTACAAGTTTCCTTCTGACAATTTACTTCTCATCATAACAAACATTCAACACATTCATTATAAGCTTGCAATAGCATACTTACCACTCATTCGCCAACTCCATTCGTTAATGATGCTTCTAAAATAGGTAAGACTTACTTGTTCAGTATGACTTCTCATCTTGCTAATTGTAATGTTCCAATAGAAACAAGACTCTTTAAATTTATATCCCACGATATCTACTATATAACAGCAACAGGAATCCAGCATTGCAAAAGTTAACCCTCGTGCTCCAGTACCTTGTGTATATAGAGTTCCGCCCCAAAATCAAAGCCATGGTTCGCTTCACTAGGTTCTTTAAGCCATCAAAGGAATCACAAGGGGAACCTAAAAGACCACTTTCATCAGCTGCGCCTTCTGTTGAGAACCGTGTTGAGCACTCAACCGAAGATGGCGATAAAGCTTCAGTAACGATTACAGATGTTACAGCCATGCAAAATAGCACCTTTAATAATGCGAAAAGAAATGTTTCATTTAAAACCACGGTTTCGATTGAAAATGAAGAGAATGGCCGCAAACTCAGTGTCCCTAAAAATAGAGAGCGTGGGAAGATTGAAGAGCCTACTACTATGTCGAATTGCGAAGTGTGTCATAAAACCAAAATGAAGATCGACCCTGCAACACGAAATTGTGATCGAAGGCTCAAGAATTGCGTTAAATTCTTAACAATGCGTGCTAATGGCGAGCATGTAGGGGATTACCGTTTGCGAGACGGTGGCACACATAAGTTGCCTAACAAGCTTCGATCCTTGCGGAAATTCTTGAGCAAACACTTCACTATAATAGAGAAGTCCGTTGCGAGAAAGAGGCCTGTCTCTCAAGTATTGAGGCAACATATAGATCAGAATCTCACTGCGGATTACTTATTCGAAATTCGAACTTTAAACCAAGACACTGAGAACGGAAAAAGGTGGCACTCATATTTCTGGGTTCCTAGAAATTGGGATCCAGACAGCCCAAAGCCATGCTCTGGGATATGCAATAATCTCTTTTGGAGGTACTATGGTGGACCTTTTGAAGTCTATCCGGGACATTTCTTTTGTCCAATGGATGAGATCAGAAATCGCCACAATGCATGCAGAACAGTGGAGGGCACAGCAGCTATAAAAGACTTCCGTCTCCTTCATAATGTCGATTCGATTAATGTTCACATGAGATGCCGATGCACTAGAGGAGGAAAAAATAGCCTTGACCAGAGCTGGAATGTACGATTATATCAGCGAATGTCGGAAACAGAAAAGAGGAGGGAGAGAGAGGCGAGAGATCTGGAAAGGTGGGCTGGTACCAAGTCTAATGACAATCGAAAGTCGGGGGCGAAGTTGAAGGAGAATTATGAGTCGAGCTCGTGGGCAAATCCTGGTCTTCAATTTGATTCCTTAACAGATGACACCAGACTAGTCATTGAAGAAGCTGATAGAACAGCGAAGAAGAGTAAGGATAAGGAAGATCATACTAAGCCACTGGAAGGCGAGAATGGCTTACCAAGAATCAAGGAGGAGACCAACACAAAACCCCAGACTGAACTCGTGAGTAATGTCAAATTTTCAGGAAATTTTAATGAAAATATTGCATTCGATGATTATGGAGCTTCTCAGGCCATCGGCTTAGAGGGATCAGAAAGAATCCGGGAACCACAACCTTCCGTAACTCAAGATGAGAGCATTTTAACAACTGGCTCTGGGACTGGTAGAGACAGAGATGCAGACAGAGGAAAGCAAATCCAAGAACCCCGATCTTCAGAAGGTCAAGATGAGAGGACTTTAGCTGCTGGCTCTGAGTCTCCTCAAAACGCCATTCCAGAATGGGCAAACGAATTTATGAACTGGCATCAAGACGAGATTACTTCAGGCACTCGACCTGTCTCTTCAGAATAATAATTAATGGATGGAATAAACTTGAATAATAGCGAGCGAATTTGAATGTATTTCAGCCTTAGTCAGAATATAACACAGCGCGTTTTATAATCCATTGATTCTGCAATTTTGAGTACTGACTTCTTGTGGTAAGGCTGCGTACCCTTTCCATGCGTGATTTGGTGTATATGTATCCCATAAAGTGACTGCGAGATGATGTTGAGAAGATTCTTGGTAGATATCTAGATGAGATTTTGTGAAATAGGATTCACTATCACAATCTTGTGTGCAGGTATTCAACTAACGAAATTTTGATGGGCGTAAGTTAAAGTCAATTTGACGGATACTTCTCACAGAATGTACTGTTCTGGGGGCACTTGAAGAGGAAAATAACTTTTTTTCCTTTCGAATCCTGAAGAGAAATCATATCTGCACAAGAAATGCGTGACCTGACCCACTTGCTGGCTCTTATGTATTCGAGCATGTGGTGAATGTGATCATTCATTCCAAGGTTGCTTTAGTGAAATACTGATTAGGTAAGATGGGTATCTGTAGTGTGTTTAATACCAAATGTCGGCTGGAATTTCACTAGATAGTTGGGACTTGGGGGATCGGCAATGCCATGAGATAATTGATACCTGGTGTACGGGGACATTGAGGCACTAGTGTATGGATTAACTATGGCACCCTTTTTGATGATATGGATATCTTAGCAGATGTAATCTTCATGTAGACAAAAGCAACCGAATCCAGAGAATTATGTGATTGTTGAAGTTGTATAAGGATGCAACGTAGCGATTGAGAATGGAAGTTTTATATAATTCTGAAATGTCGAATGGTGTCCATCTTGATTTCGGAACTCACACTAAGACCTCCAAGATCTATGTAATATCTTCCTTGTGGAGGGTTAGTGTCAAATCTAGCGTGCGAATTTGTATTTTGGTGACGATGCTAGGAAAAGACCAGCAGACGCGTTTTATCCTTATATAATCATCAACCTCACATGTATCTCTTGGAAACACGTACACGTACAATTTCCACAGATCTGAAATTCGACTTTCAAACATGATTGAAGTCAAAGATAGTGATCATATAGCACGCTTAGATGCAATTCGCAAGGTATTTTTGCATCATTTTGAGGAAGTAAGTATATTGTATCTCGGCACACTCATTCTTAACTAAGACGATCTACCAGGCGCGCGACATTCTTCCTCCAGGAATTGAGCAAGTCGAAGAAATGAGAAAGAGACTACCTCTCGTGCGCTATTACGGAGATCTACCAGAAATGGATGACCCTTGGTTTCCATTTCTATTCGCAGCTTTCCATAGAAGAATCGTCCATAAACCACCATATGCTCTCGAACGTCTCGGGCCGCTTATGCGCAGAACGCAGTATTTGGTTCGAGTGGAGATTGGCTACAGGGCCATATTCCTAGTCCAGTCCGTTGACGACAACGGCCGTCTGGTTTTCGTAGAGATTGACCGACACCTTTTAAGTCGTCCGTTGGAACCTGCGGTGTTGCCGGAATGGCTTCAGGGTATGTTTGTTCCTAATGTTGGGAAGGAGTTGGAGTGGGCGTGTGTGGATTGGGGATATAAGTCTCTATTTAGGTGTAGTTCCTGGTCGAAGGCAGGAACATCTTGGTGGTAATCATATCGATTCATTTAAAGAAAAGTAACCTGAAGGAAGGTTATTTCAAAAACGGAAATCTGGGGAACAGCGGTAATTTTGGTAAAGGAATTGTGATTGGCATTACAGAATCTAAAGGGACTATACCGGCATAAGGCTCTAGGCATTGGAAATGTAATTTTAGATCTACTTGAAAGTATCTCAGGTTTTTCTTCTTTCGTTTCCATTCCATTGTTGAACCTGTCTCTTGCTTGACTTCATTTTGTCAGTCTTTTCTATACTCTGACTAATACGAAACAAAACGGTAGGTCTTCCAAATAATGAATACTGAAGATTCAGGGGTAACAAAGAACTAGATTCGTTTCGGAAGCTACAATTACATAACTGGTAGTCAAGTTCGGCCGTCAATGAGTTTCCAGGAGCATTCATATCCAATAAAGAAGGCACGATGTACCTATTGAGGGATTTATCCTGATGGAACAGAAGCTCCAATTCAGAACATATGACTAACACACAAAAGGGATGAGATGACCTACAGCCTATCAAGAGCTGCCTATTGTTATACTCGAGCCACCTTCAATATTCACTTGAAGCTATTTTACCCGAGCTTCGACTACCACTTCTTATATTCACCTTCTCATGATGATTCTTTCTTTGTTATGAGTTGATTGTTACGTTTTATCACCATCTTGGCCTGCCTATCCCTCAGTTCCAAAAGTACCAGTAAGGCTAGTACAATGACAATGGCACTTGGACTTTTTTTTGAAGCACTTCAAATCTCATTGATTTTGCATGATTTGAGCTTCCAGAGCTTGAATTTGATGCTGCATTTCTTATTGCCTGGGTGCTCAAAACTGGGCTGGTTTTTTTCCCTAGACTTACGACTCCATTGTTTATGTTCACACGAAGTATGATCTGTCCCGGATAGTTAGAAATCATTGGAGATGGACATATCAAGGGCAAAGATGAAGCATTTTGAATGACACTTTGGGACCTGAGTGCAGAGCACGGCAACCTCCGAATCTTTTGTGACTTCAATTCCTCACGACATTGAATATTCACTCATCATGGCTAGGCAATACCCTCTAGATACCTTGATAAAGTTTGATCTAAGCGATCGCCCACATATTGTACCTCCTTCAGCGACTTCGCTTCCTCTCCTTTTTACTCACAACCACAATCATTACACAACAATCATTAACAGTTATTAGAATCAACAACACAATGGCACCAAGAGCTAAAGCAACTAATTCCTCCTCAAATAGTAAGGGACTCATTGAGAAGGAGGATATCTTTCCCACGATCGTTCATTCAAGCCCCGTCACCCCTCTCCAGCACTCTCTTCTCACCTCTCCTTTCAATTCTAACCTCGAAGAAAATGGCGAACCTCAAGCTGAGCATAGTCTCGAAGAATTAATTGACCCACAGTTGATGCAGAACAATGCCATCAATCCTTCTCACGCCCAAGATCTCAATCATCAATTTTCTTTGGAAGTTGATCCTTCATTCAATCTGGGTTCAGATTTCCCTGAGTCCGTCCTAGATTCATATTCAATTAATTTGACAAATCAGCATGCTTCAAGTAGCGACTTTGCTGACTATATCCCCAATCCAAACGATTGCAATTCATTTCCTCTTGACAACGTTGGAGCCCCTTCATCTTTCCGACTCGGCAATACAAACGACCATGTCGAGGCTCAAAAGTCATCTACAAAGGCGCCATTTGTTGATCCTATGCATGCACATGCGCACCTGAAGCATGTGGCTGTATTTTGCTGCCAGTCTCCAATCTGTGTACGAGAGTGTAAAGCAGACTACAAGTATGCGACTCGTCAATTTACATTGTTTTACTCTCGACAATCGATTGAAGAGCCATTGTACAGTGGTCGCAAGCGTGTTCTGCCACAGAGAAGCAATCCAGATCAGCGCATTCCGATGCTTCTCCTTTCCGGAGCTCGGGTCTACAGGGTCGACAAGTTGGGAGAGAATCCGGTCGTACGACTTTTTGTTGGTGACATCATTAACCGCAAGAAGAAGTATTGGGAGGTTTTGCCTGGAGGCGCAGTTGAGCAGTTGGGATGGATTCAGGAGTTGAGAGACACGGCAGCTCCTGCCGACCAATGTAGTGCTTGGAAGTGCCCCACCCATGGAGATATTTGGAACGTCAGTATCTTAGACCATCTTTTCGACAATGGTGCCGAGAATACTGGTACACTGGGAACCGACTATGACAGCGGGTATGCGAGCTCCTCTGGTCAAATGGGAAGTTCGTCAAGAAAGGGATCATCTACATATGGAGACAATAATGCCACTTTCAATACGAGCCCCATCACTCCTGTCAACTACTCGGTCTGCGACAATAATTTCAACATCAAGATGAGTCCCGTCACTCCTGTCAATTACTCGTTCGACGGTTGCAATATGGTTTTCAATGCGAGTCCCACCACATCTACAACCTGTTTAAGTGGTGATCAACATGGCCCAGCAACTACCACAGCAACTACCATTCGCAATCCCAAGCCTCGCCGTAACCGAAACCGCAATCTCAGCCACGGTGCTAACAAGATGATCTCAAGAGGCAGCAACAACTCTCTTGAACAAATAGAGGAAGATCTCGAGGACTTTGAGATCAGCGGCGACGTTGCCGAACTTCTCGAGTTCGGTGACTACGCTAGTACCAGCGGTTGCGACTTCATGCAACCCCAAGATCACATGTGGGATGATGATCTCCTCAGTGAGGTCAATACTTTCATCGCCGATGGAATCCACTTTGGCGAACCTGTTGAAGATACAATTGAACACGACTTAGATGCTATTTGAATTGAACAATATTACTACGAGATGGATACGAAGAACGGAACCCTATCATATGGCTGGACCATTACTGTAACTGACATAGACACAAGACTTGATATCATCAGACGTTTATTTTTGGACCTTTTTTATTTCATTTTCTTTCCTTTGTTTTTCTCTGCGTTTTCGGGATCATGGAGAATGGATGACTGACTGACTTATGGATAAGGAGACGGTTACCGGGTGCATTATTTTTCGATCTCTTTTTTCCGTTTCTTTTTTTCTGCAGATAATCAGTTCCATGGAGATATTTCGTTCATGAGTTAATAGGTAATGGTACGTGGTCATTGATAAATGGATAATGCATAATGGTAATAGACAACGGGCAATGGGTAGTGGATATCATTCTTCCAGTTATGAAATACTGAGTAGTTGGCGTTGTGGATACATGGCATAGCATGGAGGCATAGAAGAGATGCTCATTATGGAGTTGTATGTTAAGAGCTGGGCTGGTCCTGGAATTAATGCGATGGTGTTATGATTTTGATTGTGCTGTTGATTGTGCGTCTGTATGTGTGTATGTGTGTATGTGTGTATGTGTGTATGTGTGTATGTGTGTATGTGTGTATGTGTGTATGTGTGTATGTGTGTATGTGTGTATGTGATTTCTTTCTGTGCATGTTGTCGTGATTTCTGACTAGAACGTGGTGGATAGTTGGGGATGTGATATAACAGATGTACAGCGAGATTCTAGAATTATAGAAATATTAAAACAGGAGATTTCCATCTACGTGTTTCATCCTTTGCAAGTGTTGCTGTTGAAAACAACGACGGTACTATATGATAAAACTGCAGTATAGATATTCTGCTCTAAACACTGCCGGCAAGAAAGTCTAGATCTAAAGAAGAAGGAGAATCTTGATATCTCCAAGTGACTACTTCTACGGGATCAGAGAGATGCCAGGCTGAGACATATAGAATAACGACTACTCAGTGATAAGAACGTAAGGTCAGCTTAACATAAAATGATCAAAATCCACGGTGTGATACATCGCAGTATTTTCCGGTATTGTAAGAATATACAAGACAAAAAATTGATAAAAATCTAGAATATAAAGTGTATCAGGAGATCCACCAGTGGGTGTATGGACTCACGGAACAGTACAAAGATAAACTTGTGAATATCTTTTGATATATCGAATCGTTTATTTTAGGAATTGTTAAAATTCTTGAATAGAGAAGAAACAATCAAAATATGAATTCTGATATTAGACAATTAAAGAATAAATTTATAAAAAATATTGAAAATTGGGAAGTATCCTATTAATCTATATATCGACTGGTGATCTATATTTTAGCATATCACTCCTCCTTTTGCAATGCTATGTGATCTTGTGATGCTTGGAATTAATGATTGAAGAACGGGCTGGATCATCGATGCATTTTCGTTGCATGGTCATGAGGAGGAGTATGGAGATGTTGTGATTGGGTTGAGTTGAGTTGAGTTGAGTTGAGTTGAGTTGATTTGAGGCTTACTTTGTGGATGTGTTGGATCTTGTAGGATGTGTGCTCTCCTGGTGATGGGGATGAATTGGAGATTTTTGTCGGACTTGGGATATGAGAGATTCGAGGAATCTTGGGGAAGGAAGATGAAGTGAGAGTGAGATGTGTATGTGAGAGATGTGCGAGTGATAAATTTGGGAGGCGGTGATGAGATGTATTAATTAATTGATAAGTCTTCCTTAAATGGCATTTTTAAGAAAAACAAATTCAAAGTACCTCTACTAACATATCCATATACAAACACCTAGAACCCCAGATACAAAACCTTGATTCTAGCATCCAAAGATCGTCCCCAAATACCACACAAGATAATATTGAGACTACTAGCCCGTCTATCCCGATCATTTACTCTCCCTTACATCATATTCCACACCCATACATTCTCCAGCTCATCTGATTCTGATTTCCCAACTTTAGGGAAAGAGGACAAAAAATAATAAAGGTAGAAAAGATATGAAATGAAACAGCTCTCGGTATTCTCCTTCCACATTCCTACGCTGGCGAGTAACGATTGTGCATGGTGGTGGAGGAGAAAAATGGTTGCTGGGGAGGAATGTACATATACCACCTGTGATTTTTTTACCCAGGGAGGAAGCGGTCGAAGAGTGTTTTTCTAGCTATTTATATAGAGAGAGATTCCCTCGCATTGTTCTGGAGAAAGTACATCTTTGATATTATATCCATCTTGAATATAGACACATTTTCTGTTTGAGAAATATTTGATAAGAAAATGCATTTCCTCACTCAAACACTCATCGCTGCAGCATTCCTCGCAGGCGCGGTTTTCTCGGTTCCTCAGGGTATCCCTCCCAATGGCAGTGGCGGTGGTGATCAATCTACTGTACGTTTCAATATTCCTCTTTCCCAGTTTCCCCTCTCCCCTGTCTCCTCTCTCCTCTTTCCTCTCTCCTCACACCTCTCATCTTCCTCACCCCTTCTCCATCCTCCACAAACAAAACTAACCAAAAAAAGTGCCACTGGAACTGCTGCGAATACGATCCCTCCACCTCCGGCACACTCTGCAGAAACAATACCGCACCGTATCCATACGGTGTCGATTGTTATCCAGCGTTGGACGCAGCAAATATGACGTGTTGCCATCAGACGAATTGTCAGGATCAAACTTACTTTACGACGCCGATTGTGGTTATATAGTGAGGGGCTTGGAGGTATTGTGGGATTGCGCAGTGGGTATGAGTGTGGGTTGGTTATTGAGGCGGGTCTTTGGGAGGAAAGGTGAATTGGTTAGTGGATGGTGGGTTTGGGACGGAGTTGAGTGGAAGCAGGGGTGAGGTATTATGGCTTTGAGAGGGGTGTTGGCTGGGCCATTTCGTTGGGATCTTTGGATCATAAGGGAATTGGGCGACTGATTTCGATTTGAGCATGCGAAGTAGTGCTTCTGGCTTTGTTTGGGATTGGACGATGTCACTTTCTTTTTGGATAATCGGTTTACTAGGTAGCAATGGAACAAATTTGTGGGGTACTAGTCTGTCAATCTCTGGGGCATTAAAATGATGAATCTGGTCAATGTGAAACATGAGATGTGAGACATGAGTTGTAGTTTGAGAGAAGCAATAAGCATTGAATGACTTAACCCAGTTCGGAAGCTATCTTATCTGTGAAAGTAAATCCGCAACTAAGTTGCTTATATTTTGGTTAGATCATTCAAAGAAAAAACGGATGTTTCAATGCCTAGATAATAAGGGTTAGCGAATTGCTTTTGCTTTTCTTCAGGTGCAACCTACCTCATCCGCAGTCATTCTGTTACCACTTTCATAAACAACCAAACTCGCGACCAAATCCCTCCCATCTTCCTCTGCATTAGGTAATAATTCTTCCCATGGTTTGCTCGGGAAGATATTCCACCACTGAAACGGATTCGTTTTCCACTTCATTGCTTCCGGCCATGTCTCCGCAGTTGGTGTCCCTAAGGTTTTGAACATACTCAAAATCAAACCCAATTGATTCCCATCCTCATCCCCGCGTCGGCTTTCGAGGAGTGGGGCAGGAGGCGAGCGGAGACATTCAGCGAGAAGAACACCCGTAGACCAGAGATCAAGAGACGTAGTGTAAGCTGTGTTAGAAAAGAGAGTTTCGGGGCAGCGATAGCATGTAGTACCGACCTCAAGACATTTTTGGTCGGATGGCTCAGCAGATGAGGAGATGGTTGGGTGCCATGCGGTTCCAAAATCGGTGATGACAACGGGAGTTTGACCATCGATATCCTGAGGTAAAAGAATATTGGATGGTGATATATCACGGTGAATAATTTGTTCTGCATGAAGGTATGCGAGCCCGGACAACACTTGTTTGAAGATCTTTTTGGTTGTGCGTGTGTTGAGACCATTGCTACTTCTTGATAGTAGATCTGTTAATGTGTGTGGCATATATGGCAATATCAGAACTAATCTTGATTCTTGATCATATATTGTTGTGATAAGTGATATTATTGAAGGGTGTGAGAGCTTTTTGAGGATAGCAATTTCACGAGTGGGAGAATGTGGCTCCATGTTATGAGTTTCTGTTATCACTTTTAGAGCATAGGAAGCCTCTTCAGTATCGCACCTATAAACTTGAGAGACAGCACCACTGGATATATGGTGACAATTTTTATAAGATCCTATGATGATACCAGGACTTTTGGGTGTTGGCAACATTGTCGATAAAGAGGCTTCACCATTTTGCTGGGTAGGATTACATAAATCGTCGTAGGCAGCCTATGTATTGCATCAGTAGGATAGCTACAAGAAGTTGAAAGCTCACTTAACTCAAGAGTAAAGGGGGTTTCTCCTGGCGAACTACAAAGAACAGAAAATGGAAGCAGAGAGTATTACGAGAAAAGGGGAAAGATATACTGATCACGTGACCAAAATGCTTATATTTGAAACTATGAACTTACTCTTGATGACGAAGAATTATAAGCCTCTGTTTCTATTTCAAATGCCGTTTTCTGCGTGTTGCCGCCAAGCCCACCAACTGAGAGATATTTCTTTCTATAATTAGGAAGATTAGCCTTGACAATTTATGTGTTGAAAGGGAGTGGTGCTACTTTACAACTTTGAGATATTATCATATCGTTCAGAAGCTTTCAAATCATGCTTCCAATCTGGTACAGCGCTCATGGTGCAGAGCTGAGGAAATGTCAACAATGATAAACTCGATATAGATAATGTTCTCTTGTAGGTCGTGTTTCTCTACAAAAAGATGCTTTATCCGAGGTGATTACTTTACTTCGTATTAGACAGGAGATGATCTCTCTCGTTTTCGGATAAAGTTCGGATGTGTCTTACTGGAAATATGAGAAGTCTTGTCTCTTGTGAATGAGGAGATCAAAAGCAGTGGATATGGGAATGTGTGAATACGTGAATATTATTAGATGATGGATACTATGGATACCTACTACGTAGAGCACCAAGAAAGTCCAGACTATTCCCCTTTTGTCTATCTCAAGTAGTTGGGCAACTAACCACTTTGATACGAATTAATTGCTCGACTTATCATTTCAGACTGATTTTATCTACCTGACATGCTTTACTTTTACCTCCTTCAATGCATCTGAGGTTTGATAATTTCTCGTGAGAAGAACAAGTGACACATCACGTGCTCACCCAATTTCACCTAGGAGAGGATGCAGCAAGTATTTGCATTGCTCATTTTGTTTTTGCATGATTCTCCAACAAGGATTATGTATGGAAGCAACCGACAAAGCATCGACCAATCAATGCCAGAAGGAGAAAGAGCCGCTTTCACTCCTTCGAGCTTGGAATCGTGGAGAACTTCTAATTCCGAGAGCGCATGATATTTATCATATATTGATATTATACTGTCTACTCCATAGTACCTTTTATAAGAGAGAGTACTTGACATACAATTTTATATTTACAAGAAATAATTCTCCATTCATTCCTTTTTACAATAAGTACAACTGCAACTGCAACTACAACTGCTTACCTACAAAGAAGAAGAACATGAACAATCATTAGTCACACTAGATGATCAACTCATTGGGAAGTTAGGATTACAACAAATCACAAATATGGATGCAGTAGACCGACAAGAGTATCCGGCTATGCTGGTAAGTTATTCCTTTTTCCTCAGAATCACTGCACACCGAGTCTTAATTCTTTAATTCTAGGATCGATTACAACCAGGCCCAGCTGCAGTAAAACTTAATGAGCGTGTGAAGAGGATAAATAAAGTGAATACGGAAATCGCGGATTGGTTGCAGGTACATATATTATCGGATGGATGGCTGCGATGGCACATTATTTACACATTCAATAGGAGCGCCGCAAAGTAGAAGAACAATATGCTTCCGGTCTCCGAAAGCTTGCGCGCAGACCTTTACAAGAAACTGGGGGAGATTTGGGGTATGGCATGTTGGGATATTCGATTTTAGCTTGAACTAACCGGAACGTAGGGTATTCGATACACCATGGAGAAAAATTGTAAATTCGGTCGAATCGATCGCAGATTCTCATCACAATTTGGCTGAACGTATCGCCAAGGATGTTGAACAACCATTGCGACAATTTGCTACCCAAAATCGAGAAATGCAGGGAATGACAACAATACAAGGAAACCTCGCGGCGATGGCTAAGGAGTTGGAAGATGCGCAACATGCTTCAGACAAGCTCAGTAAGAAGGGGGGGAAAGCAAGTACGCAAAAGGTGGAGAGTGCCGCTGCCAAATTACAGAATGCGGAACAACAATGGCAAGCACAAGCTCCATTCATATACGAGAGTCTTCAGGCAGTAGATGAAAGGCGATTGAACCACCTCCGCGATATCCTCACGCAATTCGAAACACATGAAGCCGATAGAATTGAGAGAAGTAGAGTGGCCGTTGAGCAAACCTTGACCGCATTGTTGGAGGTAGATACTGCCCAGGAAATTAGGAATTGGTCTGAAGCATCTACCGCGGGAAGACCCGTCATGGAACGGCCTGTTAGACAACTTTCGAGCGCTGGAGAAAGTGGCGCAATGCCATTACCTCCGCCTACTCCACGGTCTACACATTCAGCAGCTGCTAGTGATATTTCAAAGCAAGAAGGTTCTAGTGGTAAGCTAAAGTTCCTGAATCATTGCTATTCCTATAGAAAACACTACTCTACATAATCGTGTGATTTATGCTAACCTACGTCATTTAGAGTCGAAGCTGAAGAGCCGATTTGGCACGATGCTTCAACGTCGACGCCAAAGCATTCATGGAGGATTTGCTCGCGCCCCATCACCAAACAAGGGATTCGCGAGTTTGAATCGCAATTCCAACAGCAGTTCAGGACGGCCAACCCTTTCACCTCATACTTCATCAAACAACTTGCGAGACTCCTCTTCACAAGACAACCGACTTTCTGCTCTTCCTGAATCGCCATCTAATCGCGATACTTTACAACCAAATGGCAACTCTCATGGCATGGGTCAAGATTCGTTAAGCGCATCGGATGCAATTAGACCAGCTACTTCCAATGGTGTACCAAGCCCGGGAATGATGGATCTGTCAGAAGTTGAACCACCATCAGGTCCACCTCCATCGCATTTCAAAGAAGCCCAAACAGATTCTGAAGGCTTCTCAGTGCCAGCAGCCATGAACGATCCTATATCGCAAGCTCTTCATGAAGCAGCGCAGGAGCAAAATGAACCTCAATTTAAGCTTGATATCCGAGATCAACCGATTCCCGAGCAAGATGCAGATGCACAAGCTGCGTTATCAAGTGTTGCCAATACTTTGCGTTCATCTCAATTAACCACCCCTGGTAGAAAAGTTGGTACCGTCCGAGGTCGAAGAGATGTTCGGAACACAGTCTATGTCCCTTCGCCCAATCTTGACGTTAGTAGCATAGAGAACAACTTGCCTCCTTCTCCTGCTTTCTCGCCTGCAGTGGCACGTGCGGCAGCATTTGCAGCTATTTCGGAGCATGGCCATGCTGCGCCAAGTGTATCTGATGCAAATTCGATTCGTTCCGGACACTCTCTTTCCAATAATGTTGTGGTTAAACATGCTGATATGCATCACCCTGGCCTCAATGCGTCAATGATAGAGACTGTCAGCGCCACACTAGAAAATGGGGTAGTTAAGACAGTTAAGGTTAGTGGGGAGATTGCTTTAAGCTATATTTCGTCACCGAACGATGCTTCGTTGCCAGCTTCAGGTAAGTCAGCCTCAATACATGCAGCTGCAAAGTCTAACGTATATAGGAACCGAAACAATCAGAATCAACAACTTCCCCGCTCTAGAGGCTATTGGTCCTAATAGAACATTCATTCATCCAGTATCAGCAGAGAAATCGGATGAATTTACAGTGGACCTCGCGTCGGTATCGCACAAAACATCACCCGCATTCACTTACCGAGTGCACATTGATGACAAGGACATGGCTGGTTATTCGCCATTGTTGTTAAAACCGGCGTGGAAACCGGTTGGTGATAAGCTCGGTCTAATCATCGAGTATGCACTCAATCCAGCTTTCTCCTCGGATGCCATAACTTTCAACAACCTTGTTATCGTAGGTAAATACACAGGAGCTGGAGCTGCCGTGTGTAAATCCAAACCTTCTGGCACCCATTACCGTGACAAGTCTGCTATTGTCTGGCGTCTTGGCGATGTCACTCTCGGTCATGAATGGCATAAAATGAGTGCCTTGTTTTCCGGTTCAGATGGCGCGGTTCAGCAACCAGGTCATGCGGAAGCCAGATGGGAAGTTCAACGCCCTATTTCTGGTAGTGGCATCAGTATTTCAAGACTGGAAGCAGCTAAAGGTGCTGAAGAGTCAGATCCATTTGCAGATGAATCGTTGGCTCCAACGGCAGGTAACTGGGTGGAAATTGAGACTAGCAGGAAGATTGCCAACGGGGTGTATGAGGCAAGATAAAACACAGCATGAAAAATGGGATAGGATTGAAGGTTGAGGACTCAGGAAAGAATGGAGTTCTTTTCAGGAGTTTTTTTCTTCCATTTTTTTGCATGCTCTTAAAGAGTATTTGAAAAGTACATAGGTGCACACAGGAGGGTTCAAAGCATAGTGGAAGTGTAATGGTTGGAGCATGGTGGAAGCGTTTCTTTGAGTTGATACCTAGCGTTTCACGCTATTCTTTTTCTTTTTCTTCTTGTAGTGTAGTATGTGGATGTATGTATATACTCAATAACCAGCTTGTTTGAGATTATGACATGAATATTTTTGTCTATTTGTTTTGTTCATTCAAGTCGTGATTATGAAGTGATCGATATTATGTTCACATCCCAGTGGTCTTTCTTCGTGATATGCATCACATTTCCTTCTTTTAAAACGACATTGTAGTGATATTGCACGTGGGATGGCATTGAGCTTTCGTTTGGGGAAGGAAGTTTTCAGCTTTGGGTTTGAGAATTGAGAGAATAGAGTGTGAAGGGATGGGAGAGCTGTGGTTTGATGACCGTGTGTTTTATTCGAGGGTTCCGTGTGAGGGTGGTAGCGATGGGGAGGGGCGATGATCCTTGTTCTGCTGAGAATTCAAAGATTTGGGGTTGCAGAGTTGAAGAGTTGGCGATGCTGGGAATTGAGTTGTGTGTGTATGTGTATGTGTTAGGTGGGTGTAGGGTTTGATTTTGTTTCGAGGTTGTGCTGATAGAGCAGGATGGTGGGGGGATTGGTTGATTTGGGGTGGGGGTGAGGGCTAATGGGTTTAGGTGGTTGGGGTGGCTGGGGTGGTTCTTGAGGTGGGATGAGAAATCAGGATGGAAGGAGGTGCAGTGAGTTATGCTGGGGAAGGAGGGGAGTAGAAAGAGGGGTGGGGGAATGAGATGGGATGGGATGGGCTGTGATATCTCTCAGGTAGCATGGTGAGTCTTCTGATCGGAGAAAGTGTGGTTGCCATTGTGGTTGTGATGAATACTAACTAAATAGATAGATACGAATTGGGAATCATAGAACTATTACACGATTTCGCAATGAGGGGTTAATATGGCGATTTTGTGATACTGGAGTTTCTCGGAGAAATTTGTGGTGAGATGGTGTATGTGTTTATGTATGTTTGTAACATTTGGGAATGGATATGGAATTTGGAATTACCTACGTCACTGCCCTCGTTGCTCCTTCTGGGTTTGTGATATGGAATTTGGAATTGGATTATATTACCCCGCTCTGGAATCTGGATGTACTTTGTAGAGCTTGATTATTATCGAGAGAAAGATCCGTAATTTTCTCTTACTTACAACTTCTTCAACCTCTTACAACTTCCTACAACTTTCTACCACCACAACAACAATCCCTCACACCCCTCCATACATACTACTTCCAACCTTTCAATCCCATTACCAAATCCAGTCATATACAAGCAATCATGTCCATCTACGGAAACGAAGAGCAATCTGACAATCACGGCGAGCAATCCGAGACCTACGGTGAGAAGCAGAAGACTGGTATGATAGTTTTATTAATCCTTGAGCTTCCCTTTCACTTACTGAGTTGTAGCAGGTTATGAAGGTAGAGAAGATGATAATCAATCTGGTGGTGTGTATTTTTCTCTTCTGTCCACTTTCCGTTTTGATGAAAATTTGGATATGGTATCATATTGTGGCATGAAGTGAGGCTGATTTTCAAGATGCAGGATATGGTGGTACAGGAAGAGATAATACGAGCGGTGTTCTAGGTGAAGATGATGATAATGAGTCGGGTGATGCTCATGGTACCACTAGAGAGGATGGTTATAGTAGTACCAGGAAGGATGACACGAACAGTGGCTTTTGTCAAGATGATACAGTATCTGGTGATAGCTATGGTAGCACTTGGAATGAGAATACGAGTGGCGGCTTGAATGATGATGGTGTATCGTCTGGAGATGCTTACGGCAGCACCAAGAGCTATGGTACGACAAGTGGATATGTTCAAGACGTTACCTCATCTGGAGGTGCGTATGACGGTACTGGAAGAGACACTGCAGGAGACAATTCACAATCTGATGATAGGTATGGTAGCATCGGAAACAACAATGCAAGAAGTGGCTTGAGTGATGACAACATCTCATCCGGAGATACATATGGTAGCACTGGAAGAGATAATACATCATTTGGTGATGCATATGGCAGCACCAGGAAGGATGACGCAAGCAGCAGCTACAATAATGATGTCACATCCACGGATGATGCATTTGGCTCTACCACTGGTGCCGGAAGTAGTTCATATAATGATGACAAGATTGGTGGATTTGGAGGAGTCAAGGCTAGCTCTTCTGAATACGGTGATGTTACTGCTGACTCTGACGTCTCAGGTGGATATGGTAGAGACAAGAGTGATTCTCAAGGTTTGGGTGGAAGTGGTGATAATACTATATCTGGAGGCTATGGTGATGATGACAACCAAACCTCCAGTGGTTATGGAGCCGCCAAGTCTGGTTATGGAGAGGGAGATTATGATAACAATCATCAGACAATCTCCAGTAGATATGGTGATGATGACCAGAGCAAGTCTGCATTGAAGAAGGGCTTGGAAAAGGCGAAAGAATTGTTCCATAAAAACTGAAATGAATGGTGATATTTTGAGGATGCGACGATCATTGAGGATGAGATCTTCTCTTTAGCTTTTGCGGGGATTGCGCTGTGGATTTATTCACCCACGCAGAGTTTGTCTGAGAAGCGATGATTTTAATTCTGCTCAATCATCTGGGGTACCAGTACATGCGGGCGCGAAGATATCAGAGATGTGGAGACTTTTATTTATCCAATTCATATGTGAATTCTGAATTTGATGCTGGGATGCGGAGATATTCGGATTGCGATGGATTTCAGTCAATGGTATTCCTTCAGGGCCATAGTTTCTCAATGAACTTCACTTTGGCCAGATACTTTTCAATTTTGATTGTGAAATTGGTTGATCATCCGGTTGATATAAACTCTCTTGCTTTTAGCACCAGGCTCAGTTGTCTCTGAGAGGTCGGATATCACAGGCCACTGAGTGAATGGAATAGGGGAGCTTCCGAGTTTCTAAAATTTCCACGTCTAAAGAAGGAGATCAAACGAAACGGTAGGTGTAGATATTTTCAGTCAAATTATGCCATGTGGCAAGCTTGAAAAGGGCTTCAGCTTATCACTAAATTCTCATTCCACGAAACATTTTTTCTTCGATGGGAAGTTTCTTAACATTTCGATATTCTAGGGAGAACTTGAAGACTAAATCAAGGCGGGCAAATCATTTCGTAGTTCGCTCAAGAGATGAAGAATGCGGCAGAGGAACATGTGTACCTGATGTTTCGGATTTCGATGTAGATACTTTTGATGAGAATCTGGTGCGTTATTTTTCACAGGTATGTGCATAGACAAGACTGTTTTTGGTGATCAAGAGAATAGTACATGGTATAGTTTCCTTCACAATGATAATGAATGCTTGGGGTTGAGCATCGCAACAAAGACGGCTTAACTGTTGGATATAGAAAGGATGATGTGTGTATGATACAACATCACTGAAATGCCGTATTATATCAACTGCACTCTATAGTATGGTACTAACTATACCATTCACTTTGTGAGTTCTTTCTTATTTCATTGCGTTATTATTTGCATAGAAGATGTAAGAAAGCCAGTCATAGGAGAAAGATTCTCAGCGTCATGTATCATAGTTTTATAGGCAGGCGGCAGCCGAGTTCTTAAGCTAACTTGCAGCAGAGCCTTGGGAATGTTCATATGCTTGATAAGGGACAAGAGAAAGCAGATCTACGAATAGAATAGAACGAGCTCATCTACTACGTCACATAAAGTTGATATGAAGGGCAAGCACGCATATATGACTTTCTATTATTCTACTCCAATATTCCATTCTACACTACCCCAGCCATCCCTTCTCTCCCTCAGCTTTCCACAAACTATCTCCCTCCTTTCTCCTTCATCAACCAAAAATAGCTCGTTCATCCAAAACCTTGTCTCTAATCCTCCTCCCGTTCTCAATGTATGCCCCTCGTTTGCCTAACTGTAATCGCAAGCACAGTTGACCCATGCATTGTTACAGTCGTTGGCAGCGTATACCTAGTACTTTTTAGTTTGAAGAGTCTTATGCTATATCAACAGAAATACTTGCAAGTCCAGCAGCTTCGCACGAAGCTTCGCATTGCGCCTTAGTGGGACAGGTATAAGGACCCCAGCTATTCTGGCGGTTTTCAATAACAGAGCCCATGCCAAGAGTAGCGATGGCGAAAACGACAAGAGAAATAGAGGCCTTCATGCTGAGAGTTTTAGGGTAGAATAGATGTTGTATGTTTCTTGGATTGTGTGAGGAGACTTACCTAATGGAAGAATAATAGTCTTTTCTGGCTAATGCTCTCGTTATTTATATCGCCAGAAAAGTATGTGTGCCATGCTTAGTCCCACATTACCGGGAATGACATTAATGTATCATTAAGCAATATCCGGTGAGCTTATCGGCCGAATTGTGGCATATAGTATAACGGGAGTTTCAAGTGAGGCTATCTCCATATTTCAATATATCCGATTCACTCAAAAACCTCACCGGTTAGGGAAAGTAACGAAGTCCTGCCGGTACTTGGGACCACCTCCTGTATAAGGGCAATAAGGATCCGGTGGCCTTGGTACGGAAGAGGCTTTCAAGTGGGGTTCGCGCACCCCATGGCTGTGGCGAGAGGTATTCCCCAATGGCAAGATAAAAATGTAAGCAGACTTCCCTTAAATGATAAGCAGAATACATGGGGTGCGCGATTTCCACTTGAAACCACCTTCCGTACGTAGCATCTCACATACTGGCTAATATACACAGTAAGTCAGGTAGCGAAGTCAGGTACCGAGTGGATATTTCTGAGGAATAAGCAGGCTGCATTAGCTCGGAAACTCTAACTTGCAGGGAGATATCCACGTCGTAGCTAAGACTTAACCGAAAGCTGCAGCTTGCTTATGTTTCTAACGAAGCGAAAGGGTGCACGCACCTTATGAGCTCGCATTTTCGGTCTTTCTGAATTAGTTCCTGTTCATCATTTGTAACGCCTGGTTTTTCGATCAAGACTGGGAGACGAAAATCTTACAGACTGCTAATATTGCGAGCATGGCGTCCACCTCGGTGCTCTTATTTGGAGCCACGGGTTACATTGGAGCAGCGTTTCTGTCCCGCTTTAGCAACAAATATCTTAAATCTCCATCACCACGATATAAACTTACAGCATCAACTCTAAGTCCTGAGAAAGCTAGAAGACTAAGGGACTTATTGGAAAATATCGAGACGACGGATGTTACGCTTGATGATGGTGTAAAGCTTGAAAGGGAGGTGGAGAAACATGACATTATAATCCAACTAGTCAGTCTTCGCACGTCTTAATACTTTTTGGGGAAATAGATACATTCAGCTGATTCTGCGAAGGTTGATTGTGATGCCCTCGAAGGCACCAAGTCTATTTTGAAAGGAATGAAGACGAGAAAAGAAAAAACAGGACACCCGCCAGTTCTCTATCATGCTGTAAGTCCGCTAGTCTTAGAGTCAAACTGCGTTTACTAACGGTATTTTTTTATCTAGTCAGGGGGAGGTAAGTTTTCTCCGACTACCTTGTAGCTCAAGCTGATTCATTATTAGCGTTTCTTTTTGACGATAAAATGAATGGCTATTCGTCCCATGTAATCATTTCTGACATGGAATCTGACCTTATTAATGATATCCCCATAAGCAAACCCCGTAAGCAGATCCTTCTTAGATTTGTCATTTATAAGTAAGAGAAATCCAAGATCGCGTTGTCGACCACAGTATTGCCAATGCCGATGAGGCTGGTGATTTACTATCCTTTATTATAGTACCATTTGCCGTGTATGGCACCGCTACGGGGTTAATCCACGAACACAAGCTTGGTAACCAAACATCTATGCCTGTTCCACGACTCATTCATGTTTCTGTGGATAGAAGAGCCGTGGGACAGATTGGACCTGGTGAGAACCCATGGATGATATCGCACGTCAATGATGGTTGGTCTCCCAAACTCAATTTTATTCTAGGAAACGATTCCGGCCGGATTTTGCTGACGATTCTTTTAGTAGCGGATCTGTTCATGGCGTTAATTGAAGATACTACAAAGGGATACGGAAAAGACGGCTTCTATTTTGCTGATGGAGGTTCCGTTCTAGCCCGCGATGTCTTCAGAGTTATGGCAGAGACTCTCTATTCAATAGGGTTATCCGAGGAACCGTCTCCAAATACTTACACCGAAGAAGAACTAGACAAGTACAAAGTAATAACCTTCTCCCTTATACACAACCCTTGTTATACTAACATAGAATCAGATCGGTTTCTGGGGCGCAAGTATTCAAGCAACAGGTGATAGAGCAAAGAGTACCGGTTGGAATCCTCAGCATACGGTCAGAGAATTCCAAGGTTATGTCGTGACTGAGACGAAGAGACTGGCTTTTCAGCCTTTGCAGTCTTATGGAAGGTGTCTCGATTACTCGGATGAGAATACGTATACGTCTTCTAGGCAACAATTGTAGTGAGATTAGGAGCCACATAGCAAGGCAGTCAAACCTTCTTGCACCTAGCGCTGTTCAACTCGAGCGGGACCTGACATTCTAGGCGTCGCTAGACATCACGAACACCGGTGATCGTGACGGCTGGGAAGTGGTTCAGATATACATCTCTAGCAACGAGAGTCGAGTAGCAAGGCCCAAGAAAGAATTGGAGGCGTTTCCGAGAGTTTGGATTCGGACGGGCACCTCGGAACCTGTCACCTTCAGCCTTGACAAGTACGCTATATCTTTCTGGAATGAAGTGCGTGGGGGGTGGCTCTCATAGAAGGGGACCTATCGCATCATTGTTGGCAGGAGTGCAGATCCCAAGGACGAGATCATGTACCGTGGTATTAAGCTAGAGGAGGATTTTCAGATGGTCGGGAATTTGATCTAAGATATTTTAGCAGTATTATATTATACCTATCATTACTCATCATAGCCTTTTCTGATTGCGATACTCAAGGAGTCCAGACAACCGAAAATAGTATGAAGTACGTCACTGAGATGGCACCCGCCTTAGAACAAGTTCAGAAAATTAAGACGTAGATTAACTGTCTTAATGAGTCTGATTTGTTCGGGGTCAGGAGATTTGGACCAGCAAAAAGTATCGTCTTAACGCGAATATCGCGCTATCGAGTATCGTCTTGTCGAGACTCCACTGTATCAAGAACTAATAGTCAGGGATCGGTCAATCTGATTGGGACTTTTTGTCAAAACCAACCAATACCGTTAGAAGTCATGATAGAACCGTCACTTACTAGATTTTAAAACTTCAAATTGAAACGTAGTGGTGAGGAAAGCTAATGATTCTGACGAAGACTGCACTTGAAATTGACAGTTCTGTGGAAATCGTTGGATTTCTTGCTCCCATAGGGACTGAGACTCTTATAGCAGTGTTCTATCACATCGCCCTTTGACTCCACTGGTTCCAAATTCATGTGTTAGTCAAGGAGCCGTCCTGAAAATGCCCTTCACGTGATTATGGAGATTCTGCTTGTGCTGCAATCCTATTCAATAGACCCTGCATCAGAGCCAACGTCATTCTTTGTTGCGGGCTAAAAGTTTCCGCTTGAAATGCTTTATGAAATCTTGTGGACTAAATGTTTTTTGAACAGCAACCTCTGCTCTCCCAAGCAGAGCTTGGGAGGGTACAATGAATGACTTCTCTGAGCCTCTGAATTATGCCTTAACAAGTTATTACATGCTTCGGCCATAACCCGGTCACCTTTATCCTTCGACTTTCGCTACTTTCCTATGAGGATCAGTCTATTCCTTTCAAAACGAAGCTCTATCGAGAATCCTGTCTAGCTTGGTCATCCTGATAGTGGGATTCTAAGTGTATGGTCATGAGAAGACAGATGACTTACTGAGTAAGCAGTGTATATAATAAAAGAATGCATAACGTAGTTTAACACCGAGTGGCCTATATTATCGAGTGGCCCACTTCAAAATACACCAATATTAAGCTTTTTTAATATTTATATTTTAATAATTAAATATTATTTTTATAAAAGAAAAAGATATTAAATAATAATAAAAAATCTAGTTTTTATATAAATATTTCCATTATATTTTTAAAAAAATCAAAATTGTTACAATTTTCGTGGTAAAATTTTTATTTTAATAATAACTCATATATCAATTTGAATTTTCCAAAACAAATTAGATTTTTATAATATTTATATAATTAAATATTCTAATTTCAATTTTTGAAAAATTCTATTAATAAATAAATAAAGTGCACAATTATATACAGATGAATTTTATATGTATTTTGAAGTGGGTCATTTAATAATATAAGCCACTCAATATTAAACTATATTATATATAATATGATTTATCATCAAATAAACTATATCATTAAATAGATCATCATTTTTATATATAAAATTTGTTTATATATAATTATACACTTTCTTTATTTATTAATAGAATTTTCTAAAAATTAAAATTATAAATTTTAATTATATAAATAATATAAAAATCTAATTATTTACTGAAAATTTAAGTTATTATAATAATTATTATAAATTTTTTTTATAATGAAAATTGTAATAAATTTCATTTTTTTATATAAATATTAGATTTATAAAAAACTTACTTTTTATTATTCTTTTTAATTCTTTTTTTTTTCAAAATAATAATTAATTGTTAAAATAAAAATATTAAAAAAGCATTAATTTTGGTGTATTTTGAAAATAGCCCACCAGTGGGTGCACGGACTCACGGGACAGTCTGTATAGCTTCAAAAAACCCAAAATGAGATAATATTACAACTAAATAACTAATAATTATTATAATTTTGATTATATATGGTTCCCATTTGTATCAATTATAATTCTATATCTATTGAGTAATTTTATATATCTTTTTTGAATTTTTTTTTATATAATTTTGCTTTATTTATTCTATATAATCTTCTTTAATTTATTTAACATTTTCTATTATTTTTTTTAAACTTATTGTTTTAATATATTCCAAATACTTTTTATTGGATTCAGATTAGGTAAATTAGAGAGGTGAAATAAATTTTCGATATTGTATATATCCTTAAGCTTTTGTATAAAATTATATTTAATAAAATTATAGGAATTGTTATTATCCTCTATTAAAAGCTATTTATATATAAAATATTTTGCTTGTAGTTTTTCAATTGTTTTTATATATATCGTAGGTCATAGGCTAGTAATATAGTATGGAAGCTGGCTCAGGTTAACGACTAAAATGGATTATATAAGCAGTGTGACACGTGATATTAAAGAATCTGTATTTTATATTTTTAGCTTTTATTTTATATTCAAAAGGAAAAGTCCTCTTTTTATGCTTTTTCCTTTTAATTCAATATTTTTGTTTTTATAAATCTCTTATAAATCTCTTCCTAATCCATTCATTCTTTTGAAATAAAGCCCTTTTTCATATTCTTTATTTTATATCCGTTTTCGGATTTATAGCCGTTTTCGGCTTAATGATTGTTTTCGGATTAATGGTCGCTTTCGTAAGCTTATAAGCGACGATCATGTGATCTGATTATATACTAATATTAGATTGAATGCTATTAAAAAGGTATATATATTATATTATTTTTAATTAAAACAATAATATAGATTGGGAGTAGTTATTTAATATAATATTCCTAGGTTATAGTATTACCCTGAGACTTGATATTCTTGGAATACAACTTTTTAGTTTTTTATATATAGATATACTCTTCATAGGAATTACGATTTTCAGTTTTGGAATATATTTTAGGTTTAGATTCAGACTTAAGTTCATTTGTATATTCCTTTTTATTATAACAGAATTCAAGATTTTCAGTTTTTTCCTTAAAAGTAATCCATATTTTATAATAGATTTTATTATCTTTTAATAAAAAGTATTCCATTATATTTTCTAACTTATATCAAATTCTAGCTTCTTTTAGAATCTCTTCTTTTCTTATAGAAACAAAATCTATATATATTTCATTTGTATATATAATATATTTTCAAAATCTTTTTATAATATTATATTTATATATATTACCAAATATAATGCATTTCCTATACTATCGACTATTAATATATTTTTCTGAATAGGTAGCTTTATAGTATTAATTTTAATTTATAAATTTCTTCAAATTTTTTTGTAAAAAGTATTATTTAATCCTTAATTTGAAGTATTCAATTATCACTTTATAAGATTCAGTTTATAGTTTATTTCAGAAAAATGAAATAAGTATTTTGTAAGTAACCTTATCAATTAATATAGATCCTTCTAGATTCTTTGAAAGTTTACAAATTTATTTATAGATTCGCCTTTTTAATATATTTTTTTCTTAAAGTTATTAATAATTTGTAGAGTTTAATATATCTAACCAAATGGAAATGGAATATATACTTTTTTTTGTATAGTATTAATTGAATTCACCAAAAAAGTATGATTTTTTCAATGAATTATATTCTTTATATAATTCTCTATTAATAGGAATAGTCTTATATTTAATTGATTATATATTAAGTGGTATTTTGAAATTGAATTGTTTGTATATATTTTGAATTGTTTATTTTGAGGCTATTTTCAAAAAACGCGTGTCCTGTGAGTCCGTGCACCCACTGGTGGCCCACTCAATGATAAATCATGTTATTAGGGATATCGGTTAATATCGTTCAAGGGAGAATTTAGTAACTATAGAGGCGGCTGACTATTTACACCGCCTTTGTTCGAAATGGCAGAATATATTCAATAAACATATTAACGAATCCAACCTTTTCTCCCCACGACAATAAACAATTCTTGAAGCTTCGTATAATACAACGCGTCAATTACAACTGCTGATAAACTTCAGCTCAAGGTCACTACATTGAGACTCACTTCGCATTACGAAATTTCTGCATTGCAATATCCAAAAGCATCTATCGACGCGACGCGTGTTGCTACAATGGCTGTTCACGATGTTGCCCCGGGCTACATTACCCTCGAAAGTAGAGTGGCATCTTACCGTAATGCACAACCCCTTACTGGTCGTAGGACGTCGACCACTGGATCCAAAGCTCCAAAAAGTCTTAAATGGCCGCACAAATCTTTGCTACCAGAAGAAGTATGAAGTATTCTATCTTTGTTTGCTTTTCGCTCGCTGACCTTACGCAAAGCTTGCAAAAGCAGGTTTCTTTTACTATCCTTCGCAATCCAATCCCGACAATTGCGCTTGTTTTCTCTGCCATAGATCTATTGATGCCTGGGAGGAAGGTGATGACCCATTAAAAGAACATTTGAAGCATTCACCAAATTGTGGATGGGCGATTGTTGCCTCGATTGAGGCACAAGATGAAGAATTGAGCAGGGAATTTCCCGCCAGTTTGAGAATGGTCGAGGCTAGGACTGCGACATTTGCAGGAAAATGGCCTCACGAAGCAAAGAGGGGCTGGAAATGCAAGACTAAACAGGTATGGACTGTCTGTTACCCATGACAACATTTATATTGACAAAGTAATAGTTGGTCAACGCTGGATGGAAATATACTCCAACCGAAGAATCGAACGATATGGCGACTTGTACTTATTGTTCATTGGCATTAGATGGATGGGAGCCATCTGACAAGCCATTGTATGTTTGAGAATCTCTCCAATGACTACAGAAGCTAACTCACCTTAGGGATGAACATTTTAATCGATCACCCGAATGTCCTTTCTTCATACTTATCGATGAGCATAACTCTGAACTTGCCTTAAAGAAATCAACTACCAAGAGAGGCAGAACATCAAAAGCATCGCGACTATCTACACAATCCGCTGTTACTATTGCTAGTGATGCAGATGTTGAAGAGGGGGATAGCATCATGTCTATAGCCACAACAAAAGGCAAAGCATCTGGGACCAGAGGTCGAAAACCATCGGCCAAAAAGGCAGCCCCAGCTCGGTTATCTACACAACCCGCTATTGATGTAGTTAGTGATGCAGATGTTGCTAGTGATGTAGGTGTTGTTAGCGACGCAGATGTTGCAGAGGGGGATAGTATCATGTCTACAGCCACAACAAAAGGCAAAGCATCTGGGCCCAGAGGTCGAAAACCATCGGCTAAAAAGGCAGCCCCAGCTCAATTATCTACACAGCCAGCTATTGACGTTGTTAGCAATGTAGCTGCCGAAGAGGGAGACAGTATCATGTCTACAGCAACAACGAAAGCGAAGACATCTGCACTCAAAGGTCGAAAGGCCCCGGCCAAAAAGGCCGCTTTAGCTCAATTATCTACAGAGCCCCCCATTGACGTTGCTAGTGATGCAGATGATGTAGATGAGGCAGAGGGTGACAGTATCATGTCTACAGCCACAACAAAAGTGAAGACATCTGCGCTCAGGGGTCGCAAGGCAGCCGCTAAGAGGGTCGAACCAATTGAGGCTCCTAAAGCCCCAACAGCATCTTCCAATCGTGGGAGAAAGAGGAAGAGTGACGACGAGATGTCTCAACCTGATCTTCCAAATCCCCAACCTAAAAAACGTACTACAAGGGCTAGTACGGCACAAGTTGTTATCCCTCAAGCATCCGCTGCACCACTACGAGCACCCACCTTTACAGACTTGCAGAACCAGGCAGGAGCCTCGGACTTGCTTTGGATCGAAGGATCTCCACTGGAATCACCGCCTGGATCTCCACCCCCCTTGTCGCCACCCCAATCTTCAGTCGCGGATAACCAATTTTCAGACACAGAACATCAATCCTCCGATGCGGAAAACCAGTTTCCTGAAAGACCTAATACTCCTCCAAATCAAGGTTCTATAGCACCCAAAACCACCAAGCAATGGGAGCCCGTAGATGCTGAGATGTTTTTCGGTGAAGAAGAACATGAACACTTCTTGGAAGCAATGTCGAATCTCAGAACAGGAAATCTAACCAAAGCGGAGAGCCAAATGTCGGTGGAGCAATGGATTTACCATACAGCAACAGTTGCTCAAGGAAAGCTTCTTGACGAATGTGAGCGAATGGTAGCAGCATTCGAGGCCGAGGGCATGAAGGCATTGTCTTGTCTGGAAGCAATGGAAGTCGTCTGAACTTTTAGTTCAACAGTGCATGGGTTTAGTTGGAATGTGTTCAAATCAGACTTGAATAAGTCTCATGGGGAAAATGAGGGGTATTGGCGTTTGAGCGGGTCTGTTTTTACTCTTTTATTGACTAAATATTATATACCCAGTATCAAGACTATCAAATGACACAATTCCAAATACGCATTGAATTTATGCCTACACCTAACGAGATTTGTGACGCCGAACATTCAATTGAAAGAGCACTTTGTCTGCAAATTATTGAAACTTGAATTCGATGAATTTGATCGCTTCAACGATATGTACATTTTTGGGTATATTATTAATTTATTAACTCTATTTACTTTTTTGAAATCTCGTTGCTCATCTCAGTTTTTATACGAGTTATTGTGCCGGCACCTCCATACACCCTATTGGATAGATTAGTATACATTGTAGGATATTCGCACTCTTGTTTTGTTCCACATGGGGATAGTTAAAATGGGGTGGGAGACTTACATCGCTGTGTAAACCTGGGCGACATTTGCACCTGCATTCAAGACCTCTAATGCTTGCTTTCCATTCGTAATGCCACCAGTAGCGAAAATTACTTTCTGATCATTTGTCTTATTGCCCGGGAGAGACTTTGCCTTTTCGGCGATAGTGGAGACAAGACCATTGTCGTTTGATTCAGTAGTGGTGTCTTGTTGTGGTGGTCCTCGGTCGAGTAGAGCTCTATATCTCTTGACCAAAGACAGTGTTCTCTCGAACATTGGTGGTCCGGAAAACCCTCCTTGTTCTTCAAGAACCCTGCGTTCTCTGGATGAAATTCTGATATCGTCTGGGATGAGCTTGTCTCTTCGGTTTGTAGTATTACCCACAATTATACCGTCAACACCACTTCTCCAAACAGCTTCGACAATACCCTCAATTTGCTCGTCTTGATCTTCATCGGGCGATACCTTGACCATAACCCTAGGCTTTGTTTTCCGATCTACGGACTTGGCGGCCCCGACCACTCCTTCTAAGATTCGGGATAATGGCTCAACTTTTTGTAATGTCCTCAAACCAGGGGTGTTTGGGCTACTGACATTGACTACCAAAATATCGGCATATGGAGCCAATCTCTCGACACAGTGAACGTAGTCTCTTTTGACAGCATCAATGTCATCACCATTGGTATTTTTATTCTTGGCAACTTGTACCGCCAATAACTTCCCGTCCAACAAACTTCCTGGAGGAACACCAGCTTCTCCATTCAAGACCATCTTCTCAGCATCTTCACCTACACCCAGCCCATTTTGATATGCGTATAAACGAACCCGTTCCCTCAATCGCATAGCCATATCATCTGCGCCCTTTGAATTAAGTCCATATCGATTAATCAAAGCATTTTGACTCGGTATACGAAAAACTCTAGGTTTTGGGTTTCCATCTTGAGCAAGTGGTGTACATCCGCCGACCTCGACAATTGCAGGACCCAAAGCAAACAAGGCATCTGGAACCTCTGCCAATTTGTCAAGCCCCGCAGATGTACCAACTGGATTTTGTAATTTCTGACCCCATACTTCCACGCTCAAATCTGCCTTATCTGTATTCCCCTCTCTGAAGCTTCGATCGCGGGGATGGAGACCGAATGAGTAGAGCGTTTTGAGAGCTTTAGTTCCTACATGATGGGCCTCTTCGGCATCGGGATATATGGCACGTAATGCGGGAACCACAAGCCATTGGTGAATGCTAGCTCGGGTATCGGTAATGTATAGATAGCCAAAGCCGAGAGCGAGAGCTATCGAGGTTCCAACGAGGAGATTCTTCGATCGGGTAAGAACTGGGGATGTTTCGGTAGTGGTTGATACGAAGCGTTTGGTAGATATACGGGATGGAGAAGAGGAGAGAATTGGTCGCGATGTACGCAGAGTGCGTAAGAGAGGGCTCGACATATCGAATGTCTGTCCGGGTACGAAGGAAATGGAGGGACGGATTGCTTGCTAACGGGGATGTTTAAAAATGTTGTTCTATGCGTAATAATTAATCTGGCTTCGGGTGGGTTGTTATTCCGTTCCGTGCGAAGCTATCCACTTCACTTCAACCCCACGATTTTTGATGTTTATACCACGAGCATGTCAACACAACGGTCATGTTTTCATACATTCGACAGACAGTGTTTCTGTACAGATTTCTCATAGCATCAAGATCTTGCGAATGATCAAGTGCTAGTAGATTCGCATTGCCATTCTAGCCACCATTTGACTGCTGAATACTGACTGTCACGAACCACCTACCCAGTGACATTCGATATCAATTCCAGACCTCGCCATTTCACACTCATTCATTCTATCTTTTATGATTAAGATTATTATGAATTTTATTCCATTCTCTTGCTTAGTCTCTTGGGCGTAAAGGAGTCTAAATGAGATGGAGACAGCAAGATTGTTCCAGACTCTGTCTTGTCACTATTTTGATTGAAGCTTTCAACCATTCTTCTCATTGAACGCTGGCTTTATTTTGTTGAATTGGCTGCAAGATCGGAGGAAAAACGAAGTGATGTATTTTGAAAAGCTCAAGAGCCTACTCTTTTGGCTGGTTTCTCTTAGATAAGTGATATAGAGATGAAATTCGAGGAGAAGTCTCTCCTTATTTACTTCTTCCTTTGACTCCTTCCCCTGCTTCTCTTCTTCGGAAATTCAATTGCGCTTTATTCTGTGTGCTCTCTAATTTACAATTAGGTCCCCCTCTGCTACCTACATATTTGGATCTACTCGAGCATTATTCCTTTCTCTTTCAAGATACGTTCATAGCTTTCATGATTTTTGGCTCACACAAGATGTTTAGCTATGAGTTCTTGTTACTCTTTCATCTATTTTAATACAATCAACGTAATTCAGTATGGTGAATAAAAATTCAGTTTTATGTTGTTTTCATGTATCATGTGAGCCTAGAGTAGAGTTGTTATTGTTTCTTGTCCTGCCTAGTATGTGTGTCCAATACTATTCTTCACACTGCTCATCTAGCTGTGTAAAACTAATCAAAACTCAACTCAACAAAATTTGATATTCACTAATACAACAGCTGGAAGTTCATTGAAACTACCCCGCTCACATTCACTTCTCCCCGTATCACGAGTATCCTTTAAGGACCTGGGAGGCTTTGCTTCGAGAAATCCTCTTCTTGGCTTATTTTATAACACAAATACTTTGAAGTTTCATTCTGTGCAAAAGACCAACTTTTTCAGCATTTTTCATCTCAAACCATTCAAGGCATCAACTCAGGTCATATTAGCTCTCTGGCATCACAATGGAGAACACACCTAAGGAAAAAGTAGAGAATGATCAAATCGCAACGATGGACAAAGATTCAACAATTACGGTTGACATGAACCCAGCTGTGGAAATGTGGATATCAAAGATACACGCACTTACAATGACTCGGTTCGAAAATTTTCAAAAGCTGACAGACATCGATGTTGCAAGGGAGGATGCTCATGTTAAATATCGTATTTTGATTGTGAGTATCAATATATGGCCAGCTTCGAGAATTTCAATGCTAAATATATGTCTCTTTTAGGAGGATAATATGGCCAATTTCAAAAAGGACTTCCCGAATGCTTCAAGAGCTTTGCTGGCTGAGTTTCAGAAAGCGGCTTTTGAAAATACCGTTCTGGACGACTTGAACGTCGCGCGTAAGAAACAAGAAATCGTTTACATTGCTTGTCGTAACGAGCTACGAAAGATGTACAAGATTTTCAATAGAGTTTGTCCATCATTTTCACAATCCCACTAGTATCAACAGCTGACATTGAGTAGCTCTACCCGGAATACATCCCTCAAGACGTTCAAAATCGTAGTATCGTCAGTTTTCCTGCTACTGAATTCGGTAGGATATTAGCATTCTTCCGATCCTGTTCGCCAGAAAATGTTGCCAGGGAAATATTTACACATAAGGCATTGCCGGGCTTCAAAATCTATAGCTGCGAGAAGAGCTTCAACAGAGACGAACTTCCGCCATCATACAGAGCGCAGGTCGAGCGTGCACGACAGTTCCTTGACGACCCGGATCGCTTTATCTCATATGATACCCCAGCAGTCACTGAGAGAATGCGAAACCCCGAACGCAGAAAAGCAAAGGACGTTTTCACTGCTACCATGGAGACTGTCTGGGTTTACGATCCACTCTGCAAGAAGTATGGCCCGCGTCTTGGTCAGCAGGTTTTTCACAAGTACTCAACTGATGAAGATAATGGCTTAAGAAGGAGAATGATGATCTATGTTGAGATTTCAATTGTTGATGTTGAATGATCGAGTACATTCAATTCAAATGGAGGAAGGCTCGGGCAAGACGAAGTTTCATTCTACTCTTCAACAATTCAACACAGTACAGACGAAGGGATCTTACGAAGTTAAACAAATACGGAATACTAGAGTCAGCACTCCCAACAGAGTCGGGATCTCGACTACTCTGCATCGCAGATGAAAATGCTATTTGGGACAAATCTTGCCTTGTTAATACAAAATGCTTTTTTAATACAAATGCTTTAGGATTTACTTTGTTTTTTTGGGAAAGGTATGGTTGGCACAAGATTTCACTTTTGTATTTTTCTTACTTCAGTTGTTTAGGAATAATAATAAATTAAATAAAATGCGGCTGTTTTATGAAATTGTGACATTGTGAACGATGGTAGTGACTGGGCCCTAAAATGGATGCTGTTCCCATGGCTATCTCTATGTTTTGTGGGATGATCGTTTTCTAGCTAGATACATCCATATAAAATCAAGTTATTTGATGTCAAGGCTATTAGTTTTGTGTTTTCCCAAATGTGGTCATTTCCAGTGTTATCTGGAAAGACTTTCACACCAGGTATCTAAGGAATAAAGTGCAGATTGTGTATTATCGTAATCGGTGATCTCTTCCTATCTTCCAATTCCTTTCAATGTTTCCAGCCATTCGACTATATTAAAGTACGAAACAAGAGTTCAGTTTAAATTTTTGGGGCTGGGCGTTACCACCTACGCTGAGTCCAATCGTCCCACCCAGACCAAGCTTTGCGAATCACATCCAGACTATAAAACTTTATTATTTCTTACCCACTTCAAAAGTCTCATCGCTCCATCCAAACCACTTCTCCATCCACTTTCCCATCGCTCCCAACATGATTGCGTCCACAACACGCTCAGGGTGGGGTTTGTGGAAGACTATCTTACCCTGTCTAAACCAAGGCGAGCTAGTATCAGGCTCAAATTGAACGGCCGATCCTCCTGCATCATGGCTTGCTATGAATCCGGCCTCAGCCATGGCATTAACGAGGGAGTCCCAGGGTACTGTTTTGGTGCGCTTCTCAAAATTTCGGGTCGGGAACATGGTTTGGAATATTGCATATGAACTCTTTCTGACAAGTACTTTGGGCGATGACATAAGTGCAGATGTTTCAGGAGTTATGGTCGGCTTACTTATTGTTTCGACAGTGTTCTTTTCGTCATCTGTGTTGGGGAGCTTTCTGGTTTTGATTCTAGAGCGAGTTGGAATGCCAAGTTTCTCTGACTCTTTAGTGCCCCATTGCTCTTAATCGATAAAATTTTCAAAAGCTGCTACCTTTTTCGCATACCTGGCTGCTATCTCTGCGTGGGTTTCAGCACTTCGTTTCTCGATCGCTGCGACGTGTTCTGGGTCACTATCCGCGGATAGTGTTGCGAGATCATGATCTATATCTTCTTGGCAAAATCCCAGACGACGGAGAGTATATTCATGACGGGCTCGAACTTGCACCCATATTTGGCTAAGAGCATTTCTCTGTTGCGCATCAGTATCGAGCCATTGCTGGCTGAGACATATTCCGGTTGGTTTTGGTGTCTCCATAAATTTCTTGGTGGGGTCTGCCAATGACTTTTCAGCCTTGATTCTTTCGCTCTGGCTTTCCCCCATGGGAATATTTTCATCAGGGATCCCGGTCACACGATCGAGATCTCTCAACATGTACTGATCTTCTAGATGTTTTTTGGCGTGGCGCCATCCACGACTATGTTCGAGCTCGACGATATCCTCGGCTTCTCGTTTCTTTGCTCGAGGGCGATGTAATCGGACCATCTCAAGCATTTGATACATTGCTGCAAGGCTAGAGATTGCTGTATGTATAGTTTCATCCAGTCTAGCGAGCTCTTTGAAATTCTTGGTTTCATCGCACTTGGCTAAATGCTCCCCGAGCATAGCAAATATCATTGCAGGCGTAAGAGGAGAAACTTCCTCGAGCTTACAATCGGGGCGCATATCGATTAACAATAATGCCAAGCAAAATTCCAACCTGTCTTTTGAATATTCGGGGTAGGAGACTGTGTCTTTTCGCTGCCAACCAGACAACGTGCCATGATTACTGGAAATGGCGGTCATCTTGTACTCTTGCAAATACATAGGCAATAAAGAACCGAGGTATTTCGAACGCCGGTGGATTTGATCCAGCAACAATGCTTCAAGAGACCCTAACGCTGCATCATAAGCTTTCGATAAAGGCTTGAGTGGATCACGGCTCTCATCCAAAGAAATTTGCAAGCTCTTTAGTTTTTCAACTTCGTCTACAATCCAACCCCAGAACCAGAACATTACTACATCCTGAATGAGTAGAATTGACGATGCGATAATAAACTTATGATAATTCTCAAGCTCTTTCCCTAAGTTACTGGTCATGGCGAGTTTAATATAGCGCCTAGCGTATAAAGGATTGGTCTGTAGAAACCGGAGATGGTCACCCTGGAGAGCTTCTCTTGTCTTGGCGGTATTCAACAGAAAATTGATGTAAAATTGGCGGCGCCGAGAATGACGGGCCCAAATAACAGGAAGCGGCTCCCGGTATGTGATCAAATCGTCCTATCAAGGTCATTGGGCCACATTTGGAGATTTCATTGAATGAGCTTATTTGACTTTCCATAGAAGATCCAATTGTGGAACCAAGAATTCGCCCAACCATGGATCGAAGGAATGAAAGAAGATGTGCTTGTGCTTCGAGGATGAGGATAGCACTTGGAAACCCGACAGATGTCCATCTATGTGCTTCTTCAATTTTCCACTGCGTCAGCGTTCTATATGCCGACCCCGCCAGAATTATACTATTGCTATTGTAATCGAGAGCTAGAGAGCCAATATCCCAATGTTTGTCAAGAATGGAATTATCATACGGAGCCCACTGCTCAGGGGAATATTGGATGCGATTTTGCAACAGACTCAACAACATCACAGGGTTTTCGACTAATCCTTCCCTCGCATAAACCTACTTAGCGTGATGTCTGCGCTGATCCAGTCATCGGGAGGAACTGTAGCCTGAAACGCTTCATTCAGGTGTACAAGAGGCCACCGATGCGGATACAAGTTGGAATCGATATCGCGTAAGAGGCCCTCGCGTTTATTGCGACTCTTCTTCTTCCATCTCTTAATTATGGCATCTCCATTGTTTTGGCATTGTTGTCGCAGATAGACTAGATTTTTACTTATTTCTGTGGCAAATCCCGCAGCCTTCTTTCGAGCTTCAACGTCAGCGAGTGCAAGACTATACGTCGTCATTTTGTGCTTCTGAGCTTCTTGAGACAGAAATTGATGGACATATTCTGAGCATTCGCACGGAGGTTCGAAAGAGTGTCGATAACACTAGAATACTCCTTGACGAAGTGTGTAAATTGGTCGGTACGTAGAATAAGAAAGCTTAGCATGCCAGATTCTGAAGGGAGTTATGTTAGCAGAGATGAGGCAAAATCACAGAGAACGAGCTCACTCTTTCCGTGCTTCGTCGTCATCTTTACGCAGCTCCTTAAGCTTCCAGACCATACTATTGATTTTGAAATCGTTGTCCGATGAAAATGGAATCACCAGAACTACAAAATGCGCTTTTCGGCAAAAGGAAATTTGTTTGTGCTTGAGATAAAAAGTAAAGAAATTTTCAGATAAGTTGGCAAACGAAGTAAACTCGAAGGGATAAATTATCTCTTGTACAGTATTCCAAGCTAATAAAGCATACCGCGAAGAAAGTGAAGTGTGGTAGCAGTAAGGTAAAATGAAAATAAATCAAAGAAATTTGAGGCGAAGATCACTGCCAGGGAAAATAATAGATAGTGAATCATTATCCATCTTATTTGGGGGGGAGTGAACAGGCCGAATTCATCCAAAATATACTGATAAATTGATTGCTAGCATAACGACTGATTTTGAAAGCATGAAAAATCGTTCCTCCAGTATAACATGTAAGATATCTGTGAAGGAGAATGAAAAGAGGCTCAGTTGATTGCGGAAGAGTACTGCTGGGCCATCAATTGCTGCTCGTTTTTTCTTCTTGAAATGCCCTTCTTCTAAACTTCACTAGTAATAGGCCCCCGACCCCAAAAGTGAGTTGGAATGATAGACTACTACATATGTTCATTCATCTAGACTTAATACTTACCTATATTGCTGCAATATCAATATCGAGTTCAAGTGAACAATATCTCATCGTCGTGATGATCAAACACTTTGATATTGAAGAGGACGTTAAGTTTGGTCACGGAAGAATGATCAACCGATTGATGCTTTGTCAGCACAAATCTTGGAACACCAGTGGGTGCACAGACTCACGGGACACTTAAGAGGAAAAGCACAATTTCACACCAAAAAGAGCTATTTTGATAATTCAATTAAAATTCAAAAAATTGATATTTGACTTTGAAATTAAGAATTATTATTCTCAAACATAAGAATTTTATATAATAAGAATTTTATTTCAAAATAAAACAAAATTCAAGTTTATACAATCAATTATATAATATCCCACCAAAAAAAATTGATAGGAAAACATACTATTTGATTTTTAAATTCAATATTTATTTTTAAGATTCAATCTTTATATGTTATATAAATCTTATATTTATAAATCATACATCTTAATTTAAATGATATTAAATAAAATTTGGAATTTTGATTGAGTTTTGAAGTTAATAAATTTGAATGTGAAATTGTGCTTTCCTATCACGTTGTCCCGTGAGTCTGTGCACCTACTAGTGGAACGGACTTAATTGAAGCGAACTTAATTAAGTACGACCTCAGACACCGCTCATTGACCTCAACACAATAATAATTAATCCATACTTAGACAATCTTATACATTAACACCAATGAACAGTTATATCGAAATAACAATCTTACTTACTTCATTTCATCCTACTTGAAACAAAACCAAGATAAGAATTGAAATCCAAAGTATCACGATGGACAATGCCAATATTCAAGTGAAGCATGCTGAATCTACGGACGATGCTAATGATCATTCCAAACCAAAGCATGCCAAACCTATGGATGATGTCAAACTTCGAGTACAGCCTATCGAAACAAACTATGGCAAAGGTGGCTTCCATCCCATACATCTCGAAGATACCTTCAAGCATGATCGTTACAAGGTCATACACAAACTAGGACATGGAGGATTCGCGACGGCATGGCTTGCGCGAGATACGAAACGAGAAAGATATGTTGCCCTAAAAGTTCTTGCAGCACGATTGTCAAGTACTTCAAAAGAGGTTGACATGTTACGTCGGATGAAGTCGAGGCGAGTAAAGTCTTCTTGAATTCAATGAAGAATGTCAATTCGCATTGCGAAACCCAAAGTTTCAACGGAAAATTTCTTATTGGTGCTCTATGTGATTCCGTACTCAAAATCCAGTTTCGCATTCAAGAATTTTGCTTGCGTTGACTAATTTTTCATCGTATCAGTCCCGAGCATGACGGAAGATTTTACGTCATGTCTTTGCTAGATCATTTCACCCACAAGGGCCCAAACGGAGACCATTTATGCTTGGTCTCTGAAGTTGGAGGACCTAGCATCAAACAGTTCAATTCTTGTCCAGGTGAATACAAAGGAAGCCGACGATTGGAAGCGTCTGTGGCAAGGAATGTTTGCTTGCAGGCCATACATGGCTTGAATTATATTCATAGCACCGGTGTCGTTCACGGAGGTTTGCAATGCCATATAAAATTCTTCCTACTGTTCGATCAGCTTACCACAAAATTAGATCTTACCCCTGCCAATATTCTGTTACAGCTTGCCAACATCGATGAGTGGACCGAGGCACAAATCTATGAAAGACTGGGTGTTCCTCAGAAAGAAGAGATCATATATGCTCGCTCCAAGCTTCCAGCAACTGATTCTTCATTTCCGGATTATACCGTTGCCCCAATCAACATGAAGGAGGTAAATCCTAAGTGGATAGCAAATGACATCATAATAATCGATTTTGGTATCGCCTTCCTCCAAACAGTCCCATCGTTTGACCTTGGCACGCCTAAAAGCTATTGTGCACCTGAATTCTTATTTGGTTGTTACAGAAGTGTCGCTTCAGATATATGGGCTTTAGGGTGTACAATTTTTGAAATTCGTACCGGATCTCGGTTGTTCAAATATGATGGCATTCCGAAAAGGGACGAGATGTTAATAGCTGCAGTGAGACTTCTAGGCACATTCCCTGATGAATGGTGGGCTGCTTGGAAAGAAGGTCTAGAATGGTACAAACAACAAACAGAAATTGATGCAAAATCAGCAGGAAATATACTTGATCAAATTTTGCAGACCGGTACACACGATGGTGATGCTCCTCCTCATAGACAAAAGCTTAGAAACGAAGCGTTGGAATTCATCGAGAAATTCAAGGAGCCTCCTCGGGATGACATGCTTGATGGAACAGATGAACTCGTGGAGATGGCAGAGAAGTTGAGAACTAGCGAGGCGGAGGCCATTCTCAAGTCAGTGAATGCTATTGAACGAGAAATATCTGTTTCATGTTCCAACGAAGCAGAAAATGGTTCTGCTGTGGGATTTTTGTCAAACCCAAAAAGTTCCGAAGACAAGAGTTCGGAGTTCCAGAGTTCGAAATCCAAGAGTTCAGATGCTAAAAGCTCGGAGAAGACACCATCTTCAGAGGGACTATCGACAGGCCGATCCCCTAAAAAGAGTTTCACCAAATTTTCCGTACTAGCAGAGAAATCTAAAACGAAAACCTCTGCTAATGTGTCCATTTCAGAAGATAATGAAACTCGGAATATGGCAGCTTCTACTGAAGTCGAACATTGCGGCCCCGAACATTCTCAAAGTAAACTTGAGCCAGCTGGCATCAAGATATCTACTGCTGAAGCAATAATTCTCGAGGATTTACTCCGAAAGACCCTCAGATACCTACCTGAGGAACGAAGCACTGCTCTGGAATTATCGAAACATATTTGGTTCTCTGATATATCCAAAGAAGTCGACTGAGGCCAGCACAAGTTGCATGTTCTGTAAGTTATTCGGAACCCACTCTACTTGCAGGTTTTGTTACAGGTTTTGTGATAAATATATCGCCCATTCGTCCTATCATGAACCCCATAAGACCTCTTGTTCCAGTTACGTCTCATTTATTATTGCTTTTCATTTCCTTCATTCAAAATTTTCATGGTGCACCAAGCTACATTATTCACAATTTACCGACGGCGATCTATAGGGATGTGTCCTGGGTAACGACTATCGCTTGAAAACCAACAAGACGGATTCCCGCACGGAGAAATAGGTCCTGATTACTGCAGACCTTTTAATTATGGCCTTCATCAATGGAATGGATTTTTCATTATCTTCTTTTGTGATCTTAAATGGGAAGAAAAAATTTCTTTGTACGAATGTTTCCTTGCGAAGAAAATGGCTTATGACCTACCTTCTATTGCTAGAATAAAAGTGTAAAATTGTTCAAATGCCCTCGCATGCGCAGTCTATACTGATATATTTTATTCTCGATGCTCCTTTCTAGTTTGAAATCATTTCACTTGTATCTTTTCATGTTTCGCCTCGTTATCTATTTTTCTCCATCTTAAGTACTATTAAATACGTACACCGAATATCGTTTGGTGCTCTATAGCCGACAACATGAGAACAGAAACTGATGATTTCCGTGACTGAAAGGAAAACTTGCTACGTGGGAGATCTTTCCTTCTATTTATAGTTCTTGAGTATTCTACGCTGGGTCTAGCTAGTAACACAATTCACACTTCTGCATGTTGATTACCACACTTCCTCTAACAACATTTGAAATTTGATATCCCAGTGAAGAAATGATACCCTCTGCCATTTGAAACGTCTTTAGATAGAACTAAAACCTTGAAACGAAACGATATGCAATCAAGCCCTGCTAACTCCTAGATGCCTATACTCTACCTTCATGCAAGCCGCATACCGAAGACCCCATCCACTCATACGATAACAAAACCACAAATTCAGCTTCCACTTTCAAGCACACCCCCTGTTTTGACCTAGCTGCAAGCTCAATCCTTAATTGCCATCAAAATGCATCATAGGGATATTGTGATCTCAGCTAGCCGGTAAAAGATGGGGACTAACTTAGCGCGACGGAAAGCTGAAAATATTCATAAACCACCCCTTCATCGTTACATCCATCCTACATCCATCCATAACCTCATCTCCCCCTTTCCTCAAACCCCACACTCAAAACAAAAAGAACACACACATCACACAAGAACTAAATCTTCAATTTATGTTCATTCAACCACTAACCTGAAGTAATCCACAAATTAACAAGATGTTGGAAGAGAGTAAAAATTTAATTCCATCCCATACTTTCTAGAAATGATCCAGATAACTATCTCAAATCCACTTCATAGTTCCATGTGCCCCATATTCCTCGCCTTGCATTTTCGCATCTGTTAACTAACACACAAATAAGCTAATCGAGAGAAGAATATCCAAGAAATGCACTACTTGATGAAAGCAGGCAGACAGGTAGAAGAGCTATGCTAACGCTCGCTTAACATATCATTTAATTTCAAATTTCACTTTCATTTCCTACACCTTTCCCTCGCTTCCTCGTCTCATGTCCAATTACCATTCAACAGCCCACCCGTTCTCTTCCAGAAACTCTTCGATTGCATACTTCAATCCCAGATTGGGTCTTAGATCACTTGGGAGTAAGGGTTCTCTTGTTAGGGGATCGGTACAGCTTCTTTCGAGATGTTGGAGAATACTTGTGCGTTCGTAGGATTGGCCAGTTTTGGTCTGTGAAGGAAGCATGTTAGTATCCTTTTAATGGTGATGATAGATAGGGTCGATGAAGGAAAGCTCAGGCGAGGATATGAAATACGGAAGATGAAAAGAACATACCACAACAGGATCGATCATAACATTAAAACTGATCCCGTCAATCGCCCAATCGGGCATTTCTCTCTTCCTCCCTTCCTTTCCTTGCGTTTCCACAAGTCTGAATACCCTCTCTACCTCCTCAATCTTTTTCTCCCATTCTTCTGTGATTTCTCTAGTATCAATATCCATCGCATCCCCATTCCCTTCCCCATCATATCCTTCCTTTCTTCCCCCCTCCCTCTCCATCTCCTTTCTCATCAACCCCGTCACTTCTCCCAATAAATAACCTCTATCCCTCCTCCTCCTCTCCTCCTTCTTCTCCCATCCCTCCTTTCTACACCTTAGCCCCAGCTCTAAGATAAGCGGCAAACTCTTTCCACTCCCCACTAGTCCCTTCCCTCCAATCGGCATATCCTTTATACAATGTTCTCTCGCCATTTCGGCCGCTTTGAGCGCGGAATCATAATCGCGTAGCGCATGGTATGCTTGTGCGATGTTATAGTATGCTTTCATGTATACGCTATTTATGGGAGCGGAGGAGATAGCTGCGATAGCGGATTCAGAGGAGGCAATTGCTTCGGGGTAGCGGGAAAGTTTGAGGAGAGCTTTGGACTGGTTCGTGTGGAGAATCGGATTGAGGGGATCAAGGGAGATGCTGGGAAATGGCGTGTTAGATGGGGTTATCTGACATGATAAGGTTGGGTGTGTGGACAGTGAGGGGTAGGAAGCAGATGGGTTGAGGGAGTGCGCAAGATAAGGGAAATCAATCAAGAATATAGACTAACGCTTTACTATAAAATTGTTCAGCGGCCTCATAGTTTTTGTTTTGAAAATGATCGTTTCCCTTGTTCTTGAATTCGAGAGCTTTTTTGGGATCGTGAGGTAGATCGGATCCTGCCATGATGCCACTTTGCGGCGGAGACGATGATTGGGCCGACTGTGAGTTCGAGAGTCTGCGACTAAAGCGATATAGACCTAGGACGTATAAACGCTAGGCCGTCCGGCTTATTTACTGAAAAGATGTTTGTTCGATATGCCGGTGTAAATTATTTGTTTGCGTTAATAGATTATGGGGGTTGATTTCAGCCTCGTTACACAAGAGGGCTGTGCTGTTAAGGATATTATTGAAACGTAGTCTGAAGTGAACGAAATGTACTGAAGGATTGTAATACGAGCAAACTTAATGATATTAGTTTGGGATAAGAAGGAAAAGTAGGTGGTGCACAATGAGTGTTGGCATTGAATATTATTGGAGATGGTAAATATTATTGGAGATGGTAAATGTCAGCCTTGCGAGAAGTTGGATTGGTAATTCCAAATTTGGAAGGTTCGAGAACTTCGAGAACAGCCTTGCTATAAACTTCTAGAGCTACCTGAAAACCGAAATCTTATACAATTTTGGGCGGTAAATGTTACATGTAATAAATGGCATGAAAATATGACAAGGGTGAGTGTGAATGTGAAGTCTAATTCAGATAATCTTTTGTACAATTCGATATTTTGTCTACCATGCACTTCTTGTCTTCACTCCATCCTCCCAACCCTGGACCAGCGACACAAAGTTTAAAAAGGCTAGAAGAAAATAATGTCAGCTTGTGGCCGAATGAATGACATGTCATTGGCATGGACTGGTTATTCTGGTCAAGAACTCGGTTCAGGAAAGGAGTCTAGGCGGAAGGAACCGATGTACACTTGTGACATCGGCTTCTTGACGCTATAGATAGCAATTTTATAGCCAAACAATTTGCCATGTCAAGATCTTCTTTCTCCTAGTCCAAGATCCAACTGGCAATTCTAATGGTGTCAAACAAATAAAAATAACGTACGTTGTCGGATGCAGGGACTTCCTTTCTCCAGCGGTCACCAATAATTGGGATTTTCTGTTTAATTGTGAGCCAAAATACCGCAATATACCATCGTATTCCAACTTACAACCATAATGTCGTTTCGTACTCTAGGGATGTCGGAGAAGAAGAAAAGGGCGAAGAATCCAGCTGTAGCACCGAATCCAGCTAAAGTAAGGCCACTGAATGCCAATATTAGCGAGGTTTCCAACTCAATTCTGCCATTCCCATGTAGAGCATGAAACGTATCGTCTGAATCTATATTATCGTAGTTCCAGAATTCACACGGCCCAGCGTATGAACATCGTGCCCGTTTAGAAAAAATCTACATACACCTTGGAAGCTGCCTTTGGGGTCCATCCGGCGATGTTTGGTTGAATCTTGTATCTGCGGGACCATCAGCTTCTGATTTCTTCCTTGAAGAATCGCGCATCGTACTTAGGTCCATAGGGAGATTTGTATGTCGAGTATGAGACAGGTCCCTTTGGAGGAGTGATACCTGTGGAAACGTGGAACTGAAAGCGCAAATCTTGTCAGCAAAATATGCGGAGCGGGTTCCACTGGCAGGAGACACTCACATCGCCGTTGCTGCCCATTTTGAAGAGGAGGATGTGTGGTTGGTAATTCAATGGTAATCTTGGAGGTCGACAATATATTCGTTATTGAGAATGTTAGTCGGCGGTAGCCGGAAGATTTATTATTGGCCTCAGGCATTTTACATAATCATTTTCAGCATCGATGATCTCTCGAGATTTCCAAACCGTCCTCAATTCAAATTTCCAGAACATCTCAGAAAATATGGTTACATTTAGCGTTGTGTTTACTCATCTACAAAATTTTAATATAATTAGAGATCAGAAGTTTTAGAAATGGCTCGAATATATTCTGATATTGTATTTCCGTGCTTCGCTTTATATTACCAGATGGGCGATGTACTTCAATTCTTGCATGTTTGCTGCTGCTTTTCTCCTATCTCAACAAGCGAACATTTGCCTACCTAGGTAGTATCAGTAATGTTTTGAGATTCGCTCCCAAAAACATCCCAGGAGAAGCTACATGTTCGAATGAGAGATTTCCCTCCCATATGCATACCGATATTCATCACCTCGTTGCTATTCATTCACCCCCTGGCCATTATTCTCCTAAAGTCTAAAGATGCAATCGATTTTCTTTAGCGACATATCAGGGTAATATGCTTTGATAGGAGTGTGGTGTAGCTTGACCCTGGTGGCCATGAATCATTGCTTATGTTGACTCGGGATCTCCTCCGTAAGCCTTTGTTGAGTAATAAAAGTCATCTGCAATTTCTATTCAGATTGTTTTCTATTGTATTTTCATGTGATATTTCAGCCAAATTATTTGCGTAGACTATCTATTCTTCACAATACTTCCAATTACCACTAATCCTTTCGCCCGACAAACAAACTTTTACCACTTCGATATATAACTCCCGTATGCCTTATTTTGCCGCGAAGCTTACCTACCTACCTAGGTATTGAACGTGCATTTTGACGTTCTGCGTTGGCCCGAATTCTATATATCGGAAAGTAGGATGAATACTTTCGATGGTTGGCATACTTTCGCAGCTTCCTTACGCTCGGGTCTACAACTGTTGAAAGAGAAAGAAATCCCTCTTTATAATCGTATTGTTCTTTCATTACACTTCATTAGGAATTGTGCTCATAACCACTCTACGGTCCTTTTTGCTCGTACAACGATACTTGTCATTGTTCTCGTCGCATGGATTTAAGGTTAAGAAATATTGACAATTAAAACAATAAACTAATAGTTAATATTTTCCCTAATAAACATACTAACTTCAACCTACCTGGTACGTACCTGACTTTTCAAATCAACGGCTTCTAATTTGTCCCCGCGTTATTACTTTTTATGTCATAAGTAATCGTCTAATCGTCCCGCATAATCTACATGTATCCGGTCGAACGAAACCTATTCCGCTTATTTCCGACTTCGATCATTTTCTCTATTAGGAAAGACCAATTTACGATTTAGTTATCCACGAAATTCAAAAAGTCTGTGCAGTATAAACATATTTACCGTTAGAAAGCAGTCGTTGCTAGACAAGAAACTAATCATGCCGTGTTCCCCTCATTTTCTTTTTGGTTATCCCGTCTCCCATTCCTTGACAAGATAACGAGGGTCTGACATTCAAATCCTATTCAATTTCGTGACTTAAGCCATAAACACAATCAAACAAGGAATACCAGGAAGGAAGTGCAAGAGCCGAGTACACCCGAGGTTCAATCACAACACCAAAAAAAACCGCAAGGTCGACCTCATCAAACATACTTTAATTCATCGAAATCACCCGCGAAGATTAGCATTTTACCATCGAGTTTTACAGCAATTTTACTTCTACAACGAACCTACCAACACATCTGCCACTTCATCGATCATACACACGATTCAGAACAGGAAAGGAATCCACTAAAAACCACCTTGAGACATATCCGCTTGGACGGGTCTAATGTACTTGAGCGGGTCACTACATCAACAACAGCCGCCTCCATACATTATATCGTCCCACGATTTCCCTCCACGCATGAAATACATGATCCACAATCTTCCATCTGATATCTCACAATACCAATAGTCTTGGACTCCTCGAAGGTCGAGCAATAACACGACAGCCACTCGCCTGTCTATAAATACTGATAGATCGTACGGCACACAACGACCTTGAGCCGTCAACATTAACATCATCATTAACATCAACATCAACATCACGTCAGACAACCCACCTCATCCAGAATGCCACCTCCAGCCCAACAATCCCGTCCCTTTCTCTCAACTTTCCTCGCCTCCTTCCGCTCCTCCCAACTCTCCTCTACTCCCATCATAAGCAACAATAGCTCTTCCTCGCACCAAAAGCCTGCTCACGCACATTCACATTCGCAATCCACACCTTCACAACCACGCCAAATAACTACCAGCACAAAATCGAACGCTACATCAAGTGCTCTAAGAGGAATCGATCGAAATCGCGGAACAACCGGCGGAAGTAGTCCTGTGGGAAGCTACGATTCGAGTCCTAGCCCCGCTGCCTCGAGTTATCTGAACCAAAATTCAAATGCGAATCCAAATATATCGAATCCCGCATCTCCAACCTCAAGTTCGAATCAGATTTCAAATCAAAATGCACCGTATCACACAAACAAATATGCAGGCTTCAAAACATCAGCAGATAGAAGAGGAAGCGATAGTAGCTCGGAAGGCTTTCGAGATGTAATGGGCAAGGAGAAATGGTATATTGGGGGACGCACGCAGGGCGGAGAGGAGAGATATTTTCAGCTCGGAGTGATAAAGAGGAGAAGGAGTGGAGGAGAGATGAGTTTGGATCGATTGAGTTTGTGATGGAGTGTGATGTGAGATAAGGAAAGGAAATGGGTATGAAATAAAAATCTCGACGTGGTATGACGCTCAAGGTGTCGCTGATTTCCGAAGATCATTCAACATTCAAAGTAGACTCAGTCACTTGGATGATCTGAACGTTCAAAATGGATGCAAGAAACAAAAGACACCTATTGTTAGTTTACGGTCTGGACGACGAGGAATCTCGTGGGAAACTGCGTATCTTCAGTGAAGCGATGGACGAATGCATCGGGAATCTGGAAAGAAGAATGTTACAATACCACACGAAGACGACGTATACCCCAGCACCACAAGAAGATTGGGAATAGGGTTACTGCTCATGAGCGGGCGTTGGCGATGGGATACGGAAGGGGGCTGGATTATTGGAACCGGATTTGTTACATTATATTACATAGTATTATAAACATATGGAGCAGAATGGAATATGGGGAGTAGGGCGTTGGTGATATTATATCAGAATGGAACTTGCAAGACTCCAACCAGATAAATAAATAGGAACGAAATGAAAAATTAATCCTGAAATGAATACTGTGTATGGATGGGCTGGGAAGTGAGTTAGTAAGTGGGAGAGTGAGTGAGCGCAGGAAACAAGGAAATGCGGGTATGGTCTTGTGAAGCAGGTAGATGAGTGACATGATATAAGATAGTAATATGTCCTTTAAGATTTATCTATATCTATCTTACAACTATATGTACATGCTCCACGACAGCAGCTTACGTTCGCGCTCTAAATCACCGACTGATGATATCACGTAATAACCCGATTTATCCTTGAATTCCTCTTCCAGCGAATCTCTCAAAGTCCTCAAACTTCTCCCCTCTAGCTTCCACACCCCCAAAACTTCAAAAGCACCCACCTCCCTCAAAACATGTCTACCACATAAACCTCTGCACTCTCCCCGGTTCCTGCGTCCACTCAAAGCCCCGATACAAGAATATATACCCTGTAACCCCATTGATCAATAGATACCATATCGTCTCGGCGTATAAACGGATATTGATCTTGGGAGAGGGGGAGAGGGAGGCGGAAATTGCGAGGGTGGGCAAATGTAAACGCAGGAATATGAATGGGAGGATGAAGTAGCGGGGTTCAACGAGGGGGGCGGTGATGAGGGAGAGGGCGGTGGTGAGGAGGAGGAGGAAGAGTGTTGAGAGGGGGGAGGAGGTTGGGGTGGGAGGAGATGAGGGGCTGTGGGGTTTTTTTGGGGTTTCTTTCTTGGTTGGTGATGTGTATTCGGGTGAAGATCCAGAAAGTGTTTTGAAGATTAGAAAGAAGCAGAAGATGTAGATGGGTGCGAGGAGGTAGCGGATGAGAGGATGGCGGAGGATGCTGTATCGGAATACGTAGAAGATGTAGTGACGATTGTCGGCGAGGGTGAATGGATGGATGATGGTGTTGTATTTTATGATTGCGAGGGAGCCGAGGAGAGATGCGAGGATGAGAGAGAAGGTTATGAGGGCCCGGATCTGGGTGTTGAGCGAGGAGGTGAGAAATTTGGATGGGTGGAGAATATTGTCGATTGAGTTCAGGAGAAATGAGAAGAGAGTCGGGATGAGGAGTGGGAATGAGAAGAATGCAATGAAGGGCCAGAGATACAGGAGTTGTGAGAGGTGAATGGTAGCGACGTGGTTTGATTTATCGCCGAGCACAACACCGCCGTTGATGAAGACGAAAGCGCCAAATGTGATGAGGAGTGAGATGTGGGGAATCAATTGGATGAGGATGGTCGGGAGGCGGGTTATAGCGTTCCAGATGATTGAAAGGGGTGTGAGGACGAAATCTGGAGGTTGTTAGCTCTTGTTAACAAGGCGGAAAATATGAATATTGACGGGGAAATCGGAATGTAATGGAATTACCTTCTAGACCAGCAGCATGTAGAGGTGGATCATGTGGATGCTCTGATTTTACAAGCTCACCAACTTCTTTCAGATACTCCACCATTGATGATGCGTGGTGATGTCTCAAGGATGGAGCAGCAGGAAGATACGTCCCTTTCATTGTTCTCACAGCCTCCATCCCCCCTAAAAACACGGCGGCCCAGAAGATGTTCGTCTGCCTCATACAAAGAGCGAATATACCACATAGGTAAAACCATGCAACATTTTTCCACGATTTGTGATTCTTGGATTCTGCTTGCTCAAGGAATTGCTTATATAGGTATAGAACTACACAAGTAGACAGCACATCCGTATAATACAAGCCCGAGAAGAAAAACAGAGGAGGAAATAAGGCAATATTTGCAGCTGTATGTAATGAATCTGCGGATATCAACTTAGGACTTTCATCTGTGCGGTTTTCAGCCCCAGCCCGAATGATGAGATTTCGACATTTCCAAGCAAGCATCATAATGGATGTGAGGGCAATGACATTTGTTGTCCGAAGAAAATGGACATTGCATGTTGTGAATCCAGAGACTATGCTCAAGAAATGGCTCCACCAATATCTAGTTCCTGGTCAGTGATGTTTAGGATAACATATTGCCTGGAAGGAAATCATACAATCCAGGTGGTGTGGTAAGTTTTGGATCCCAGGTACCATAGTTCCATCTACAGTATGCTTGAGCTTGTGGTATATGAAATACTTCATCCTGGATAATATGAGCCAGTGCATCAAATAGAGGTTTTAGATGAAGAGAACCATACCAAATAAGGCTCAGGGACATTTTTGATCACCTGATATTCCCAGAACCCGGCAAGAGAAGCCACAGTCAACGGAACGGCAAGAGCGCTCTTGAGACCTAGTCCTCTCCGTGAACTTGGGTCTGATCTGCCTACGGCAGTGAGAACTCCCACGAGGAGAGTGGAGATAGCACCAGCCATGAGGACACCTTTTGGCGTTTGCGAGATGTGGCTTTAATTTGTCTTATGAAGATGGTGAAGTTCTTGGTATCATAATTGAAACTTGATTATCTGGTCAGATATAATTAGCATAATATGGAAACCAGTACGATATGAAACTCACGACAATATTGGTTGTCGTAAGAAATAACTATGATTTTGGACCCTCGAATTGTTAAAACATCCACCTGCATCCATGGCCCCGGGGATGGATGATATTCAAATTGTGGCAGTGCAAGTGTGGCTGAGCAGCCCACATGGACGAAACATATTGCACACCATTTGTCTTCTTTGGTCATGAATGTGAGTTTAAACATATATTTACTGCAAGCATTCAAGTAACGCAACGGCATTAATCCAACCTGAAAACCCAGAGAGCCCAGCGGCATTCAACTCCCTCATCCAACCGTGTCTGTTTCGTGTTTCACCTGCATTCCATTACCAATTCATCGCCTTTATGCCCGTTGCCGCAAAATTCTTCAGATATCTCAAGCTTAATACCAAGTTCCTGTATCGCTTGCCCAGTGCATCTATTATCCAAAAACAAAGATCCATCGTATTGACATGGCCACCGAGAAGGTCACTGTCTTGATCTAGCATAGCGTCCTGGAATTCGGTGGACAGTCCAAGGATAGTCATTTCCTTTCTCGCATCGACTTTCACTTGCTTTGCAATAGCCACTTGGTCCATTCTCATTTGGACCATGGATATTGCATAGCTATCATAGATACAGAGCGTCAGTGTATTCCTGATGTCTTTTAAAGGTAGAAGTACTTACTCGATGAGAGTGGGATCCCGATCATCACATGCCGTCAGTTTCCTAGGTTTGGAGTTATCTTTCCAGTAATCAAAGATCATCCCCGCTGCCTCGTGTGTCCAACCAATATTCAACAGAGCAGCCATACATAACGTGCTCTCTGGAAGTATGACGGGCGGAAGGGCGGACGCATCAACTGGTACGATGGTGACGAAATATTTGATTGATTGCTTCTTCGCTCGTATCGAGCCTTCTGGAACTTCTCTTTGCTTCTCACAATAACTCATACCTATTTGAAACGGACTTATTAATCGGCGTACACAATTTTTTGCATATACGAGACGTAACTTACTTAAAAAGGCCGGGTTAATTTTCCACTGTCCTTCAAATTCATTTCCCAAGATAATGTTCTTCTGCCTTAGAAATACTACTTCTTCGTTGCTGAGGCTAAAAGATGAAACCCCATCCTCATATGGAGGAAGATGCATATAATCCCACATAGACATGGTCGCCACAAACAGAAGTCTTGTTTGCAAAAGTTGTTTCGGATCCTGGAGATTGGATTCTGGAAAGGAACAAACTCTTCACCTAGGTGATTGAAAGGATTGCACTTGCCTAACATGGGCTCCCAAACATTAAGTTTGGCTATCATCTCCTTCTTTTTTGAACTCATACTCTAATTCCAGGCTTTTTATAGCTCAGATTGAGGTATCTGGGAGCAACTTTTAGGAAGACACATTGCTAAGGAGGAAGATACATACGATCCTCGCACGATGAAAAATCACCTATCGTCTTGATGAGACAAGTTGTCTTCACATAAGAAAAAGCCACTGTTCAAGACTACCAAGTCGGTCCACCAGCTGCTTACGTTTCATATCTCACAGGTTTTTCTGAGCCTCGGAAACCTTAGATTTGGGGTGGACGTCAGATTTTGACTTTTTGAAGCAAGAGGTAGTTAAAAATGACGAGGTAGGATGTTCTTTGATAGCTAGCATTTGAGTCTTTTATCCTATGCGTCGCTCTTCCCCTAGCATTCTGCTTATTATGAAGTCAAATGATAAGTATTTGTTGCGCATCGTGGGCCCCTACAAGATTTTTTGTTTGATGTTTGTCTAATAAGTGCTGGTGGTTGTTAGTTCACTCAGCTGTCTATAGTGCATAGTTCATCAATATCCTTATTATATTTCAACAATCTGGTAGCTTCACAAAATATTTAAGCAAGTACCTTCCAGCACTTGAAATTGAGAACACCTCGTTGTGATGGGCCAAGGCAGAAAGTTCCAATATTAATTCATTGTGAACGAATAGTCAATGGTAGTACAATAATGATACAAATTCAATACCCCCCACAGCAGAAGCGGCAAACAATAATTGTAATGTATAATGGCGGTCTACACAGCGCTAGTAAATAAGAGTTCTCAGAGCGGAGAATCTCATTCTGAGTCGATCAATCTGTCGACCGGCACTGCAGGGAGCAAGCATCATCTTTCTCGTTCTGCAAGTGTATTGAGCCTTTCAAATACTATGAAGTGTGGATCTGCTTCGGTGATGTTAGCAAAACATGAATTGTGTGGTTTGAGTCGGAGCTGACTTGTATTTTTACATGTCGATACAAATGAGATAGTCTCTACAGTGCGAGCGCCGCGAGAACCACCACCATGAGCTAACCAGTAATCATTTCTGGTGCCAATGCAGCCAAGCGCAGATTAATAGCAGGTTCGATAAAACGCACTCCTGACTAGTGTTGGTGATTTTTACTGACTCAAAATATGATGACTTACGAGTCGACCATGCTCCAAGAGCGCTTTGGTGAAGAAAGTCATCTGATGGCAAGTGCATCTTGTGTCTTCGGAAATTATTTTGTATCAGCAGAAGCTTGAATAACCCCGCGTCGGGGATCTTACCGTGAACTTGCTGGCACGAGGAGTTTGGGAAAGTCTTTTACGAGGATCGCCGGCTCATAGAGCCAATGAGCTTCTCCTTGACCGAAAGGTCTGGGTAATCTTATTAAATTCTGTCGTACTGGAAACAGAGCGTTGCAAATACTTGAGAAGTGTTGGTTCATTCGGAATTGGAATTCTCGAAAGAAGAAACTGACAAGGCAAAAAAGATCGAAGACTTGAGCCTAAGATAGTTTTGGAGAAAATTGGAATGAAGAAGATTTAAATTTGTGTGTGAGTGCGAAGTTCCTTTAGTTTTGGAAGGAATTCACTTCTTGCTACAAAGGCAATCTCCGGACTTAATCGATTGATGGAAAGACAATTTGGATAGGACAGCATTGTGTTTTCGGTCTTCGGATAAGGATGCCCAGTGCCAAAGGACAAGACTGAGTGGGAGAACCAGAAGCTAGCTTGTCAATCGATTAGTAGTCACTCCAACAGACACACCAACAGAGCAGAGTGCCTTTGATTCTGTGAATATGAAACACCTTCAATGTACATCTTCCTTGTTATTGAAGATACAGAGGTTTTTCATCACATTAAAATTGGATAAATGACTACTAAAGATCGAAACAAACTGAACAATAAATCTTTGATCTTACAGTTTTTATTTCCCATCACGTCAGGCTCTGTATATCAAATTTATTGAGTTACTAGAACCCATTCTGTACAATCGAGCTTCATTGACAAGCAAGTATGCTCCTTTAAGCCTTGTCATATTAAAAGAACTTGACAAAAGGCTCATCTCTATTCGCGCCTTTCCCTACAAGTGGTGAGCTCCTCTCCTTCCTCAACCGCGATATATAATTAAGTCAACTACCCCACTTTCCGACCACCCCCTCTTTTCAACCACCTCAAAAACCACACTGCTTTGAATAATTATAAAATCTATATTTTGAATAACTCAATAATACTTTAATCAATTAATTTGAAATTTTGATATTATTATAATTGTAATATAAAGAATAAATATATTGAAAATAATATCATAAAAGCTTTTAAAGTAATTACAAATAAAGTAAGTATATAAAAAATTAGCTTGGATTATAGTATTCTATATATTATATTTTATAATTAAATATATAATAAAGTTTTATATTAAAAAGGTATTCAAATACTTTAAAAATTATTTTTAATTTAGAAGAATTGATTAGCAGAATGAATATTAATATAAAAAGCTTTTGGTATTAATTTTATATATTATTAAATTAAAAAGATAGTAGAGTATTTTCTTATTATATAAGAGAAGGATTCTTTATTTGAAAAGAAATGGATATATAGTTTTTTTCAAAGATATTTTAATATTAAAACTAAAAAGTAATATCAAATCGATTCTATATAAATTTTAGGTATTATATCTGATATTATTAAGAAATGATTCTGAAATCTTGTAATCCCTAAAATCAAGATTATTAAATTAGCTAATAAATAGAATATGAATGAAGTAGATATAATGAAAAGTTAGGATTTTAATAAATTAATAATAAAAAGTATTAATTAAAGATTTATTCAAAAAAAGTAATCTGAATCTTGAATTTGGATTTTTTTTATAAAATATATTTTAATTAATAGAAAAAGCATTATTTCTTTTATAATATATAAAAAAAAATCAATTCAATAATAATAGTTTCTAATTAATTTAATTCTATTTAAGAATTGAAACTTTATTATTATAGAAAATAAATAGATTATAAATATTATAACTTTAAAATGACTGAAAAAGATCTATATTTCTCAAATTATTTTTATTTAACTGAAAAATTTAAAATTTCTTATTTTGAATAAATACAAAAGCTATAAAACTATAATATTTATATTAAAATATGTCAATAACAATATATATCTCTTATTTCTTCTATTATATATATTATATATATTACAATTACTTAATTTATTTATATTTTCATTTCTAAAAAATATATATTGAATTGAACTTAATAAATTAAGTTTATTATCCAATTCCTTATTAATTAGAAAGTACAATTTCCTTTTTTGCTATTAAAAAGCTAGAATAGAAGGTTTAATTATTCAAAATATCAAATTTGAGTAGCAAGCTAGTGATTCTTAATCTAAAAATATAACTAAATCTTTTATAAATTAATTTTTGCTTAAAAATAGTAATAGAGAGATTTTATTATTTAATTCTAAATCTAATAATAATTCTATTTTTTAATAGAATATATATTTATTGTTTATTTAATAAAAAACCTTTTGAAAAGAAGCTAATATTAGAAAATATAGAGATATAATAATTTAAGAAAAAAAGATTAATTTATTAATACAAAAATTATTATTTCGCAAGATTATAAAAGAATTTAATACTAAAAATTATAAATTTTTAAAAATAAAAAATAAAATTAAAAAACTAGAATATCAATTAAATAAAATATTATTTAGAAAAAGACAAAAGATTATAATATCTCCAAATTCAAAGTTTATAGGGATTAGAGTTATAAGATATATATAAATTAAAATAGGAGATTATAAAATTAAAGAAGATAATAATTTTAATATTATAGAAAATGATTCTATAAACGATTTTATTGAAATTTAATAATTATTGAGTTATTAAAATTTTAAGTATAGATAATATGATTTTTTTAGGTGGTTGGAAATAGGGGGTGGTCGGAAAGTGGGGTAGTTGACTTAAGATCTCATTTCACTTTCTGCACATCTTCCTGTGCAATCCTTGGATATCCTTCTTCTCAAATGCGTCAGCTGCATCCAAAGCAGATGTCCCCTTTTCATCTTCTTAAATCAACGCAGTGCAACCTTTCTCGTCCCTTTCTTCCAGTGATACACCAGAAAATGAAATTTCTTAGTCAAATTTCATCATATCTTCCTGGGCATCTTTATTCAATAATAAAAGACAACGCCTTTTCGTCTCCTTGTCTGTGCAGTAATGAAGCTGAATTCTGAAAGTTTCAATGCTGTAATTTTTGGAATTCGCTACGCGCTCAATGATTGACACGCGTTTCACATGTTGAACATCACATCTGGCGCCATTTTTGACCAAGAACTGAATAGTGGTATCAAAGCTATCGGTATCTCTGGTTGTAAATCGGTATGCGAACAAGGCCTCAAGAGATGATTCACCATCTTTAGAGATGGCACTGTAATTGTTGTAAGTCAATTAGGAAACTTGGGGTTTCAATTAGGTTACTAAACCGAATTTTGATACGATACGGCATGACGGAGGGGTAATAGCAGAGGGTAGACTTACGAAACATCGGCTCCATGATGGATGAGTAGCTTTAGTAATTCGACATCCTTAGTTTGGGCTAAAATATTGTATATTGCACCATGTCCTTTTTCATCCTTCGTCGTCACATTGGTCCCTGCGTTCAGGAAACATCTTATGCCCAATTTTGCGACGGTTGTATGTGATGTAAAACACAACCAAAGAGGAGTACGCCCATTGCTATCCTTTGCCTCAAGATTCGCTCCATACTTCAGGAGCAGGTTGAGGATTTGCTCTCTAGCATGGACTAGATTGTCATCACTCCACCTTTCTGCAAGAACGTGTAACGCTGTGCTCTGAAAATACTTTCTACTCGAGTCTTTGGAGGATGCTGCCGACGATCTGGCATTCGTGGTTCGGAAAAAGCATTTGGATCTGCATTCCTAATCAATACTTGCTCTAATCAACCTGGATACTCACCCATCGTTGCAGCGTAAAGCAAAGTAGTACCTTTGTATAAACAACTTATCTAGACATTGGTGTTGGCAAGTATGGCTAGTACTGCTTTTGATTAAACATCGATTAAACATCGCCATAATGACTCCTCGACGCCTCTCATGTCGAGAAAAGGTACAATCACAAGGATAATTCCTGTATGTCTATTTGCGCACATATAATCCAGCGTAGTCCCAGACTCAGCTTCTCTATTCCTAGCGCACACTTCCGAATCAGGCCGAGAATTATCATCGGTACTTCTGGTTGGATTCACACCAGCTTTCAGTAGAGCCAGTACAATGAGAGCGGAATCTCTGCGAGCAGCTTCATGAATGATTCTTTGATGAGAATCATCTTCGTTGTCAACTATGACACGATAGTGTAGTTAAAGCTCAACTATTTGGAGATGGCCACGTTGACAAGCTCAATGTAGCATAGTACTGTCTCGAGTGTCTTTTCAATTGATATCCTCAGTTTTAGATAAGAGTAATTTTAGATAGCTACTCATTCCGCTGAATGGAGCCATGTGCGCTGGCGATGGCACTACTGAGTCTTTCGTGATAAATCGAATGCCCCAATCAAGTGATAGCCATCTTCTAAAGCCTATACTTTTTGGATCTGAAAATGCCGATACTGCATCGAAAACAGACTTGTGCTCAATGTCATAACGATTCCTATGGTACGTCCGGTTTCGGATGGCGTAGTCAAGGAAAGGTGATCAAGCTTTGCCTTCCGAAAACCGATGCTGTAAAGGGTGGCTATTGACCAATCACAGCGACACTCATCACGTCCACGATTACACCTTGGGCAAATGTTGTTTCGAGATCAGAGCTGACATTAGCGAGTCTAAAAGGAGGCGAGCGTACGGAAAGACTCCGGTAGATCCATCAAATATAATTGAATGTAATGTCAGTTCTAAATCCGGATTATGTCTTTCAAACATGTTTCTTAAACATTCGGAGATAAGAAGATTTATATCTCTGCCAACACGATCGTCTTCGAGACTGATATGAATCATAGAAGCATCCTTCAGTCTGAGTTGCAATTGTTGAACTGGACGACTTGCCATGAGAATTTTGACGTACTGTAGTCGAAACGTCGCTAAATTGTTGAGTCTTTGTAAGAGATCCTTCTCTTCTACGATATCAACCTCGTCCAAGGCATCAACGACGCAGTAAACCTTTTTAACTGAAGACAGACCATGGAGTAGATAGTCCATAGTTGCCCATCCGGAAAGCCCTCCAATTTGGTGTCCACAATAGCGTTTAGGGCGACCTGGAGATCAACGCTGTATCGTAAGAGCTAAAGCAGCCAATCACAAACGAGATTTCGTGATCCTCTGTTCGATTCAGTTGTATAATGAAGAAAGATTGACAGAACAGGATTGTTTTCAGTGGCCCTCAAATGATGCACTAAGCAAGCAGAAATCACCGTCTTTCCAGCTCCAGGTACACCTTTGACCCAGAGACTGCCATGATCGTCTCTATTATGCTATTGTTGATATTGAGGAGTGTCACAAACCCAAATACCGGTACCAGGAGCTCGTGAAGCTATATGTCGATTTAATTCGCTGAAGTCATTGAGGTAATCCGCTGGTTCGAGCCATGCCTCAATTTTCTGAGCTGGTCGTGATTTGATGGACTTTGATTATATAATCACGAGTACGCTTTTTGCCGTTTTCCATTGACCGCCTTCGAACGTTTCGCTAAGAGAAAAAAAAATTGCCGGCGCTTTGACCATTTTACCCCTTCATTTATCCTGCCGGGCAAAACCAAAAGGGCTCACTCAATCAAAACTCTGTAGAAAGATTTTGCAAAAACATCAAAAAGTAAAGCTACATGAACTCAGGATCACGAGTGACTCTCTGACGGGGAGTCGAACCCCGGTCTCCCGCGGACTTATCAGGTTAATGACAAGCGGAAATCATGACCGTTAGACCATCAAAGATTTTCGATTAGATATGAATAATGTAATTTTTATAAATTATATTCAGATCACTGCATAGCATGAGAGTGAAAGAGGTCTAATATTCTTAGTGGGGGCTTTTGTGCGCTAGCATATGGAATTGTGGGTAAATCATTGACAGGCGTGGAGGAGTGGATAAGAGGGATAAAGCTAGAAGAACATGTATAGAGCAAGGGAGGCCAATGAAAATTTGATGTGCTCGATTGTAACAAGTCGAGATCTCTTATGACTATTGCTTCTATTGTGATGAAGCCATCCGCTTTGGCTCCATAAGACTCGTAAAAGAAATACTAATAGATTCGTGGCGATCTGAACAGAACCACCAAGTGCCTAACGAGAGCTATTCATACCCCAGAGCTCTCACTTTAATGCGACTAGGAAGCTGAGGTAGATAGACAGCTAATGAGTGCAGGCATAAAGCACTGGAACCATTGATAGACTTGTACTATGTTAGAGGATACCTCCCAACTCTTGGGGAAAAGGCGGAGCTATATCAATACAATTATATAAACCTCATTCTTTTAACAGCATTAAGACTAATATCTCCCATAGACTTCGAGCAGATACTAGCAAAAAGCGAGCTAGCCCTGGTGAAGGCAAATACTATTCAAAAAAATAAGAAACTAAGTGTTTCAAAAGTGCTGAAAAGACTTTTGATTATCTCAGGTTTCATAAAAACGAAATCAAAGAAATTATTAAATTAATAAAGAAATTTATTAAAAAAGATAGAAAAATATTGATAAAAAGAATATCAATATTAATCAAATAATCGTTATTTTGATTTAATTTTGTTTAAAAATTATTAATATAAAAATGAAAAGTTAGATTCAATTGTAAATAAAGAAAATTTGTATTTGGAGATTGGAAAATTGATTAAATATCAAGGGAAAGAGAATGAAGAGGAAGAGGAAGATGAAGATGAGGAGGGAAGAGATAATGAATAGAATGGAGATGAGGAAGAGGAAGAAGAAGAAGCAGAGGAATAATAAAAGGAAGAATTAAACTACACCTCACCTTTCCTAAAATTATTTGCAATGAGATAGATAGAGTGAACGTCTGTTTTATAATTTCGTTAAAGAGTGACTAGATGGACACAAGAAGTCTGCAGACTCCCCGCTGCAGTTCGGAGACAGACATTCTCAGCCAAATTAATGAATGACTGATTAAAACGCTACTTCTTCGATCCTCTATTTCCTTCATTTTCCGTCAAGTTTCTTTCACTACCATATTCCGATCCTAGCCTTTATTGACATCCTCTCTGACCTTTCATTTAAGCTCCGGAGTAGAATCCGTAGCTCAGAAAGTTGACATTTGCAACACAGCTTCCAACTGAAGCAGCTCCATACTGGGACTTTTCACCTCCTTGGTTGAGACCAGTATAAAAGGTGACGTGGTAGTTTGGAGTCAAGCTCAAGATCTTGATGCTGTGTTGAGTGGCTCCAAAGTTGCCTTTCGTAGTAGCAGCTCCATCAGTGAAAATAACGGCACCACCACCGCAAGCTGCCATTCAAGAATTAGTTAGAGTAATAAGGAGAAAATTGTTATGAGATCAACGTACAAGAATCAGTGTAGACTGCGAATTGAGTACTGCCTCTCTTCTCGAGAATCATGGCAGCATTAGCTTCGGCATCAGCGACGGGGAGAGCTGGTACAACAGTAGCCAAGATGGCGGTGATGATGCTGGTAGTATAAATGAGCTTCATTTTGAAAGTAGCTACTGGTATAAATATATCTGAAGATTTCTTGTTATGGGAGGCTTGATCGATTGGAGATGTATAGATGTGATGTTCTGTTGGTGAAGTGATTTTCTAGAGGGGGACTTCTATGGCCTCTTTATAGAACTCTAGATATTAAGACTGGATGCTTTCGCTGTTGGGTCTTTGAATGAGGGGTCTTGATAATTTGCAATTTTGCTTTCAACCCCATTCATGCAATCTGATTATTGATAAAAGTTGAATACGTATCAATCTTTTGCCTCTCCAAGGTTAGTTACCGCAAGTGTCAGCGGATCGAAAATCGCGTGTCGTCCGTATTTCTTGACATGTCAACACGCTAGCGATGTACTGTTGGCACAGTAAATGTTTAGTCAACACGATTGGAGCATAAGTATACGATTGTCGGGCTTGCAAATCACGGTCAGTAAGGTATATTGGTACAAGACTAATAAGCACCGGTGAATTGGCCAGTCACTCAAGAGCATGGCCATGAAGATCAGCAAGATATTACTCGAAGTTGATACGAACTATGGTACCGTCGCCGTACCGTATTCCTTTTCACATTCACAATATCGACTTCAGAGAAAGAAACTACCAAGTGTAAGTTGCTACCCATAGTGGCTAACGATTGAAAGAAGCCTGGGCAAGAAACACCAAATATCGTAACTCTTCACCTGTTTCACTCTTAGTCATCCTTACAATTGCAAGGAGGTCTACTTCAAATATAATATTGTTGATATTTCCTTTATATTAACGTCAACCACATTGTTCTAGCATTTTCGTGGCTTCTTGTTGGTTCGATTGATATTTGAAATCGGTGCTGGGTGAATAAATATCGAGATATCTGAGGAACAGCAGATTTACAAAGATTGATTTTTGGTGTACCCACGCAATGGCTCATGTGAACTGCCTCGGTATGTAGTGATTGTAATACTTGCGATTGTTCTCAATCTGGGCATTGACTGATGATATAATCTGACAGGTATACGATCCCGACTCCACTTGTTCGAGGGTAAGCTGAGGTTTCAGTCGAGGATGACAACTTTGCATCATCGTTCCACATTAACACCGATTATAAATTCTTCAATCCATACTAGCGCAGAAATATTATACAAGCCGTCTAGTATGGATGCTGATACATTTTATTAGGGAAGACAAAAGCTTATTTTTACTTCCACGTTTACTCAACACTAAAGATTACTCGATTCGTTCTCCGAATGAGGTGAGAGTTTCGCGTGGAAGACAACATTAATTTAATCTCTCAGCAGTCTACGATACTCCAATACGAGACGCCGTAGAGCGATCATCGTTGCCAGATTATTGTTGCGAAAGCACCATAAACCGATTTAACTTCCAGGCGTCATCTACCATATCTGGATTATCATATAATTCGCGCGTCGATTGCCCCTTACATGCACGTAAGGTATATATAAATAGCCTAATTATTGTCGATTTTTGACCTTGAATATTTACCAAGATGTCTATCAGGCTGGAATATATGTTACGTTCGCCCTTCGCGACGAATTTAAAGGAATTTGGAGTTTATATGCCATGCATAAATAGTGGGGTGCGTAAGCAGTGGCTTGCTTACTATTCCTCCAAAGCAACACACCATGATCAATCCTGGATCTAGATATGCGATTCAATTCACCCGTACAGTGAAAAGACACCAGGCGATGCCCGGAACATATCTGCAAGGCAAATGAAACGAAAACTCCTATCCGGAAGATTCGGAAGCTAGAAATTCTTCATAGAGAACTAATAATTTTCTTGGTCTGGTTTCGAGAGTCTCACCGTGCAAGATTACTGCATATGATTGGTGATTTTAGATCAACAGGAGAGAAAGCACTTGACTTAGAAATATGCGAAAGAAGATCGTCCGAAGTTGTCGCTATATGATGAACTTGTTGCTCAAGATGAAGACCAAACGCTACGACCATTTTGCCCCCAAAGCATAAGAATTCCGAGGTCACAAATTGGATTATCAATCACAATTAACATTTGTAGAGCGAAAAATCAGATAGATTGATGAACGCTCTCCAGCAAAAGGGTCATCAAATTTACACAGTCTCATAATTTGCCAAATGATCCAGGTCCTGGTTTCCAGAATTGTATGCTTGTCCTGTTCCTGTGACAGAACCAATCAAGTTCTCTGTGATGTAGTCAGGTTGCTGATACCCCTCAAACATCAGAATATCATTAATAGTTCATTGATACTTCCTAAGATCCAAGGCAAAAGACATTGTAGGCAAAGAGGACGTTCTGGGAGCCAGAAATACAGTCGCATAAACTTTGATTGGAGACAAAATCGAAAATTATGGATGCTCGATTACTATCGTGAAAAGAAGGAAGGAATCTCATCTTTCATTACCTTAATTACAAACATATGAAGACCTCGGTGTGATGATGTAACAAAGTCCAATTGTACCGTCAAGAGTCACAGGGGAAAGGTAAAAGTTTTATTGGGGGAAGTCTCTCGAGCAGGAAAACGAAACAAGCAAGCATTTGAAGACAAAATCATTACTTTGAATTGGATATGTAATAGGTCAGTATACAAGTACTTTGCCTCACTTAACCACCCTCACCTCTTGTACTGTCCGAGACGACGAGAATCAAAGTGTTCTTCGGTGACATAATTTGCTGATTTTTTCGGGCTTAGGTGTGTAGTTCTACAGTAAGTATGATTCATCGAACAGGCTTCACGGCAGGTAATATGCAATTGAAGCGGATAGAAGTAGTATTAGTATTAGAAAACACTAAGAGATCTTCTATCTTTTTTCAAAAACTTTCTCGTTTGTTCCCTGGGGATCACGCAAACGATCATCTCGAAATTTGGCCAGAACTGGCATACCAGACAGTAGAGACAATTCAAAGGTCAGGAATGTTTTCTCTTTCCTTGTTCCACTAGATAGTCTTACGTGGCTGGATGGCAAGAGGGGGGTTCAATCTTCAAAGCTCTCTGGCAGCAGCATCCTTGGTACCTTCGCGGATTTCATGTGGCTTGCGTCCGTGTCTGGCACGCCAACTTGGATGTATTAGCTTGCATTATAAGTGATTAGATCGAATATGAAATGAGACTCACGCATCAAGTCTCTCACTCTCAGCTTCGGTGATTCGAATGCGCACGTAATCCTGAATATTACCATTCTCGTCTGGCGTAGAAAAGGTTCGTGGAGCAACACGAGTCCCGCCTCTAACATGGTAAAACTCTTCTTTCGTCATAAAGACTACGCGATATGCAGACGGCTTACGATGGTATATTAGCATGTTTTGTTCAAGATCCTTCTTCACGGCGAATCTAACCTCTTGATGTGCAGCAGTAGCTGGAGCAACTGATTTGGTAGTAGGTTCGTAATCTTCATTCTCCACTATGGAAATTTATCAGTAAAGAGTTCCCATTATCATGTAAAATATAGTCTTACTTTCTTCATCGGAGACACTTTCGGAGCCGGGAGCATATTCAACATCAGAGGTAAGATTGGAGTCGTCATCTTCAACAGCTACAAGAAATCAGCAAAGGTAATCAAATGGTGGGCTGAACGGAAACCTTACGTTTTCCCATGACAGCAGGTTGGGTCTTTTGAGTGCTTCTTGTTATGTAGCGATGGCCGCCAGCAGGTGCAACATTTTCAGCAGGCGCTTCATGCTCATCATCATCTTGAGCCAAAGTGGCACTGTAGATTTTTCTCGCAGCGACTAAAAGACGTTTAGCAGCAATTGGGTCATCGTGAATATGAAGTTGAAGTCGGCGATGCCTTGATTGTAGCTCGTCATGCTTGTCTTGAAGATCGTTTTGCTTGTCTTGGAGATCACTGTGCTGTCTTTGAAGTTGGTTGTATTGCAACTGAAGCTGATCATTTTCATTTTGGAGGTGTTCATTATGCAATTGAAGCTGACGGCTAAGAAAATGGAAATCAATATCTTGGTCAGGATCAGCAAACATGTCTGCGTTCTCAAGAGGAAAAGAAGAGTACTGCTGGGGGTCAGTAATAGGATAGTACGGATTCTGGTGATATTCATCCATTGTATTGTCGCCAGCGTCAATAACAGGATTGTAGAATTCATCCATTGTATTATCGCCAGCGCCAGTAAGAGGATAGTCGTATTCATCCATTGTATTCTCGCCAGCATCAGGAACAGGATAGTGTGGGTTCTGGTAATATTCATCCATTGTATTTTACAATAAGACGCGCGCCTTTTATACTGTGCAAAGTCACATTAGCATGAAAGAACTTTCAAATCAGATAAACGATCGTGAAGGGTTGATGAATTGATGAAACATATGGTGACATACCAGTTAATTGTTGTTCGAATTATTTAAAACCAAGATTGATCAGGTACAAAGTAGGTAATCTTTGAAGAAGTTACACGGACCTCGAAGATTCCATTGTTGCAACCCCTCCCTGCCTGAAAACTCAGACATGGGAAGTCATGTGAGTAAGGCTAACAGGTGAATTGACAAGGCAGGTGAGTTGCGGGAGTGAACATATGGAGCTTACCGAGATGGAAGTTGCAGTGATTCTCATTTGATGATCATTGCTTTTGATATTGTTGCATATTTGACAGGATTAGCGAGACTCAGGGGTTCTTGTCTGATGTTTGTGGGGGTTGAGTAGCATTCGTTAGGAGTACTTATGATGGTCTTCTTCAGACACTCTTCGGGCTGAAACAACAAAGCCTTAATGGTTTGATTAGTTAAACTATTGATTCTAGACATTCAATATCTAGGTATGCACGATGAATCCTCAGCACTGAATATTCAGTGATTTTTTGTGAGTAATAGACTTGAGCAAAGAAGTTTTGGTTTACCCAATTGACCTAACGTATACTAAAATACTTCCGTTCAGCATCAACATGATCAATAATCTCAATAGCGGCATGAATCATCTTATAGGCTGGATATCTGAGCTTACTTGCATGATATAAGTAGAGCTCTACTATCTAGGTAAGAATAAAGAGGGTTCGCACTTGAGACTATAGACATAAACCTCTTAATTTAATAACACTTAAGTAGCTATTAATTATGATATAAGAGAGCTTAAGAAGGCACATTCTAATAGATTCCTTCAGAGTTCTCAATCCACGACTACATGCATTCCCATGTTTTCTTCTACTTAAATCTTGATCTTTTCGCCTGTTAGGCATCGGAGTTTGACGGCATTATTATGCTGAGGGAAGCGATATAGGCTTTTTGAATTGTACAAGGACTATCATTCAAAAGTAATTGATTGCGTCGGTACTAGAAGTCATCAGTGTGTCTTATGTATAGATGTATAATTCTGATTTCACCGAAGTTGCTAAAGAGAAATCTGGAATGCAAGTAGGAGCGAAAAAATTGCGCAAGATAGAATTGTCAAATAGTCTTTAGAGAGAGAAATAATCAGATACAACCGCTAATGGTATGTAAAATAACCCGACCATGTTCTACTAGTTCCGTAGTAGCGGTATTAGAATAGTTCGCCTGCTAACCCTGAGAGTTATAATCTATCGAGGTATGCCTATGCACAGATACAGTACAGTTAGAAATTTATGTGAGTTACACATCACAAACCTTTTGAATATTCAAGGTTATCCGAATTTTCAATGATGAAAACTTTCCTTGGCCATTCCATTGACTCCCTCCATTTCACTTCACTGTCCCGGGTCAACTGACTCCAAATTCCCTCCACACATTTCTCATGACCTCTGATCTCACCCCCGACTCCAAGGCCACCGTTTAAACCACTAGGATTGCTGATTGCAGCTTCACGACAAAGAATAGGTCCCATAGTCTTCTGCACTGCTAGAAAGTGAGCCATTAATACCCTCGCCGCTTGATTCGTTTCATCTATAAAAGCAGAGAAGGTACTACTACTCATCTTACTGATCGCAAGGTAGATTTGAACAAATTTGAAATACACTATTGAGGTGTTAGACAGTCATAACATGCCATGCAAGAGGTAACAAGTAGAAGGTATAGTGAGGAGAAGAATACCAGATAGAGAAGAAATCTCCCATTGCTTGACAACGGCCGAAAGCATTCCAAAGAATTCCATATTGATTTTACTTCTCTGGCATATCTCTTTAACGAGATTCAACGATCTTTAGCATCCTGGGTGGAATGATTAGGAATGTTAGGCAGATCAACGAGTCGCCCCTCCATCTGTTGCCAATGATCTCCATCCCCATCAAAGCTCATTTCTATCCCTTTGTCTTCCCTATTGAGGAGATGGCTATCACGTAGAATGCTGCAGCCACGAAAAAAATGCAAGAGTTCAAAGAAGCCTGAAAGATCAGACATATAGCAAGATTGAAAGGTCAGCAAGTAGAGAGTCGCTTGGATTGTTTGTCTTTGGAATTTCGTCATGGTCAAGGGATCGAGTATGGCAAATAGCGCTGACAGCCCGCAGATGGCGAGTATGCGGTGGTGGAGTGACAGTGTCTGATAACTTTTGGCAGGATTTCCTGGATTGAGTGTAGAATTGAAGGGAAGAAAAGGTGAATTGCTCGCAATATGGGATGCCGATAAGCCAAGAATAGCGTGTAATAAGAAATAATTCTTGAGATAGATTGTCTGTTAGACCTCTAATGTTCTAAATCGTCGAGAACGAAAACACTCACATGATGAGCCAGGACTGGAATATGACCAACCCACTTATCCTTGCTCCCTACGGGCAAATAGGGGTGAGCATACATCAAAAAATGATGAAAAATAAACATTTCATCTAAGGAGAATATAGTGGGTGTAGCTTGCAGATTTCCATACGGGACTGGGCTTGCAATAGCGATTTGGTGAGGTTTTACGGGTAGCTTTGGAGGTGGAAGTGTAGGGTAGCTGCAAGACAGCTGATGTCGTGCACAATTTTGACATGAAGGTAGGGTTTCTTGACACTAGAATTATTAACACAAATAGATTCCATGTTGTGAAGCGAGAACCACACTTTAACTTTACGTTTCTTGCAATTGTAACATCCACGTCTCGACTTTTTGTGCCCTTTGCGAGGTCTGCAGGGCTCGTTTTGCTTCGTGCCGTTACTTGACCATCCTGTAGAGAAGCCTTGGCTAACAGTAATACTGTTCACTGAACGATTATCACTACAACTGCCAGCAGATTCTGAATTTATGGACCAATCGTGGTCGCCGCTCCCGAGACTACTCGGATCTTGTTGCGGTACACTGCTGCCTGGACCATCACAATTTGTGTTTGAATAACGTTCGTTCATCCGCTCAAACAGTTCAGTTCCATCTCTTAGTCTCGTATAATTATCACGAAGCCATCTGAACGTGATGGTGTATTCGTTATTTCATTGCATAGGTAAGGCCAATAATAATGCGATAGATTAACGTCGCAGAGCACCGATTCTAGCTCAGCACATTTCAGCCCTAAATATAATCACGTGACACGCGCTCATATCTTATCGGAAAGCAATTTCGTGACTATTATTTTCAGTTGGAACATTTCCAAATGTCGATTGTTTGAAGAATTTCAGACCAACTCGGCTTCCATGTTTCGTGACAGCCACAGCGGCAATATTACTCGAACCTGGAGAGGAGACATTGAGCCTACCTACAAATGGCGTTCAACCCCTTCATTCAATATTTGTACTGGCAAACAGGACGTGATCATTTATCTAATGTATAACCTAAAGCACCAAGAGCCTAGCAAAGGAAGGTCGAGGACAAGTTTCTTTCTAAGAAAAGCTAGGCCCGAGGTTTGTCGGATCTTGTCATTCTCTTATGTCGAGTTCCATAAGCACAGCAGCTTTATGTTATGGGGTTTTATGTTATGGGGTTTTGTGTTGCGATTTTCCCTCAGTACCGGGCCGATGGCGGGTCCACTGCTTATTGGCAGGCTTCGGAGCCAGATGCAACTACAAGGAACATGCATTTTGCCTGTGGGTAATGTGGTGCAACCACTGCAACGCAAGCAGAAGTTGATCTTATCAGATGAGAACCATTGAAAAATTTACATGTATTTTTCGAATCTCGGAGATAGAACTCAATCAGGCGCAGGCGAGCTCTCAAGCTTTCTATCGTACTGACCGCATCGTTTCGGTGGAAAGCAAGTGTCAAGACAGGACAAACAACGGTAGAATACTGGAAGTGGACTAGAAAACCAAGGATATTTATCAGATGGTAATTCTCCTGCAAGGTTTTGAAACCCTAAAATTGTGGAGCGTGTTAAGTTATCAGATTGAAAATCATTGGACGTAGTCCGGTTAGTGTCAGTTTAGCCACCACGATGGCATGATCACCGCAGTGAGCACCTGAAATCTAGTCTTCCTGGAAAAGTCATGATGGATTAGGCATCGGTCCCGATACTGGCGACTGCATCATCAACTAACAGTTCAACAGGTAGGGATCTTGAGGAGCTGTTGCCATTCATGTGATAAAATGGCATGACTCTTGCTTCCGTCTCTAATCCCATCCTTTCCCAGCGGAAAGACTGTACCCTGCTTTATCAAACTTTATTGTTAGATTACCTAAAGCTAATTGATGTTTTGACCGCCTTCACGATTCCGACTTGCTGATCGGACAAACAATCTTCAACATTACTTTTCTTGAATCTAGAATTCTTCTCGACCGACTCTCCTGCTATGCTAGTTTGTTCTTCTGTTTCAACATCTAACATTATACCTCTCTCACCTCCAACACCCCATTTCAAGTCTCATTGTCCTCGGAATCCTTAAAAACCTCCCCAACATCTTCTACAACTCAGTCACCATCAGTGCAAAAAAAAACAGGAAACAAGAAACAAGAACAAAAGCATAATGTCTCTCCAAACCCCCAGCTACGATCCTCCCCAAACATCTCTTCCTCGGCCACATCCTCATCTCACAAACCGCGCGCGCGCATACGACATTATATCGACAAACTTTTCCATCGCTCAACTCAGTCTCGCTATCACCGCGACGGTGAAACGGAGTCCGTTGTCGATCTTATTCCTGAGTCAAACTCCTGAATTAGATCTTGGAGGCTTGAAAAATGAAGCTGTCTTCATGCAAGATCTTGCTACAAGCTTAGATCCAACTTGTCGATATACATTCCTCAATTATCTAAGTGAGGAGGGCATGTTGGGAGAATGGATGGCCAAAGGGGAAATGAATCCAAGTATGGAAGAGTGGACAGAATATGTTAAATGGTGTGTGAAGGTTGTTAGGGAAGAAGGATGGATTGACTTCTCTGAAGGTAGCGTAGAGGGAGCCGAGCAGAGAGGAAATGGAAGAGCCATTGATCTTATGGTTTCTGGAGAGATGTTCAAGGCGGATATAATTTTGGGTGGGAGTGAAGAGTCCATGACCTTTGCAAATGAAAGCGAGGTATTAGATATGCTCCAAGCTACAGATGCGTTGCAAAACTTGTGCGCGGCAGCTTCATCCTCTGTATGTTTACCTTCTTCCTTCTCCAGATATTCTGCGTATTGTACCTGACATGTCTCCAATAGAATCTAGCCGCACTCACAACACAAAACGAGAAGTTACTATCGCAATACGAGAAAGAACAAGCAAGCAGAATGGTCAGAGCATTGTTGTAGATATCCGGGCTGGCTCGATTATTACGATGTTGAATGATAGACGGATGGTGTTCAGGGACCTCATTTGATTCCTTTCGGCGCATTTTCTGGTAACAATACCAGTAGAACTTTTAGATTTTGAAAACATCAATGTACATAGTATAAAAATTACTGATGCTTAGCTTTGCTTTGAAACGTCTACATCCTAATAATTTAGGACTACTTTTCTCTTCACTCTATTATCCTAACCACCAATTACACACAAGTCTCGTATTCGAGAAAAAAAAGATTCTGCCGACTTGTTTTCGACAAACCCGGAAAAGATACACGATGCATCATGTATGACAACGATTCACATATCAAGCCATGCATGCAGCTTAGACAGCCGACGAGCAAGCTCCGTCCTTGAAAGCTTTATTCTGCAATAAAGTCTTGGCTGGGAAGCTCGAAGCTGGGTGTCTCTGTATCAAACCCCCACCTTCCCGATACCGCTGTAAGTGGAGCAGGTGGGATCGCTCCGTTCCTCACCTGCTTCTATGTGGGGTGAAACTGCCGAGTCAAGAGTTTTGATTCAAGACGAAAGAAAGAAGGAAGGTAGAAACCGTCATCAGGGATAATGGTAGCCCCAATCCGAAGAGACTTTTGCCAGTTACACCGAAGAAATTCGATGGTTTCTTTCGTCCCGGGGCTGATTCCTATGAATTTAAGATTGCAATTGTGCTGGATGTGATGGGTGAATTTTCTTCCAATCATGGGCAAAAATTTGTGAAGTGACGAACGTCAGTGTCGAAATTTTGGGGTTGGGAGAAAACTGTGATGTATTGGCAAGTCCTTCGAACGAAGAATTCAATTCGAATTTCGAGGCCTCGTCTCTGTATTCCTGGCATACAGAAGGCTTGAATATCAGACGCCGCTTCATAATAGGTCTGGGGTTTTCTGACTTCAATAAGGTTGCAGTTTCGAATAGGCGGTTTCTGTCATTACCGGATTGCAACCCTGTACCTGGAATAGTAAACTCGCGGAGGGCCGTTACAATCTCAATGGGAAATTTATGGTACCGGATCGCATGATGATCCATTGACTTCGATGCACGCTTGTCGGCACAAACAAACCTCTGGGCTACGCATTCAGCGGTGAGAAACTTGGAAATGTCGATGCGGCTTCTCATGGTGTAGTAAAAGGGAATGATGTGATTCTTCATGAGTTTCCTGTCTCGGTGACTTTAGCAACGGTTTGGGAGAACATCTTGTCTAGCAGTATGATATATCGAATTCACGCCATGGAAATTAATGGTTTAGCCTGCTTGGCGCAGTGGTAACGCGTAGCACTTGTATGGAAAATATTTCAGCGATGCTAAGATCATTGGTTCGATTCCAGTAGTAGGCATTTTAATGATACATTTTTGCTGATTTCGCACATTTTGGGAGATCAAAACTAACTGCGCACCTTCTCAAACTCTCCCAAGAATAATCCTTGCTCTTCATTTCTAAAAAAAAAATCTCTTTGTAAATGGCAAGAAGGGCGAGGGAAGAGGCAGAGAAGAAAGTCACGATTATAGTGTAATCTGTCACCTACCTCTAGAGTAGCTGAAGTAGACAAAGTTCAAGTGTACAAGGACGATTATGAGAAAAACAGATGTACAAAGAGTATTCGAGTACAATGATGTGAACCTATTTGATGTGGGGAAGTGGATTCTCAACGTATGGGGACTGTGGGGTCGTTAAAATCACTTCTTGTCTTGCTTTGTGGTCTATGAGCTATTGCTTTTTAATGGATGTGTTTTGTATTCGCAGTGTGTGGTTCTTGATTCACTCTCGATCCTTCTTTCAGGTTCGTAGAGTTTCTGCTCTGTGACCGGAAGATGAATAGCTACCCCATGATCCTGTCATCCCTTCGTTTCTCCACTAAAATTATCAGGTCCAGCCCTTTTTGTGAATATCAATCATATCAGCATCCATTTCCCTCTTCATTTCCCATTCTTCATCTTGTCATCCAGCTTCGTCATGTTTATCTGAACTCTCGCCCATTCTTGACTGCATCTACTCCACACTCCCCATGATCCATCACCAGAATCCATTCAGTGACAATTGTATTTGGCATCCAAACACTTTCCGGCTTGATTTTGCTGGTACGCCTTGTAGTCTGGGCAGGCTGCTACATGGCTTAGCTGGAGTTGACTAAATTTTGGGCATTTCTCGGTGTTACGCATGCCAGCGTGTCCGCAGGCGAAGTGTGTCAACAAGCTTGAACACATGATGAGGTAGGTTGAATTAAGATATTCGCCGATTTATCTGTTCCTGGATGTGCCGATATTGACGAAGCTGAGGAAGTGATCGAGACTCTTACTTGAAGAGGCGTTGTTTGAAGGTGTTGAAGTTTGACTTTGGACTTCTTGACTCTGGTGGAGTTGACTATTTGGGTTCTTGAAGATGAAAAATTGTGATTCAGGAATGGATTACAACCTTGATATAGAGATGGCTGAGGGGGGTAGCTGTATGTCATTTAGGACGGGAAATTGCAAGAATTGAGGTGAATATTTCTAATTTTGATTTTGATTTCGATAATTAGTGTTCATCTACTACAGCACGCGGAAATTAGCAATCAAGATTATTGTCATCCAACAGAAATTTCAGTGAATCACGAATATTTTGTCTGAGCGAGAATCTTGCGAAAGATCGAGCACACGAATACTAACACCACATGTTTACAGAGATGGAAATGCAAAGTTTTTTATTCTACCAGGGTAGGTGCCTATCTTGAAGTCTCGCGAAAGAAGGCGGTTCGATACAAGACATTCAGCCACCAGTGTCAAAAGACTCACATCTATTACATCTCCATCCAACCATTCTTTGCCATCTTCTCAATAGTTTGTGCTTGAACTTGAGATCCGCTCTCAATCTTATTTCCACCAGATCCAGAGAATAATGAGCTCCCATGGCTTAGTCCCTCATCTTGTTGATCGGGCTTTGGTTTAAAGACCATCGGGGCATTGAGAAAAGTCACTTGGTAGAACGGACAAAGAGGAGGATGGCAATTTGTCTGCTGCTGTTGAAGACATCCTTGTATTCGAATGGCTTTATGCCCACATGGGAAGATTGTCCACTGTTCTATGCACATCGCTGCTGAGCTTCGAGAGTGATGCTGATTACTTGAAAGTTTAGGGTCCGGGGGTTGTGAAAATATTGTTTGTAAGACGATTCTTGCAGTTTAAATGTAGAAATCTGGTGTAGAAGTACCATTTTATAGGAGTGAGTGATAAAAGTTTGATTGGAGTGGGCTTTACAAACCATTCATACGATATCGAGTGAATGTATATTGAGTCGAGCTTCACATAAGTAGTCAAATCTGGCCATTGGTACATGGTGCCGGAAAATCTAGTTTGAAAAGCAAGAAAAGATTCACATGAACAATAACACTAATGGAAATATCGTCTTGCCAGTTATGTGATGAACTACCAAGTATATAACCCGCTCATGTAATCTTACAATGTCACTTGGCATTCATTTCATAGATATCACGCATAGGAAAAATGCAAAACGACACCGTAATATGATATGCAATCTGAGAAGGTCGCTCTACTTCTTTAATTTTCCCTGGAAACACTCATCAATATATACACAGGAATCTATCGAGAGAAATGAAGAAAGAGCCGCAATCATACTATAGTGATTTCAGATCTTAATTTCATTGTTTTACATGCAGATACATAGCCATTCAGTTCCAGTCGCCCCTGCCAGAAACTTCGTGGCTAAATCAACTAATATCTCCCCATTCAGAATTTCTGTCAAAATTCCATTCTCGCCCAGACATTCAATTCCTCAGGCAGAATCCCGACTTTCACGAGCACGGCGACGACGTCCATAACTACAGCCAGAACAGACTCCAGGAATTTCTACCACTTGTATTTGAAACCGAGGGCAATTTGGAGGACTGTATCGTACCTGTAGTTGTCGAATGCAACCATAGATACGGAATGTGGCATCGCCGCATCCCAAGTAAACAGTGTTGCGCTGGACACACATGGTATAGTTGCAAATTTTCTTGGAGAGGTAATCGAATTCAAATTGGGAATGGATCAACGGAAAATGGTCTCTGAAATCTTTGGACTGCGACTTTTAGTAGAGATCCCAGCCTAATTGGTGTTGCGTTCGTGGAGAAATGGACTATACAATTGAGAAAAATGAAACAAAATTCAATGGACATCGATTTGACAAACTAAAAACAAAAATATCAGGTAATTGTAGATGCTAGAATGCTCGCAGCATGAGTTTGTGAATAGGGGAGCTAAAGTGGACTCTGATTTGATGACCGCGTGGGAACCGCAAAGTCAAATTCATGGATATCTTAATAACTTATAGAGGAGATCAATTCTCTACATCAAAGAAGCTTCGCAGCAATATATATTTTCTGTATATATTCTCCCTCCAAATCGCCTTCGTAAACTGATGACCGGAGGGAGTGATTACTAAATTTATATTTGGATCAAGGCAGTTTTGCTTTATTTCAGTCTATTATTCTCATCTTGTTTTACTGCAACCAGTACTTGAAAGATACTCAAATTGTATAAAGAGCAAAGTCTCATTATAGAAGGAAGTCGTGAACATGGTAGTCACTTGGTAGTTATGCTTGAATGAGGCGGCTATAGACGCGTGGGAACGACGATTCCTGATATGGCTCATAATGCTTATCACAGTTTCTAATTTTCTGCTTACTTTGCGATATAATTTTTTCTCGGAATGAGCTGCTTCCGACAAGCCCGGCTCAATATAAGAGGGCGTCGTCGCCAAGATACAAAAATATCTAGAAGGCAAAGCAGCCTGCGCTTGATTGGTCGACCGTGATAAATGCCCAGACGCTACTCGAGAAGCTGATGACTGTACCACATCGTGAATATGGTAACACGACAGTTCTCGTCATCGTAAGTCATCTGCTACCACACCATGAGATGAATCTCCCTTAATTGGACGCCCTTTCTTTAGGAAAGAGGTTTACTTTTATCGAAAGGCCAGTTTTCAAAACATGAGAGCTCCCCTCATGATGGAAGGAACACAGCTATATTATACTCTCGAGGTCTCCAAAAAAGAAGTGAGACTTGTCACTTTGCTACCTGGAGACCTTCCAGACGATATTCATTGTACCCTCACAACAGTCTCCTTGATAGATGAGCCATTCTACGAGGCTCTCTCATATGTTTGGGGGAATCCGACGAACAAATGTGACATCAACCTTCAAGGCAATTCTTTTCCAGTGACCACCAATTTGGAGTCTGCACTTCGGCATCTGAGGTATCGCGACCTACCAAGAGTTTTGTGGATTGACGCAATCTGTATCAATCAAGATGATATACCCGAGCGTAACTCACAGGTTAAATACATGAGTACAATTTACTCAAAATCATCGCTCGTCCTTGCTTGGCTGGGGGAACCAAAAACGAACAAATGCTTGACTTCAAGCTTCACAGATGAGTGGATGAATAAGTTGGTACCGGAAGGAGATGTCATTGACGAGGACAGGGACAACGATTTGGTTTTCGATACATTTGAAATGATGTTACAAGATCTCGAAGCTCACTGGGAAAGTGATATCGATGACGTTGCCTCATTTTCAATTCAAAACTTGCGTACAGGCGCCGGGATCATTCGACTTTTCGAAAACCCTTGGTGGAACCGAATGTGGACAGTTCAAGAAGCTCTTTTGGGGAAAGATACCCTCTTGATATCAGGACGGAGAAGCATATTGCAAAATGACCTGTTAGCTATTTTCACTAGTCAACTTGCACATTCCAAAGACGGTTGTAATTCGCGCAAAAGTGGGTTCATTACGACTTCATTCATGAAGATGAGGTTTCTTCGTGAATATCGACATGGCAATGCATCAAGTAGTCTGGAAGAACTTCTCAATATATTTGGAGAACGGTGTTGCTCAGATCCGCGAGACAAGATATACGGCCTACTAGGTATTCTTGAGACTAAAGAAGTCAATTCTATCCACCCAGACTATGGCATTGATGTTACCCTATTGTATGGAAATACAGTAGTGAATATAATCAATGAGGCGGGGAATCTCGATATCCTCAGCCAGTTGTGGCCAAGAAAGTGGCATCATACGGGAATTTTGGCTGGTAAAGGCCCTTCTTGGATCCGAGACTGGACAGTAGAAAGACCCCCTCATGTTTTAGTGAATACTGTAAGCGAGCGTCACAGATTGTTCCCTAAATTTTCAGCCTCCGGCAAAAGCTCTGCCATTGTGAAAGAAAGACGAAAATCAGAAATCACACTACGCGGTATATTTTTGAACTCTCTTGAGGTTCTTGGTAGAGCAAACGATGTTGAGGTTGATAATGACGAGGAAATGGCTGAGACATATAGAGAGTGGAGGCAATTGGCGCAGAGTGAGATCCAATTCGACCAGCCGTATCCGAGTTCCTCGCCAACTACGACCTACTCGGATGCTTCTTCTCAAACTCTCTGTATGTCAATAGCCCTTGAATTATCCAAAAGCAACAATTCAGGCGAGTATCAATATACAAGAGTTTCGAACGATTTGCAAGCGCACAATAATTACCAGTCATGGTGGGAATCAGAGATCGAGGGCACTCCTCGTCTTGGAGGGAAGCAACTGCTGAACGCCGAAAACGGAAACTCTAATATCATTCGCTTCCATACTTTGGTTTACTTCGCTACTCACATGAGAAGATTCTTCATAGCCAAAGAGCCTAGGTGGATAGGTCTTATTCCAATGGATGCGCAGATTGACGATCAGTTGTTCCTACTCGAGGGCGGGAAAGTACCGTATGTATTACGTCGGATGGAAGGTAAAAAGGAATATAAAATAATTGGAGACTGCTATGTGCATGGAATAATGGATGGAGAAGAATGGAATTCGGATAAGCTTCAGGATGTGATTTTGATCTAACCCAAGTACTATAAGCAACTCTTGAAGAAATACCTGGCCACGCTGTTTTGGCTATAACTCACTGTTATTCAAACTGAAGTTGCGCTGATTTCCATGCTTATCATCATCTAAATGAAAGGGCCAATAGCACTTGATTTTCTCCTCCTCTCCAACCAGATTGTGTTTAAAGCCTCGCATATGTCTCCGCGTAATTCTCACAATCCTTGCAAAGAATAAATGGTTACATGAGATCGGCAACTCTTGAATACGACCTGAGTCATCGAGCCAGGTAATACAGAAGGGAACAATCTCTCCCTACATCTTGCGGGGGTAAATACGCAAGCTCAATCAATGTGAATGCCGGGGCGTGTACCAGGACAGTGGTATCTGTGGAGTAGTTTCATTTATATGTATGCAATGCTTACTGTGTGACGTAAATACTGGGGATGATCCCGAGGAAGATCTCAATGAGAGTTCTTGGGTTTTTTGTTGATGCAAAGGGAGTGTTGAATATTCGATATCTAGTAAACATCCAATCATCTTGTTTAGAACTTTTGAAATTTATCCAGTCATTCTTCCAGCAATTTCTTGAGAGATACCGGCAAAATGCTAGCTGTGCAGGAGAACCTCAAGCATGAGTCAGAGAGATCGAGATCTCGGTGCAAAATAAGCCAGCAAAAAGGAGAGTGAATTGAAGAATATGCCTAAGAGGAGCCTTGCCCAGAGAGAACAGCACATAGGTATCTTGGGTCCCGTAAAGAGATGTGAATGAAATTGATCAAGTACAAGGAAAGGCTTCATGCCTCATACAGGTAGTACACAAAGCACGCTCTACACCATATCTCGAATCCCAACTGTTGTCTCGAGATATCTCAACATCATCTTGCTGAATGGTAGGATTTTGAAGCCCCCTCCAATAATGCTATTTAAAACTCTTCACAACATAGCTTGTATCAAAACGCGACTTCTCCGCCACATTTTGCTGGAAGCCAAAGAAGGAAAATTACATCTTCACGTGATATTGCAAATTTGCATCAAACCCAAGTGCCAAAGCCGAGAAGCTTGACAGCTTTCAAGAGTTGTCAAGCTTTCCAAATACTTTCCAGGCTGAACGCACTCTCAATATCTCAACACCTCACGCAACACAAATCTCAAAAAACAAGTCTCCACATCATCTTGCAGGACACCCCGGCTAATATCAGGGGCAACCTTGCCCGCCTTCCATGATAAATCCCCACTCACTAAATCAACACCCGTCATTTTCATAATCTCTTCTCCGAGCCCGGAATTTTCAATCTGATAATATCATTTCTATGGTATATTCCCGGCAAAAACCAACTAGCGCAAATAAAGTGGATCGCTTCGTAACGCTTAATCTTATCAATCGATCTAATCAGATGAAAATTTTCACGTCCGGGATATCATATGCAGAGTTTGAATGCATATGGTGGATTTGAGCTGCCGTATTGGGCTTAGATGACGGAGTCGATGGGGATCTGGTGGGGTTTTTGTATCTGAGACTTAATAGAACGAATTAAAAAGTAGTATTGGGATATATTTCGGGGTTCATATGGAATCTGGGTCCCACTGGCTAGTTTTTATTACTGCATGAGTGACGATCTGAGATATTTTCAATGGAGCCAAGTTTGAGGTGGAGAAATGTTTTTTCTTCGTGGATGATGTGATGGGTTTTGAGCGGCCTTTGTGCTTTTCATTCGAGAATTCCGAGTTGGATACATACTCCCGACGTACGAAAGGTCCCCTCGGGATGAATGGTTGTTATACGAATCATTGTTGCATTCTCCCATTTCAGGAAGCTGCTCGGTTCGAAAACGCCGACTATCTATGGTTGCACTTCACAGAAACTCCATCCTCGTGTTAAACCCTTGTGTAAGTTAGTTACGGATGCAGTGGATCTCTACCTCGTTACGTCACAAAATGCATATCCATTTGACATGTGGAAATATTGTCCGCTCCAGCAAAACGCTCAACGATCAATGGTTCCGATTCTTGCGGAACTCCGAATCCTCATCCAGATTCTCCTCGACGAAGTTTTAGTCATGCCAATGCGCGACTCATACCGTATGTTCTTTCCCGTGGGGCAAGCTATGCATTTAGCGGCTGTTTGGTTCCTGTATGCGCCTTGGTTTTATTATCTTATCTGATCTTTTCGATCTATTCTTCGTGTGTCCTCTGTACTTGCAATTCAATTAGTAGATTTTCAGCTTCTCTTTCACCATGCAATCTCTCTACGAAGTTGAGAATGAAACTCCTCGTTTATCCATTGTTCAGGGAGCGTCAAGTCCTCCGCTGTTAGCACTTACTCTAGGAGATTTGCTTGATCAACAAACAAGAATTCGTGCCGGAAATGAGTGTTTAGTCTGCCCTACACTGGGAACAAGATGGACCTATGGAACATTACAGGAAGAGAGTATTGCCGTGGCTCGGGGATTGTTGTCTCTAGGTATAAAATCGGGCGACAGAATTGGAATACTAGCTGGTAACTGTGCGGAATATATTTCGGTGTTCTTTGCTGCGGCTTATACGGGATGCATATTGGTTGTGTTGAATAATACATACACAACTCAAGAGGCCAAGAACGGGCTGAAACATGCTGGTAAGGCGGCTTTCCAGATTTCCGAGTATTGCTGCTGATGAATGTTAGGTTGTCGAGTCTTGTTTACAGTACCAAAGATTGGAAAACAGAGTACCGAAAGACTTATCTCTGATTTAGGGCCATTGCCAAAGCACAATGGCACTTCTGAATTCTTGGACAAGGTCGTGATGTTGAGGGGTGCTCGAGATGGATTTATGAACTACGATGGACTGAAACGTCAAGGTCGAGCAAGTTCAATGGCAGAATTCGAGAGAGTAAAAAGTATGGTAAAGCCAGACGATATCGTAAACTTGCAATTCACAAGCGGATCGACCGGAAGTCCAAAAGCGGCAATGCTTACACACTTGTGAGTATAATTCTGTCTGGATTTGAGAATAAGATCCTAACAGTTTTCCACAGCAATTTAGTTAACAATGCCAACTCAATCGGCGACCGATTGGCCTTCACACCTCAAGATATCTTGTGCTGTCCACCACCGCTCTTTCACTGCTTTGGTCTTGTACTTGGAGTATTGGCAGTTATCACACATGGCGCAAAAATCATTCTCCCAGCGGAAACATTCGATGCTTCTGCGGTACTGCGGGCGGTATCAGATGAGAAGTGTACTGCACTCCATGGAGTCCCAACCATGTTTGAGGAGATTTTGAGTCTGCCACGACCAGAGGGCTTTAACTGTGACAATCTGAGAACGGGAATAATAGCTGGTGCCCCAGTACCAAGACCCTTAATGAAAAGATTGTTGACAGAACTTAATATGAGAGAATACACATCTAGTTATGGTAGGTTATAACGATCATGATGAAATTGCAAATGACTAACAGGTTTGACAGGATTAACGGAAACCTCTCCCACTTGCTTCAATGCCTATACATATGATACTATCGACACTCGTCTGGCAACCGTTGGACAGATCCTTCCACATCTTCGTGCTAAAATTATCGACCGAGATGGAAATATCGTCCCACAAGGCGCAAGAGGAGAGCTCTGCATATCTGGATACTCGCTACAAAAAGGATATTGGAATAATGAAGAGAAGACAGCAGAAGTAATGGTCAGAGATGAAGATGGAATCCTGTGGTTGAAGACAGGAGATGAAGCTTCATTCGATGAGAGAGGATATTGCTCCATCACTGGACGGTTCAAGGATATTATTATCCGAGGTCAGTTATCCTCCCATTGTACGATTTCTTTACAAACTGACCATCAACTAGGCGGTGAAAATATCTACCCCCTTGAAATTGAAACCCGTCTCGATGCCCATCCTACCATCTCTCGAGCTATTGTCGTTGGCATTCCCGACCCCAAATATGGAGAAGTTGTTGGTGCATTTCTAGATATGGAGGAAGATTCAGCGGCCGTCAAGAAGAAGTTATCGGATGCAGAAATACGAGAATGGACAAGAAAAGAGTTGGGATGGCACAAAGCTCCTCACCATGTATTTTGGTTTGGAGAAGAGGGATTGAAAACGGAAACCCCAAAGACGGGTAGTGGAAAGGTTAAAAAGTTTGAGTTGAGAAGCGAAGGAGCCAGGATTGTTAAAGAGAGGGGTATGGTGCCCAAGCCTAGATTGTAGATTAAATTATGGGCCAGAAAGACTGTCACTGAAGGGTTTCAATTGGTTGTCAGGTGTAAATAGATTAGTTTTGTATATATGGTAGTATGATCTTCATTTCTGCATTTTTCTCAGAAGTAACGCGCTTGTAGGCATTGTATAGTGCTAATCATTAGTCTTGTAAGAGTTGAGGCCCCGGCTTATCACATATTTAAATGAGATTAGGGTAGCCATTTAATTTTGTATACTTTATTTTAAAAATTCAATTATTATTCCAAAATTCATTATTTTCGATTCAAATTCAAAATAGATATTAAATATGATTATAAAGATAATAATTATAAATTTTATTAAAATTGGTATACTCTTTAGTGTTCTAAAATTATTTAAGTTAAAATTGATAGAAAATCCTAGGGATAGATTACTTCAAATTTAGATATATTATAATCTATTGTAAGAAATATAATTAAGTTTAATTCAATTAAAAAAATTCGGAAAGGGAAGGTTTATTAAAAATTTATAATAATCATTAAAGAAATTTATTAAATTATAAAAATAATTATTAAAGATTAGAATAAAAGAAGAATAATTTTTGAATAGGTTAAAAATATATTTAGTATTAAGGCTTTAATATATATAATTCGAAAGGAATTATATTGATATGGGTATAAAAAGTATATAGTATATTTTAGGTTTTTTATCTCAAGAATGCAAAAAAAAAAAAAAGCTAGATTTTGTATATAGGTATTGTTAATAGAGAATTAGTAATATTATTATTGTTAGATTAAAAGGGAAAAATTGAAGACTAGTTATATAATTAAACAAAAGCATTTTTGAATTGGAAAAAGTGGATAGAATATAAATTATTAAATAAATTAATAAAAAGAGATATATTAATTATATTAAATTAATATATCAATTAGAAAGAATATTAATGATGATATAGAATATAATTAACTAGAATTATAAATCTTTATTGATTTTTTTAAAAAGATTTAAGAGTAATAAAGATATCACCTTCAAAGTATATATATAATAAGTTCTTAAGTTTATTATATCCTTATTATTTAATAAACTAGGATTTGAATATATATTTATAAAAAATAATTCTAAAATGTATTCTGGGTATATTTATAAAATTCAATTGAAGTATAATATACAAGACTTTAATTAATTATTCTTTTTTCCAAATCTTAATTTAATTAAAAAAAATTTAATAATAAATAAAAAAGAAATTAAAAAAGCTATTATTTATATTTATTTTTATGAAGAAATTGAAATATAAATTATAAGCTTTTTAGAATAAAATAAATCCCTTAGATTTCAAGTTATATATTAAAAGATTAATTTGTAAGATTAAAGATATAATTGAAGTATAAGGATTAATTATTATTTATTAATATAATATTCAAGCTTTATAAGATTATATTATATAATTGATTTATTATTAAATTTTAAAAAATTTGATTGAAAAATGGGTGGTGTGCGATAAGCCAGGGTCTCAACTCTTACTATCCACACAAATATAGAGATAGTCAACCTTAGGTATCTGGTAAGGTTGATTCTATACTGTTCAGGGCCAGTCTGTGCATTTGAGTCAGTAGTCACTAAAGTTATTAAGACAAGACTCAGTACTTGACTATGGAAACGATATGTAAACCGAGACGATGACGTGGAGTACTAGCAGCTGGAGTTTTATTGGAGACGTCGAAGAAGAATAAGCGCGAATGTGTCATCCAATTAGGATCAGACTTTGAAAGTATAGACGCTTAGCATGCTTAGCTAAGTTGGCTTAGATTATCTTTAATGTTCAGCTAGATTTGCACAGTCCACCTATATTCGCTCATGTTTGTATCCATGTATCGAGAAGAACGAGATATTAAACCTCAAAAGGCAAGCTAAAGTACTTTCGAGATCATACAGATACCATCATAATTCCTTGGGGGGGATTTTCAAGAACTTTATGGTCTAGCTCGTCTCCAATATTATATAGTGTATCTCCAAAATGTTGCATCATCTCCATCATCTTTCTGCTGAAGCTTCATTTCCGGGGTATAGGTATCCGCTGTTAGGCCTCGTTCCGCATCTTTAGTGTCCCTGCGATTATTCTCCATCTTGTAATAGGTCATCATCAAAGCTGTCAAAACGAAAGCCAAAGACAATAGACTGATGAGTATTGTATGTCCTTCAATGAATCTAAAATTGCTATTCAGTACAGTTAGATCATTAGAGAACAGAGAAGCTGCCAATAGAATTGATGCACTGGAATTGGATGAAATCTTACCTAGAACCATCCGCAGAGCGATAGATGAAAGCTGCTACGATACCCCCGAAGTTGGCAAAGCCAGCGACCATACCAAAACCGACTCCTCTCTTTAGACTCCCACTTAGATTATTTCCTACCCAAGTGGTGAGAAGGGAAAGAGATGGAAAGACACCTACTCAATTAGTGTGATGAGTATGTGGCTTTATATGGTTAATGTGCTTTGCTTACCAAGCGCTGCAAACAGAGCGCCCGTATATTGAACAGGTGTCTTATCACTGGTGATAAGTAGTGCTAATCCAGCTATTCCCACACCCAAGAATCCCAGAATGAAGCAACCTCTATGTTGCATTTTATCGGCAAGAAAGCTGGCAGAAATCGTGAAGAAACAAGTGACAACGTAAGGAGGAACAGTCATCAGTTGTGCAGCGTTGTTCGTGTATCCCATATCTCTCACAATTGTGGGCAAGAACAAAGACAATGAATATACAGGTGTGGACAAGCAGAAGCCCAACACCATGTTGACATATATTTTCCAGTCTTTCAAAGCTTGCCAGACGTATTTTGAATTCCAGTCATCGGAGAGAAGGTTTCGATCAATCTCAAGTCGTCTCATAACCTCTTTCCGCTCCGTTTCCGATAGAAATTTTGCACTAAGTTCACGTAAGTTTCATACCCAACGACATGTATGAAAAATGTTGTGGGAACTTTTGATATACTTTTTTGGGTAATCCCCGATGGCCCAGTATGATATGCACCCAACAAAGAAGCTAAGAAGCCCTTCAATGATGAATATCCATGACCATCCATCTTTACCACCTACTCCAGACATTTCAGAAATTCCACGGGCGAATAATCCACCGAATGCTCCTGCTGCTGTTGCCATAGAGAAGAATAGAGCTATGCGAAAGCCACATTCATTTCTAGGATACCACATTGTGATATAATAAACTACACCTGGATACAACCCACCTTCTGCGACGCCCAAAAAGCATCTGGCAACTAGAAATTCCGCATAGTCGTGCACCAAGCCTGTGCATACCATAACAATTGACCAAAATAATACAATTCCCGTCAACCATGTATTTGGTCGAACTTTCTTGATTATCATATTGCTAGGAACGCCGACTGCAACATAGAAAGGGAAGAATACAGACAACGCGATGTTGTAGTCGAGGCCGGTCATGTGAAGGTCCTTTTCCAGCCCTTCAAGTCGTGCATTGCCAATATTGGCACGATCAAGAAAGCATACTCTGCCCAGTGTTAGTAATCAGTGATTCTAGACGAATTGGTAAATCATTATACAGATATATAGTAGCAAGAATTGGGATGAGACGTATATCAAGCTTTCGAATCAGCTTTTTCGTCGCAGCATTATCAAATCCTGTAGCAGCTATAGAGTCACCAGAATGGGACTCAGATATCTTCTCTTCCTCATGAATTTGAACTCTATCAGGCACTCCAGAACTTATTCTATTGTGTCCTTCTGAAATTCTTTCGTCCTCATCGTAAAATTGTATTCCGGCAAGGACGCCTGAACTAATCCTGTGAAGGGCAGTCGACATATTGCTCAATGGTTGAAGATTAAATTTTAGCTATAGAATGAGTTCTCCGGTATCATACGGTTTTAATGGAGTATTAGTAGAGTTCTTGTATGGCATGAAGTGACACCGTGGGGGCGCACTGAGTGAACATATGCGACCTCTACCAACCACGTTAATTTAAAATTCAGAATAAGTTATGAAACATAGTAGCATGTAACGCAACAGAGTGCATGTGCACGTCATTGTAGAAAAAGGGAAATATGAAGTAAACATCGTGGATTAGTATGCAGGTAGATCATCCATCATTTGACGTGACCTTATACGCTGCGAGTATTTCGCTTGCATCATTAGTATCCACCGAGTCCCGGAAGTTGAAAATATAGACACCTTATGTAAGAGCTAATGAAATGAACCCTCATGAAGCCGCGAATTCAACGCTAGTCGGTGATTATTGTGAAAAACAAACACATGAACCAAAGAATAGTGTTTGTGGACACGAGGGTATAGAGAAGAGATTTGGTTTTGAGATTTTTCTGAAGAAAATCAATTACGGAAGCTTTCGGATACAACGCGACAGAGATATGAAATGTTTAACGATAGACGTAACAAGCCGCTGGCACGACATGATGCAGATAAACTCGTTGAAATGGGGCGAGTATCTAGCGGTCAACTCCCAAAACAAGAAGGACATCAGGTTTCAGATCGCCACGAAAATCAAAAGGGTCCTACGTGAGATACTAGTACCATAGTGGAGCCATCGATATCGTAGCGATAAAAGTGGTTTGGAAATGCCCATACACACCACGGTACTACTACACAACAAGAGGTTCAGCTTGAATCTAATGTGTGACTCATCTCAAGACATGTCCCGATGACAGTTTGTGCGACACTTGTTGCACCCTTGCTTCGTGATTAAGAATGTTTGGAAAGTTGTGAGATCAATCGAACTGTCATTTTCAAAGAGACAAATAACGCATCTAAAGATAGGGTGATGGGATGAAAGCACGCAACGAATTATATCTGTGAACTTTTAATTGAAGTGGACGTGGTGAGAAAGATCTTCCGAAGTAGTGACGTCCTCAAGCTGACTTGAAGATGGAACTAGAGTACTTCATGCCTGAGGCATCAAACACTTCAAGCTCAAGGCGCGTCCGCTTTGATCGCAATGTTTGTAACTCAATGAAGTCAGAAGAGGAACATTCCTAAGTAACTCGATATGGCTCTACCTTTACCGCCTGGCTTAACGCCAATGGAGGTTGCATTTCTATGTGAAATGGAAATGGTCACAGTTGTTCCTCGGCAACGACTTGAGAGCCTCGATTTATTAGGTGTAAGCTACCCCGCCATTTACCCCTCCAACAACAGTACCCAAAAGTTAAAGCTTATATCAATATGGCATCTGTAGGGCAAGACAACTTCTCTACGACCACCGCATCGCGCTCCCTTGCCATTATGGCTAGCTCTACTTCTCAAACGACAACGTCGTGCCAATATCATACCGCCACCATGGCTTCATCCTCATTCCCTTGATAGAATACTCAAAATGGAGACTGATAATCCTGAGAGCTTTTCTCCTCCTCCACCACTCGACCATAGCAAGTCATCTACAGTATCACCACCATTTCTACCGTCGAACACCGCAGACTCAGAGCCTGATTATTTACCATACCATTGGATTGATATGGGTGAAATTTTACTGGAAGCTGCAAGTGATGATATACAAGATCCAGATAAAGTTCGGGAATTACTTAGAGATCTACGGGAGGTGAGGATGGCAAAAATGAGAAGCAGTACTTTGGTGGTAGAAGGGGGTGGGCTCACCAGTCTACAAGGTGTTGGCGCAATGGAGGTTAGTGAGGGACGAGGATTCATTACAGGTGTTATGGATGGACTACGAAAATTAGGAGCTTCCAGGGAAGTTTCCAGGAGAGAAAAAGAACAAGAAGGTGCTGGAAGTGGAGACGATGGGGATAGTGAGGACGAAGATATGGAGTTATGATCAGGGAAGATCGGAATTCTCAACATTTATGATAAATTGCATATTTGACAAGCATCGGCATTAGGAGGACATCATGGCATATACCAGGCTTATACTGTAAAATTGGATGAGGCACAAAAGTTTAATGCCATGACGATACAATGTATACGAATTATACGAGACTAGGTAATATCTTGTATTTGATGGAGCATTTACCATCGATCTATTTTCGCGCGCCCAGTGCCGGGAAGTCCCAATATTATTGGATGCAGATGAAAGTTCCTATGGACATGGGGGAGGTGGGATTAACCTTCAATGCCGAAATGTACGATGAAGTGGTCCTCATATCGTCGTATATACCTTTCTTGTTTGTTGTCTCATTGGTCATTGTTCAAGCGGAGAAATGCAGTACTTTTGCATAATTATGTGCATTGTAAGTCAAAGTTGGCTATCCGTCATTATCTTGAGGCACATTGCCCCAATAAATGCATAAATCACTGCTGGATATGAAAGAAGCCGGTGAGATATCAGAAATTGCATGGCTATGCACCCTCAACAAGAGACGGAATGTTGTATTACAACCGTCTTTACAACCTTATTTATTTGATATTTAATTCGTCAATCGGCGACGCGGGATTTAAAAGGTCGGCACGGACTTACAAATGGTGAACAACTGCCGATATCAACAAACTCCATATCCGGGGTTGAAATCAGGGGCTATAATTGACATATCATTCAGTGGTGTATATAAGTTAGTGAATATCCTGTAATATAAGATAGTTGAATCACATTACATTTCAAGGAAATCCAGCTCGAGCAATACAAAATGAATTTCATCGTTATTGCCATCACAGTGGCCATAGCACCCCTATTACACTTTCTCGGTTCCTGCATTTATAACCTATTCTTTCACCCTTTGAAATCCTTCCCAGGACCAAAACTATAGGCGGCTTCCAGAATTCCCCTTTCATACTGGAAATTCAAGGGTGTTCTTCCATACAAGCTTAAAGAACTTGATGAACAATATGGTGATGCGGTTAGAGTTGCTCCCAACTTTTTAGACTACAATTCATCTGTCGCTTGGGAAGACATTTATGGTTTTGTGAAAGCTCATCACAAAAAGAATTTCCCAAGGGATTTGATGGAACGAGGTGTTAAGGTAAATCCTATCAAAAATATGTGAGTCGTCGTTCCAATGTATTGAATGTTAGATTTGTAAGAGCTAACCTTGTCATTGAAAGAATAACAGCAGACGAAGAAAATCATCGAAAATTTCGTCGCATTCAATCACACATGTTCTCCGAAAAAGCTCTCACATCTCAGGAACCTCTTATCCAAGATTACGCTCGACAATTTATCTCTGAACTTGTCAAGTTTTCTTCTCTCAATTCAGACAATAGCATTGACATCGGTAAATGGTATAACTTTGCTACTTTCGATTTGATCGGTGACCTTGCATTCGGAGAATCTTTTGATTGCGTCAAGACTGGAGAAACAAATTCTTGGATTGACTTAATCTTTCAAACCATTGAAATCAACAGTTTGGTCAATGAGGCCAAAAAAAAATACCCAATTCTAGGAGCTCTTGCGCTGTTTTTTGTTCCAAAAGATTTATTAGGTAAATATGCACATCATGACAAACTTGCAAGGGAAAAAGCATATCGACGACTGGATGCACCGAGAGATATACCCGATTTTATGAGCTATATCATTAAGCATAATGATACGGATAAAGGAATGACCCGTGAGGAAATCGGAGAAAATGCAAGCATATTGATCATTGCTGGTAGTGAAACGTTATTTCACCCCTCCATTTCATTTATCTCAAGGAATTTCAATAACACAACTCAGACTGCATCTCTTCTTAACGGCATAACATACCATCTCCTCAAAACACCTACCGTCAGTGTAGACAATAGTATTTCCCGTATTTCGTATACGGGCTAATTTAGTAATACATATCGATTCTTTTCGAAATATATATATATATATATAATATTGAATTTAATATTACTGAAGATATTTAATATTATTTAAACTTTCGATATTATTAGCAATATACTGAAATACTAGAATTTAATATAAAATTTGCATTCCTATTTATATTAAATAATAAAATTCTATTTCTTATTTCAAATCGAGTTAAGATCCTTTATTTTTAGTTTTATTTGATATGAAATGAATAGTTTATATTGGATCCTAGTATTTCAATATATTACTAATATTTTTTAAATATATAAATATATACAAGGGTGATATAACCTTCTTTCTAAATATCTTAGCTATAATATCAATATATCAATACACGCCATAGTTTTACTGTAGTATACTATTGCCTACACTGCCTACCGTCCTCCAAAATCTCGCAATCGAATTGAGAACTGCCTTCCAAAGCCAAGAAGATCTCACACTCCACGCGCTCGCTTCCTCTAAATATATCAACGCTGTCCTCGAAGAAGGCTTCCGCATTTATTCCCCCGTCCCAACTACTCTCCCCCGTATAGTTCCCAAAGGCGGAAGTGTAGTCGCTGGTCAATTCGTCCCTGCCGGAACAACCGTCGGTGTCAATCCCATCAGCTCCCACCTGTCTGCAGAGTATTTCCATCTCCCGTATGAATTCCATCATGAGAGATGGCTCAGTACTGCCGATGTCGAGCATTTGAAATCAACGTTCCCGGATGTGAAACTCCTTGATCCGAAAATCTTTGAGAATGATGATCGGAAGGCTTGTCAACCGTTTAGTGTGGGCCCCGCAAATTGTATTGGGAAGAATTTGGCGTATGCTGAAATGAGAGTTTTGCTGGGGAATGTGGTATGAGGATTTGATTTGGAGGGGGCGAGGGATAGTGGGAGTTGGTTGGAGAGGAACAGGATTTATGCGTTGTGGAAGAAACCAGAGTTGTGGGTTAAGTTGAAGAGAGTCAATGTTTAGATGATGTTTGGGTGATGGAGATAGAGATGGAGGTGGAGATGGGCGTGTGCAATTGAGGATTTTTGTTTGGAAAGATCAAGGATAGGATGTCATAGCGAGGGAGTTCTTGAAGATTCATCGCGTATGTATCATTTTTCATATGTTTCATTGGGAGAGTTTATAGACGTTCGAGATGGATTTTCATTTGTTATGGTATTGGAACTTTTTTCCGTTTATTGTTATATTGTTTCTGTTAAAGGTTTTTATTTTTTGTAGATATGTAGAAAAATGCATACATGCACACATACACACACCACCATCAAACTCCTTTTTCATCTCACCCCCCTTTCTGATCCGAGATCATTCACTCCCTTTGATCGAACCATTGAGAATTTCTATCAGTCTATTCCTAGCTAGTAACTTGGAAAGTGAGCATACAATTATACCTTCTTATTCCTCTGCTATTGTCCTCACTCTGTTTTGTTTCCATTTATCGCGAAGTAGATTAACAATAGCTTTTTCTCTTCTTTTTCGTGGAAGATAGAAAATATTCTGATAGGAGGAGATAGTTTCTGCACGACGGAAGTGCAAGATACTTGCATAAATATCCAGGTCCCAAGTGCCCATGCCAGTTTCCAGAACAAAACGGCCCAGTCAATCCTCAACTCTCAACTCTCAACTCAAATTCCCACTCGATGAAACCATGTCCCGTACAACCAAAACGCGCATAACGCATCGATATCGCTCTCGTTATCCCTCTACATTGCAAGACTCGGATCGGCACTACTTTTCATCCTCATCTTCATCGTCAATGGCATCTCTCTCTCTCCAGTTAGATATAAATACACATATATCGATACCACTTCTCATCGACCAAGATACGTGAGTGAGAAAGTTGGAGGAAAAAGCAAGGGGAAGGATTGTTGTATTTCCAGTTCATCTTCATCTTCATCTTCCTCCCCTTCTCCACCACGTCTTCGCAGAAATCGCTCTGTATCGATACTACGAACTGAGCCTAGACCTGGCTATAATCAAGGATATGGCCAAGCTCGTGGAGATGGAGATTGGGATGAGTTAAAAAGAGACTTAAAAACATCGATTTCGTATACCACTCCCAGATCTCCAAGGCCGAGCGCCTCAAGGGTGACGTATAGATATAGATCAGCACCGTATCCTATCTCAAATAGTGGGAGTGGGGAAGATTGGTATGATATTGATAGGGGTTGGAGTAGGAGTAGTAGCAGGGGTACGGGTGAGATCAGGGTGGAAGAGAGGCGAAGAGGAAGGAGTAGAGCACGAAGTTTCAGTAGAGGAAGGGAGCGAGGAAGAGAAAGAGAGAGAGAAGAGTGGAGAAGTGTAAGAAATCGAACGCCTACGCCTTATTATGAGGGGTTTATTAGGTGTGGATGTAGGAGGATGAGAAGTGGGTATATAAAAGGGGAAAGGAGAGAAGAAAGAAGAGGGAGAAGCTGTGACAGGGGTGTAGGAAGCAAGAGAGTGCTGGAATATAATTACATCTCTCCGACTTCAATACCCATCAGAGATGCAGACTCAAGATCAAGATCAAGGGGAAGAGAGAGAGAACGAGAAAGACAGAGAGGAAGAGCGTCAGAAAGGAAGTCAGAAAGAGTGGTTGAATATATAGATCTTGGTCGAAGTCAAGATAAATACAAATGGAAAAACTCAGATATCCACGACATATACCATCCGAGAGAAAGATCTCAGAATTTTGGGAGTCTAAATCGAAATCAAAATCGAAATCGAAGTCTAAGAAGATCCAGATCTCGATCTAGATCCAAATCGAAATCAGGAGAAGACGAAAAAGGGAACATCAAGGAAAAGACTCGATATATAACAAGAGTAATTGATATTCCTCGATATGGGTCACTATCACGGTCGAGGTCGAGGTCAAGATCGCGATCAAGATCAAGGTTGAGAGGTAGAGATAAAGATAGAAGTAGAAGTCCGAGTGCGAGTAAAAGAAAAACAACACATTATCTCCCACGTGTGTCTCATGTTTCTCGCGATGATGAAGGAAGGAATGGGAGTAGGAGTAGAAGTGAATACAAATGCAGAGACACATCTTCGGGCACTTCCACTTCCACTTCCAATCCCGACTATACTTCCGAGGAAATAGAGCGAGAAGTACGAATTAAGAGGAAATACAGTATCGGTGGTGAGTTGAGAGGTAACGCGAGAGATCAAAAAGGAGCAGGGGAAGCGAGAGAAAAGGGAAGAGGTGTAAGATTTGTGATTTAAATTTCGCAGAAAAGGGGGCTTCAAGTAATGAGTCAAACTTAGCGTTTTATTTTCATTGTCTTTGATTTATAAGATGCAGAGATAGATGAAATAGATGAAATATAAGAGGTTAGAAACTTACTGTATACCGTAACGCTTTGTAATATAATCTCTGTGACACTTTGCCTTGGAAGAACTGCGAAAGCAGGGTACAATTTACCCTTAGAATCTACAACTACAAGTATGAAAGCCAAGGAGGAAAGAGACTCTGAAGGGATCTTGAGGAGATATCTTTACCTCCAGTACCTAGGTACCGGTATATCTAGATCAGAATAGTGGCTTAGTTCAAGCTAGCCTTGAACTAAGATTAGTATACGAGTAATGTGTAATCACATTGTCATGTGATATTTGTTACACTAGTAACCTTTTCCTTATTCAAAATGAGTAAATTTTTCGAATTTTTCGAGCTCTTAACTTTGACTCTCTATAAGTTGATGAAAAAATTCAAAAACTAAATTGAATCTCATGATACTTTCAATACATAAATTTTCGATCAGTTTGATGATATGATTGGCCTAGATAATAAAAATGGAGAAAAGCTCGGTCGCCTTTTAACCGATTTCCCTACTACGTGCACGTCCCTGCTATATGCACGATCTTGATCACCCATTTTGAATCACTTTAAAAATTAATAACAATTCCAATTTATAAGATAAAGAGCTAGCAATTTAATTGATAAATGACAAGATATAATACTATCTAAAAACATAATAAAATCTTCAGATTTTGAATTTCGATGGAACTCGTAGTGCTCGCCCTCTACTAGATCGCAATATGACCTCCTCCTCCTTCTCCTTCGAATTATTAGCCTCTACAGCATCAGAGAGCTCTATAGTCTTTGTTGATGTTAGATCTATAGTAGAAGAAGCTTTGGGGAACTTTTTATCTCTTTTGATTGGAGATTTCGTTGATTTTAGAGTCTTTTTAACCTCCTCTTTCGCATCACGTGCAATCTGACGATCAACCTCCCTCTGCAATACTCTCTCTTTCGTCTCAATCTCCTTCCGTTCCTTCTCAGCTTTCTTTTCAGCTTTTATTTGAAGCTTAGCTTCCTTCTCTTGCTCCTCTTTAAGTGCTTTATCTTCTTGATACGCTCTAGCTTTAATAATAGCAGAGGGTGACCATAAAAACGCACCATTCCCCTCCTCTCCAATGAGATTTAAACGCTTTGAACGAGCTCTTTTCCTTTTTTCAAGCTTTAGAGCCTCTTCTAAACCTTTAGATCTATGCCCCTGTATAGAAGCTTCAGCTCCTAATGTAGTTGCAGCCTTAAAAAGCTTTAAAGTGATCTCATGGGTGGGAGCGCGACGAAATTCTAATTTCATTCTACGCATCGCTTTTGACGTATACGGTGTAGCAAGAGCATCCCTGCGAGTTTTAAATGATGTAGGTGGCGTAGAAGGAGCTTCCGGAGCAATACAGTCGATCGTAAGACTCCTATTCATAGGATATATGCCCGTTTTTTCGAAGGATCGTAAGATATTATGCCTCGTACAAGTGAGCTCCCAAGCCTTTTTAAATATGCCCCAAAACATGCGCTTTGTCATACCAACAATTCCCCCGCTATTGTGCATCAAATCATTCAATAATGTACTGTAATTCGTTGAAAGGGCACCGAAGGTTCCAACGTCGAGAGGCTGTAGTCGATGTGTAGAATGAGGGGGGAGAATTAAGACAATAATCTTTAATTCATCGCATTTTGAAAGGAATTCCATATTGACATGACTAGAGTGACCATCGACAATAAGTAGACGATATCTTCCACCTGCTTTTCGACGTGTAGCAGGGTCGAATACGTTTATAAGCCAATATAGGCCAAAAGCATTCGACGACCACCCATTGCTTGAGGCTCCAAAATAGGCTTTATCCTTCTCCCCTACATCCTGAACCCATGTATTTTGTAGATCCCCTGAGTCTCCTTTATAAATAAGAGCGGGAGGGAGAGCTGTCCCATCAGCACATATAGCTGCCAGTAGAGTAATAAACTCTCTTGATCCATCTTGCCTAGCTTTTGTCACTCTGCCTCTATTATAGGCGCTAGCACTCATTATCCTCTTCATAGTCCTCCCCATACCGATCATAAAGCCCTTCTCGTCCCAATTGTATATATCTCTCGGCCGTATATCGTATTTTATGGTCACTTTTATCAACTAAATTAAAAAAAGAGGGGTATTAGCAAGAGCGTTTTAGGTAATAAAGATCAACAACAATAGAAAATAGCTCAAACCAGATCATAAAAGTAATCAAATATAGCAACATTATCGGCTTTCACACGCAAATTATCAATGCAACGGAGATACCGACTTTTAAGACGTGTTGAATGCCTCTTGACAAAATTGCTAGTCCAGTTCTTTCCCACCTCTCTGCCTAGGATCTCTTCTGCAAGGTTTCTGACTATGCGGCTTGTAGGAGGGATAGATCTCTGTGTCAGCTTGTTGATTTGATCAATTAAAACCTCCTCCTGATCACTAGAAAGCGCTTGTTTCGTATCGGAGAGGAACTGTTTTCTCGAGGTGGTTTTACCTCTATGCCGCCGGGAGAGCGTGGATCGATCAATTTTGAAGAAATTAGCTGTCTGGGTGTATTTAGGAGCTTGAACCCCTTTCAAATGATCTAATGCAAGCTCTATACGAGCCTCTAAAGGCATATCATCGATGTTTGAAGCCATAATGTTGATATTTCCAAAGTCGTGCACGTAGTAGGGACGTGCACATAGTGGGGAAATCGGTTAGTGTGTTTTACATAGCCCTACGCCGTCGACCTCTCTATATGTGCCCCCCCCAGACAGTTTGTCACTCTTCCGTCCAATCTTGATTTTCTAGCTTTATTGATGAAACTATTGTAATTGGTCATTGAACTCCATGATAATTTTGTTGCTTTGCTCCTATGGCAACTAGACGGCCTCATAGGAAGTCGCGGAAGGGTTGCACCGCCTGCAAACAGAAGCACATCAAGGTATGTAATCATGAGCCACGCAGCGCAATCTGCTACAATATCCGTATCTAACACGATCAATAAGTGTGATGAACGTCTTCCTAATTGTGGGAATTGCCAAGATCGCTGGATTGCCTGCACGTATCTGTCGAAGAGAAATCCACCATCTTCTACCTCCACGAGAGCGAGTTCACAGCAGGTGTCTGATACTCATTCTCAAGCCATAGTATCATCACCTGGTGCCTCCTTAGTACCATTTCACATACCGCAAGCATATAATATTGAGGCTCTTAAACTTCTTCACCACTACACGATCAATGTTTATGACTCTCTCAGCACTATTATTCCACAGCAGAAAGTATGGCAAACATCCGTTGTACAGATAGCCACGCGAAACGGTTTCCTTCTTCGCGGGATTCTCTCTCTATCTGCTTTACATATTGCCCTTGATGGCTGCGAAAATTCTCAGATTATGGTGGCGGAGGCTGCCCGCCACCAAAATGCGGCACTAGTAGAGTACCGGCGTCTCATAAACACTGGCGATATTTCGCCAGAAAGTCAACGCGCCGCTTTCTTGTTCTCAGCCTTTCTGGCCATGTGTGGATTTTGCTTCATTCGTGCAGATGGAAAGTTACTCGAGTCAAGTAAGGGCGATCGGGGTATTGATGAGTTCTTGGCTTGCGCCAACTTGGTCAGGGGCATGGTTGGCTTGCATGCTCTGTGGGAGCAAAACATCTTCTGTGATGAACTCTACGCTACTACACGGAGTGGTCCGCCTACAGATTTATACCCCGATATTGGTGGCGATGTCACTACGGAGCTGCGTGCTCTATCCGATCTTGTTACTCGCTGTGAGGCCGAAACATGCACGAAGACGTCTAAAATTTGCCAAGATGCTGTTCAACAGCTTATTTATTCATTCGATGTAATCAGGAAGATAACGGTAGACAGAAGCTTGACGTCGCCAGTTACAGCTGGACTTATGTGGCCTGGTATAATTTCCAAAGACTATCTCATTCTTTTGACTCAACGAAACCCTCTCGCCGTTCTTATTCTTGCTTATTTTGGAGTTTTATTGCAGCGGCTCGACTCGTTCTGGTTTTTCCGGGGGTGGGGAAAGCATCTGGTCGAGACAAGCGCATACATCCTGGGTGACTCGCACGCCGACCTACTTGCCTTCCCAAAAGCGTCGGTAAGACTATGTGATGTTGATCATCGGTGCAGCCTCGGACAAACTCCAAAGTTCGGCCTTTAAACAAGGGTCCAGGCCAAATGGCCATTAGGGGTCAGCTTTCTCTAGTAAAAATTCTTCAGGCGTTAAATAATAGAACCTAGCTATAAGTCGACCACTCTACTTTCGGGCCACCCTTGTTTTCGGCCACCCTTTTACACCAAAAATTACTTTTTTGGCCTATTAATATCTCTATTAATATTGAATACAATTAGTAAAAATTTATATACATATAATTCAAATTATTTTAGGCTTATATTAGAATTTTTAGATCTTTAGGATTTTTCTGGATTGAGATTTAAAGCTTCAAAATATCGATTTTTCAATTTGTATGAAAATTACATATAAATTTAGAGCTTTTATATAATCTTTAATAACTTTTTAACAACAATCATTAAAAGAAAACTGTATATCTTTTTGAAGATTTCAAATCTGAATCTATATAGAAATTCAAAAAAATGAATGGATATAGAGATATAGTATATAGTGAGTTAAGAGTAGTATAAATAATCCCTGCAATTTTGAGAGTACCTCTCTAAATATTTATTTATAAGGCATTTTCGATTTTTTTTAGGATTTTTCAAAATCAATATATTATAAATTTATAGTAAAATTTATAGTTTATTTTTAGCAATTTTTATTAACAAATTATTAAAGATTTTATAAAAGTTTCAAATTTGTATATGATTTTTATATAAATTGAAAAAATCAATATTTTGAAGTTTAATAAATCGATTCACAAGAGATCTAGAAACTTGAAATCTTCAAAATAGGATTGGAATAACTCGAATTATATGAATATATATTTTTATTAAATTGTATTCAATATTAAAAGATATATTAATAAATCAAAAAAGTGATTTTTGGTGTAAAAGGGTGGTTCAAAAGAGGGGTGGCCCGAAAGTGGAGTATTCGACTTAATATAGTTTATTAGCATGTGGATCATATCATTATATGAGCCACTCCTTTTTGCATACAAAATTCGTTTGTAAGAGTTGTAGCCTCAGCTTATTGCACATTAAGCGAAAACACATCAAAAACCCTCATTTCTTTAACTTTTGAATTATATATTATTTCAATCAAAAAATGAAATGAATTTTTTGAATAAATATCTAGAATAATAATTTAATAAAATAATTTTAAAAAATAAATAGAATATTTTTAATAATTTTTTTGAAGAAGTTATAAATCTTTGAAATCAAAACTTTCAAAAATTTCAAAAAAATGGATTTTTTTGTATAGCAAAAGTATTAACGTGTTTTATCATCATATAGGTCATATCATTATATAAGCCACTTTCACCTCAATTCATATCTTTAAATCTATACTATTCAATAACAATTGAATCAATTAATTAAAACTATTAAAAATCTAATAATCTAGAATCTATTATATTATTTTAATAAATTCTTGAATTATAATCTAGCTTTTTGTATTTATTATAATATTAATTAGAAAATATTTTTTTATTAGAATTCCTTTTTTTTTAATATTTATTATATCAAATCTAAATATCAATTTTTTATTAAAATAATATATTAAAAGCTTTTTATTTAGTAAGTATTCCTTTTTGATATAATTAAGTTTCTTTTATATATTAATATTTATTTAATATTTTATTTATTATTCAAAATATATAAATCTCTATATTCAAAAGTATATTCTTATAAGCTAATCTCTTTATATTTTTAATTAAAGCTAATAAAATTTCAAATATAAGTGTAAAGGAGTTTGATTAATAATAAGTTATTTGAGGTGTTATTAATATTAATTAAAAAAAAGCTTTAATTAGATTATAAAAGGTTTAAAAGATTTATTGATTTAAATTGAAAAAGAAGAAAAAGGGAGTAGATATATAAATTCAAATATCTAATTTCGAAAATATAGTTTTAGAATTAAATGAAATTAAATCTATTTCTTAAAATCCTAATTTCATATTTTAAGAAATAATTGATTTTTTATATACAATTTTAAAAACTATAAAGAATTCAATTTTTAAAATATAATTGATATATATTTTAATAAATTTATTAATTTGAATACTATATAAACATTTTAGAATATTAAAATAATCTATATTAAAAAATTGAATTAAATAACTTAAATATATTAATAAATATAAATATATAATAATATTCTTTTTATAATATATTTGAAAGCTTTTGATTTATGATTTTTATATTTATTTAATATTAATATTCGATATTTGCTTTTTCTTCGATTCTTAATATATTTATCAAAATACTTCAATTATTCTAAATCTGTTTTGTTATTTATTTATCTATTAAATATAAATTTAATAATTCAATTTATAGGAAAATCGGTTTTGATATACTAATTAGAAAAATCAATCTATTCTTAAATTATTAGAAATAGAGATATAGTTTTATTCTCTTTATTATTATATATAATCACTATAATCTATTCTTTATTATTTAATTATATTGTTTTGCTTTTACCATTTTGTTTAGTATTAGTTACTATTATTCTAAGGTATATTATATTTATTATAAAACCTGTTTTATCAAAGTTATAGAAATTATAATCAAGAATACTATATTTTGCTCATATATTCGAAACTAATTGAAACCATTTTTCAATAAGCTCAGAATCTTTGTAAAAAGCTTTTTGAAAATTATAAATATAATTAAAATATATTTTTAATTCAATTTAATATTTTACAAATCAATATATTTAAAGCTTTTCAATACACTTTGTATTCCTTGATTTGAAAATATAATTTATTATATTTTCTATATTTCTAAATCTAAATAAAAACTCTTTATTATTTATATCAATTATATATTGAATAATCACTTTCTTTTTCAATTCTATAATCTTATGGGTTTTGTATTAATATTCTGTATAAAAAGTAAAAACATTTATTTTGTATTGAATTGTTATATACAAAATATTATACAATTTAGTAACTTTTTAAATACTTAATTTTTTGTTTTTTTGAATAGTTTTAATAATTAGAATGATTTGTGTTTCTTTATTAATTGTTTTTATAATAGATTATTAATAAATTGCATATTAAAGTAAAGAGATAATAATTGAGGTGAAAGTGGCCTATATAATGATATAGCTCACATAATGATAAAACATGTTATATATAATAATTTTTAAAAATTTCAATTTTAAAAATCAACAATTTTTCTAAAAAAAATTATTAAAAATATTCCATTTATTTTTTTAAATTTAAAATACTAATATCTTTTATATATCAAATTTTCAAATTAATAATTCAATATTTAATAAAATAATTAAAGAAATTAATTTATATAAAAAAATAGCTTTTTGATAGAGATTTTATTATGAAATAAGGTGGTGTGCGATAAGCTAAGACTACAACTCTTATATAACTATACACTTTCTTTATTTAATAATATAATTATATAAATATTAAAAAATTTGAAACATTTATTGGAAAATGAAATTATTATAATAGTTATTATAGAGATAATATTTCTGTAACGAAAATCGTAACAATTTCCATTTTCTTTATAAAATAATAGGAATTTTTATATAAATACTAGATTTATAAAAAGCTTATTTTTTATTCTTCTTTTTTCTTATTTTTTTTTCTTCAAAATAATAATTAATGATTAAAATAAGAATATTGAAAAAGGTTTAATTTTAATGTATTTTCAAGTGGTCCACATGCTGATATGGTCGATATGCTAATAAATTACGTTATTGATTGAACAAATTAGTCTCCCTAGTCCCGAATCTATTCATTTCTATTCAGTTGATTAGGTGGTAAAAGCTTTCCAGATTTAATCGATTATTTTTATCATCAATGTTATATCAATGTTGACAAAAGATTTATGGGTGTAAAGCAGTACATCAAGGTACATTGATATAACTTTATCAGTACGTCCAATATCGGTATGGTCAGGTACCACTATATTTAGTTACAGCAAGATTCCATTTCTTTACTTCGCATCTATGTTAAACAATACATTATTGACGCCAACAAGTTACAATTCATCAAACACAAGGATTTCTAGCTATTCCTCTTCAGACTTCAAACTCCTGATCCCCGGTTATGCAAAGACATGCCCGTGCTTCCATACAAGGTCGCCTTGTCACCCATGACATCGGAAGGGTGGAAAAGGTTGAGTATCACCATTACAAAAAACATCAACGTTGCGTCGAAGATGTAAGCGAAAACCTCATGCGAAAGCAGATACCCGTCATTTCCCCCAGCATACTCGATTAAGCGGAAAGCCGAACGGATCAGGATCAGTGCGCTCGTAATATACAAAACGTACAGCAGAGCTTCCCAATTCCTGTTTTTCATAATGTGGTTGACGGACATTCTCATCGGCGCGGTGTTTGTGGTTCTTTGGAATCGACGATGGAAAAGAGTCGCGGTGAATATGAAGACGCTGAAGAAGGCAAGCTGGATGGCAAGACCCGCTATCGTAATATACTCTCCAGTCGCCAAAGCGCTGGCTGTTCCGCTAGCCATAATTCCTCCACCTATATCAAACCACCTCCAAGTCAGTATGTATATTCCTCAATATCGGCATTCAGGGGAGCGGGAATCTGAGCACACAAAAAACATACCGGCCGCTTGACTCAAAAATGCAATGACATCTCCAATGACGAAAACCTTGGTCATCCACTTCTTACGGATAGGCGATAAGTCTTCGGCATCGAGTGCGACGACCAGTCGTCCGAGAACCATGTATATCGAGGCAGCGAACAGCGCCGGTGCGAGCAGGATCAAAATCGTGGTAATGCTGTAGATGGGAATGGATTCTTTGTTGGAATGCGCCATAATTCGAAAGATGTATCCGACGACCTCGACTGTTTGCGCATTGTATGAGAATGCAGTTTTAGATGGAGGGAGCGGGGGGTTGGGAAGGAGATGGAGATGAGTTGAAGAAATGAGAAAACAAACATACAAAGACCGCCAATAACAAGAGGAGTAAAGTACCATGATCGAGCCCGGATCATCTGGTATATGTGATACAACGTCGTAGCTGCGAAGGCGAGCAGAAAAATCACGGCCGCGGCTATATTCGGCGTGTAGCGGTAAAGTTTGTAGGCTGGATGATCTGTTGGGGCGGAGGAGTCGGACATTTTTGCTTTCTGTACCTAGTTGGAGAAGGATGGCGCGTTTTGTATAGTATGTTTCTCGAAGAAAAGATTTGAAGGGGCGGGCCGCGGAGGAGGGCGAGGGTGTGTCGAAAAAGAAGTGCTTTTTTATTATATACTATACACACTACGATACCGATGAACGTCTGCGCACTTGTATAGTGTAGTATAGTATAATATTGTTCAAGACCTCAAAGCAAACCAGAGTGAAATAAAAGTAAACGTATAAATTCAGAAGCAGACAAACAGACAGACAAGATACACAAACGACGAGAAAGCACATATATGTAGATAAAAGATACACACACAGCCTCCCCACCTCCGCGCTACTCAACGCGCACTTTTACGACAGTATACGACTGGATGGGGAATAGTAGAGAATGGGGCTTGGGTCTGATACTGTATTTAACTTTCCTCCACGTGCTCTGACTTGGGAAATCCTTTCTTTCTCTCTCGTGTTCCATAATCGGAAGTTGGAAATTGGGAAATTTGGTTGGCGATTGGTTGATGGAGAAGAACATGGAATGGGAATGGTATGCCCAGGCGAAAATGCGTAATTTGAGATTTGAGATTTGAGATGATTGGCAGGGAGGGTGTGGGGGGAGGAGCGTTTCCGAGGTATCTACCTGGTTTTTTAAACGAATACGGATGAATGGGGTTTAGTGCGATTGATGGTGCTTTATGCTTAATAAGTGGAGTTTTTTATTTCGGGGGGGGGAGAGGGGGGTGGAAGGGGGGACTTGACTCGAACTCGGCAGATGGATGGCATGGCGTTGGGATAGGAGAAGAGATGGATGGGATGGGATGGATGCGCGTTTTGGGTTGAGATGAATATATAATGACCGGGAAGTTGTGATATAGATATAGATGTAGGTATAGGTATAGATATATAGTACTCATCGATGAATGTATGATGTGGAAGACGAGATGAATTAATATATACCGGTACTACTAGTATACCCTTTCTAACAATTTATAACAAATTTTTGGATATCAAATTCTACTCTAAGTACCGTTCGTATCCTTATACCGGTACTCAAAGAAGAAGAAAAACTCGAATTATTTAGATATGAGGGTATGTATATACATCTAGAGGATTCCATTACGCGGGAATCATAATCATAATCATAGGTAATCATACGAATACTGATATATATACACATCCCTATATAATTACACATCGAACCATTCCATCTCATTCCATCCCATTCCATTCTATTCCACGATACCTATATAAACCTCATTATCCCATCCCAAGCTTTTCCACAAGTAACTCGTTATTCGAACGATACTATTATATTTTTCACGAAAAGAAAAATTCAGATAATTATTTCTCGATAGATAGATAGATAAATAGAAAAATATTTACAATAATAAGATATCCGCTCTAAATAAATTACTCACCCACTCACTGTGACACTTTGCCTTAGAAGAACTGCGAGAGCAGGGTACAATTTATTCTTAGAATCTACAACTATAGAATCGAGAGTAAAGCATTTATAAAGTACTTCTATATATTAGTTATATACATATAATTAAATTTATATATAAATATATATATAAGCAATCACAATTGTAATTAAATGTGATTTGTAATACTATTCCTTTCTTCGAAAAAGCTTATTCTTAAACTTCAAAATTATCTATTTTATATATATATTAGCAATTCTAATAAAATATTATTATTTATATTATAGAATAATATAATAAATAGGTATATATATAAATTTTCTTTTTTT